AACTTTAGTTCCATATTAGTATATAGTCTCTTCGCCCGGCGGCGGATAGAAGAGGTGAATTTAGTATTATAGGCTAGAGGATTAAGGAGCTAAGATAGCTAGAATGAATATTTATGAATTCACGAAGAGTTAAAGTTAAGCTTCTGCTACCGAAGTTATATATCTGGCCCCCCGAAGCTAACATCAGGTCCGAGGTCCCAGCCGGTCCCAGGCCGAGACAAGACCTCCAGGGCGTAGCCTATCACAATAAGATCCCTTCCCTTCCCCCCGTTGTCTTGCCTGAGAACCAACCCTAACCCTTTAGGCTATAGCTACCCTTCTTGATTTAACACCTAGTAAGGTACTAGATTTCTAGCTCCGTACTAGAGGCCGTAATGGTAGGTATATCACGCGGAAACTATATTATAAGTAAGTAGGGAGGAAGTAGAAGCTAATCAGCGCAGCGTTACCTAAGCATTTCCTAGCTCGTAGAAAGACTCACCTATGTAGAGTGTCCAATCTAGACGCATTCTAGCATAACCTATCCAGAGCACAAATGCGTGTTGGCTGGCCTCTCAACAGAAGCTTACTATAGTAACAATAATCCCTATGTGCGTATAGCTGCTTCAATTCAGGAGACTGAGGTTCGCGGAGGGAATCGACGCCATACCTAAACGAGGTGAAATTGAGCTGGTTCGCGAGCTTAGGCGAAAATAGGAAATATATAGGGCAGATTCAAACGCCATTCCTAAACGAGACGAAGGAGGCCAAACACGCAGCAGCCCCAGGGAGATAGGATGAGAAGTGTATTTGACGAGCTACAAGCGGGCCACCAGATCCAGGCGTCTTGGGTCCATTTCGTTGGAGCCTTCCTCCCATATCATCGCTACTTGATGCATGTGCACGAGCAGATGTTAAGGATTGAGTGCGGCTACAAAGGGCTCCAGCCGTAAGTTGGACCCTTTGCCGGGAGCCAACCTAGTCAGGAGAGATCATGCGAAAGCTAACCTCTTGAAGGTACTGGGATGAGCCTAGAGACGCTGGCAAATGCTCGTCCTCGATCATTTTCGACGCCACCACAGGCTTCGGTGGGGATGGTCGCGAATTAGACGGCTGCCTGACCGACGGCCCTTTCGCCAACTACTCCAATGCGATTGGCCCGGAATTCCTTGTGACGGACCACTCCATAGATCGTAACATTAGCGACGAAGTCAGCTTGAGTTCATCTCAAGAGAAAGTCGATTATGTTACACTTATGACACGTTTGAGACAGCATGGCCATGCATCCAAGTCAAGTCGCACAATGGAGACCACACGGGGACCGGCGGCCAAGATTCTACTAGGTCTCTCACATTGACTCAGGTGTCAAACCCAATTTCGTCTCCAGGAGATCCGATATTCTACCTCCACCACACATGGCTCGATAAAGTATGGTGGGACTGGCAAGCACAGAACCTGATCCCCGTCTCTATGATATCTCCGGGAACAACTAGCAACCGGCCTAACACTGCCCTTTTCGACGTCCCGGGAGGTAACAATGGAGTGATTGGCAATGGATGCACCAACCAGCCGCCACTCTACACGGGCTATCTGTGCAATGTTACAACGCTTGACCATATGTTGAGCTCGTTGAAATTGTTGTCGAATGCAACGATACGCGCTGTGATGGACATTGGGGAGGCTGCCTTTTTTACGAGCATGTCTAAACAGGAGTCAATTCATACGAGCGAGCCGCACGATCGTCTCCGGCTCCAACGGCACTCGAATAAACAATGAAAGGGCGCAAGCCTCTATGCTTTGCTGTATCTCGGAACAAAGGAGGGACCTAGATACTATCTCTGTCTGAAAAGGCACAATAAAACCTCTCTAGTGTGACCGAGAGCTGTAGTGTCTATGTCCTCCAGTTTCATCCAGCGCAACAAAAATTCAACATGCATGCTAACTTAAAACTATTTATAGTAAATATTGATCCTTGGAAAAAGGTCTTCCGTAACGGACGGATGACGCGTACTCGTCGTGCCCACTAACGCCCGCATAGACTTACCCTTTACATAGTCCCAGCCACAGTATGTCATACGAGTTTCTGAACACGGAATCCTCAAGAGAGATCTTTCTTCGTGGTTCTATTGCGTAATTGAGGTATTCAGGACGGTTCGCATCGACTTGACGTTCAGACAGTTGCGGATCTGGTATTTGGGACTAACAACCCCTCCATTGTCAAACAAGGATTTTGGCAGACTGTGGGACCTACGTTAGTAATGTTCCATCTGCCAATGGAAGGTGGCGCCACTATGTGGAAGGTAGGTTTTCTTGAGTCTCTAGACCCTAAAGCTGAACTGATCAGTTCATGATGGACCCTGAAGCCGTAGCGAGACCTTCCTTCGCGTACCACGAACAGCGTCCACAACGATCTAGATTGGGCCATCGGATTAACACGGATACGCCCTTTTCCCTGTCCTAATTGACCTCCATACTCTACCAAATCAATATAAGTTCGCGTACGTCCTCCACCATTTCATGCCATACGCACACAGGATTTTACCTCGATTATGTATATCATCAACCGCTTCTCAATCCTAGTTATACTCCTATCACTCTGCTGGCAGATTGGAGCAGATACTTGTGGCACTGCCGACATCGCCAGCGGCGCAGTCACAGGTTGTGAATGCGCCCCTAGCTTCAATGATTCTGGATGTAATCCTTGCACCGACAAATACTGCAACGACGCAAGCCTCTTCGGAAATCTCCACACATGTGAGATAGGCTGCACCAGCGATAATATCAACTGCAATGCCTGTTACCTATATTTCAACGGTGTCTGTCGTTGTGTCAAAAACACCGCACTGGACTGCATAAACAAAGGTGGTGATTGGTGGCTGCTCAACTCGCATACTCTGATTTCCACCCAAAAACAGATACCGGGGGTTTTGCAGCTGCACTCCGACAACAAAGGCTGGGAACTGGGACAAATGCTACTAGGCTCGACCGGGATTACGCTACCACCAGGCGGGAACGCGGTGACAAGGAAAACGGGAACGCTTGCCGTCAACTCGGTACATGCCAGGACCGAGGAACAAATCCATATCCACGTTTGTGACAACCCAAATAGCCCACTCCGAAGATATTTGTCGGGCATCGATCCAACGACGTATACCAGTCTCACGACATTGCCGACATCCTTTGCCAACTTTCCTCAAGGAACTGTACACTGTCAGGCATCAAAGACACCGGGGGAAACTATGAACGTTGCTGAAATTACGGCCCAATATCTTAACACCGTCACCAAACCATGTGACAAGTCATACGTCGGAGCTGGCGTTATTTTTGACAGTAGAGATTATACGTGGGGATGTCTCACGACGACAGGCCATAGCGGAGAGGACCTTTTCTGTAAGCTGACATAGGAGTGATGGCATCATAAAAGTTTTGGCTTAATTGGATTGAGGGCATAAAGTATATCCGATCTATCTTTTCGATAGCAATTGCAGACAATGAATTTACATATTCATATCGAGCACTGAACTACAGGACAAGATTCCACTGGCTTTTCGAAGGCAACGAAGCTAGACCAAATATCAAGCAAGAGTGAGTGCTATGCCAAGAGCCGCCACTCTCACCGGTTTCAGCCCTGTTCATGTCTACAATGGCCCCCGTCCATTTCAATCAGCACCAAAGGCCCGTCATGAAGGACGTGAGCTGTAAATACCCGTGGTGGTACAGCGGTGGAACAGACTGACTGCGAATAGACGTTTATATGGCGCTCGGCGCTAGAACAAGGTCATGGTTGATGCGGAACCTAAGTTCAATAACGTTAACCGAAGTACAGCCATCCGTGGAGAAAGCGCGTGACGTCAGCTGCATATTTTGTTCACTCTCAGCATAAAGCTTGTGTCGCGAAAAATTGAACATATTAACGTCTTTTCATCAGCTTGCTCTAGATTTCACGTACCGAGTCAAATACTTGATCAACTTTGAAATGGACTCAGGATGTTTTCGGAGAAGTCCTGCAACTTCAATCCTTTCACATTAACCATAGCATTCTGAACCACCTTGCCGATTTTGGAATCTAGACTGCACTGGTGAGCTTCGAAATCCGCTTCCCCGTATCCTATGTGACACTTTTTATGCCACCAGGTCGACTTCTCTGCCATACCGCTCCTATCACAGACTCTGTTGCGGCTGGCTCCTATGTAAGGATTTCCTGACTAGGGTGAGAGAAAACACCACCTCTCCATATGTTTCATAAACGCGCCATAGAGCAAAGCCCCACATTGAAAGGAGTAAGTTGGATTGTGAGGACAGGAATAGTTGGATTCTTTATAAACCTCGAGTAAGCGGTGCAATTCCGAGCTAACGGACTCAAAAGGGCATTGCAACGACTGCGGTCCATGCTAGCTAACCAGAGTTAGCGATCTGAATTTCCGTCGAGACAAGTCGAGACCCAATAAGCAGTATACGGGTGACCCGTCTGCTAGCTGATTAATCGAATCATGGCGCTAGCTACCCTTGGTAAGGGCACGCGACGAAGCGAGACGATAGATCCACGTTGGCTAAGGGGGAAGAGGACCTTTTCTCCTTATCCAACGTCTTGTACCTACACGTAGATACCGAACGCAGTAATATCAGTCTAGCCTACTGGTCCGTAGACGTCTCTACTCGTTGCTCTCGTGACACTTGCTATTTACCTATCAAAGACTTACAAAGACGATCAGTTTCCTATTAATAGCGATTTACTACTATAAACCAGTATAATTAGGAAGTATATTGTTGTTTTATATATATAGGTGGCTGATTAGAGGTGTAATGTAGACAGATCTACGTAACTGAGTGAGAAAATGCGCAAAACACCAGCTACACACGAACCACTATTGCGAGTCTTGGTATAGCTCGCTAGGTACAGATATATGCCTCTCCACTAGATCCTAAGCACACCTTCTACTTAACTTACCACTACTACTCTAGTCTAACGCCTCTACGCTCTCCCGGAGATCACTATAAGCCTTATCCTTTAATAGAGCGTTAATACGCTACTTTACCCACACTGTAACGGGGGTCGCTTGGCTTTGGGCTAAGCTATCCTCGAATGGGGTTCTGGTGAGAAATGAGGGCTTCAGGAAGCGGTATGGTCGCGTTGGGTTGATGCGTCAATCAACTACGGTGAGGTTGTGTTGCCAAAACGTCACGAGTAATCTTTCCTGTAAGGAAACTGGATGCAGTAACTGTATCGTGGATTGACGATGATGGATTACCGTGGTAATCCATCACCTCTATATACTGCTATCTGGCCTGGCTCTGTTGGCTCTGTGGCTCTGTCTTCCACAGATCCACAGATCCACAGATCCAATCACGTGACCTTCTCACGTGTTCATATTGTGTTCCGCGTCGGAACCGTAAGCGTAATTCACGTCGTCATCGTCCCATTGGCCATCGCTGCTGACGCTGTCATTGTCGTAATTCTGGTGCGGCGCGGTTGCCGTAACACACACTTTCTACAGCTGCGGCGTCTTTAGATTAACCTAGAACTTCGCGTTTAGCTCCACCATGAAGCTCTTAAGTATAGGCATCCCTAGGCGGGTGTCTAATGCTGAGTGCTCTATCTGGAACCGCTCTAGAGCCTCTTGCTGATAGTCATGAGCCTTAAAAGTAGTTGCAAGCTCCCTAATCTGCCTTACTATATTGTCGAGCCTCATTCCCATCCAGTCCTCTGCCGTAAGGTTCCTAGTACGCTTCTCTTGCCTCTCCGCTGCTATTGTGGCAGCCCGTTTACGCCCTTAAGACTCGTTGCTAGAGTCTATATCTATTGACAAAGACTGGGGGTCACTGTCCTCTATAGAATCGGCAACCTGGCTGGCAAGGAGCCTATTAATAGAGCTTGCCGCCTCCCTAGTGGCGCAGTAGCCCTTAAAGAGCTCCCAGTGTAGGTCCTTAAATGGTAAGGCAAAGTCTCTATACCTCTCTACCTTTGGATAAGCAATAAAGTACTCCACGAGCGCCCCCTTATCTATAATAATAACGCCGTCAATAACACTAAAGCCTAATTACTAGCGGAGCTGCGCCCATATCTACCACTCCTTCTTATAGGTATTGACTTTGCCTTTACATTACTCTATAGTAATAAGCCTGGACAACAACTCCTACACCTTCTTCTGGGCATAGGACTAGGCCTATGATTTAAACCTGCTATTAGCTCTGTTACCCTCACTAGCCTAGAAACATAGAGCTCTTAGCAGAGTTTCAAGTTGCCTATTAGACCATACCATACGCGTCCTCGATATTGGTGTTGAGCTAAGAGACCTGGCGTAGGTGATGGCGATAGGGATACTAGCGGCGGCAGCGCTGGCGGCGACGACGATAGGGTGCCTAGGGCCGGGGACGGGGATAGGGACAGTGATAATAGGACCTCTGCGAGCGCTGATTGAGCAACTCTCTCAAGGTGCCTATTACGAGGTGTTGAAAGGATCCATTTCCCAACAAAATAACAAAAAGTGCTCTGCTAGTCAGCCCACGGCGATCAACAGGACATAGACTACCAAGAAAACGGTATTTTACAGCCAAACAAGCCTCCGTTTGGTAACCGGAGTCAGCACAGGCGCCGCCAAGCTCCCTACCGGCGATTCCTATCGGAGAACGAAACCAGGCAGGCCCTTACTAATTTGCGTCGCGTACATGTCTAGATTAACCCCGCACACAAGCTTTATTAAAGTTTCGCTACGATGTGCTTCGATGCGTCGAAGAACGCCTTAGCGGGGTCTTAGTAGAGATAAGCAACCTATTTGTCAAGTAGCGTGCCCCTAGCGTACGTCAGTGGCTGAGCCGTTCATTGATAACGTGTAGGATATAAGCGATTTTCGGGCGTTGCAAGCATCCGGGCGATGCAAGCACGGACACGGTAATGATAAGCCAACGTGCTGACATCCTCTCTGAGTTCCGCTAGGACTCGAGCAGGTGAACAGGTATGCGAACGCTTTCTTAAGTTCAAGTGCAGTCTCTAGCATGGAAGGAGGAGGCGCCAGAAGCATGGTACGCGGGGTCTGTGATCTTAGTAGAATGCACCATACCAATTGTAGGCCGCGCGCCGTGCCAAAGGGTCTGATCTAGCGGTTAGCGGCAAAGATAGGCTGTGTGCTAAGCGCGAATGCAGCTACCAATGGCCGCTACTGATTGTCCAGCCGCGTGCTCCTTAATCTCAATCTCGTCCCTCGTCGCGTGCCAATGTGTATATTCGCCCATCTCGCTTCTTTCGCGTCTTCTCCATATTGACCTCCTTTCTTCGATCGCCGCACGACGTTTGGAGCGTTCGCGACTTTCGACGTTTTCAATTCATTTTGAGCCGAATCCGGGTGTTACACACGGTCCTCGCCTGTTCTCTTCACGTCTCCCCACCATGAGCCTCGCGCACGAGAATACCGATATGGAAAAGCATCCCAACGGCTCCCCACCTCCAGTTTATGATTCCCTAGCGGATCACGCCAAAGGACGTCAGTCCAATCTCCATGGCGAGGATGTTGCCATTGTCCACTCAGACCAAAACGAGCTCAGGCGTGACTTGAAGGGCCGCCACATGCAGATGATTGCCATGTTAGTCTTGCCGAAAACACTCCAGTGAAATGACGATGCTTTACTGCGCATACTGACATGCTTTACAGTGGCGGTGCTATTGGCTCTGGTCTGTTCATTGGTTCGGCCTCATCTTTCACCACTGGTGGACCCGCCGCTGTTATCATCGGGTTTACAGTTATCGGAATTATGATGTACCTGATGATGCAAGCATTGGCCGAGCTCGCGGTCATGTATCCTATTAATGGAGCCTTCACCATGTACATCTGTCGCTTCATCGATCCATCCTGGGGCTTTGCCTGTGGGTGGCAATACGCCATTAGTTGGCTCACTGTGCTGCCTTTCGAGATCTCCGCTGCTTGCAACATCATCCACTACTGGCCAGGATCGGAGGGCATCAATAATGCGGCGTGGATCACACCGCTTCTCGCTGGTTTGATCTTCATTCAAATCTTCGGTGTCAAGGGTTATGGCGAGGTGAGTGCGCTGCGCTGTAGCGTGCCCCGCTATATGGCAACCGGACTAATGTCTCTTAACAGGTCGAGTTTTTCCTATCGATCATAAAGATTCTAGCTTGCCTAGGGTTCATGATCTTGGGCATTATCATTAATGTTGGAGGTGTGCCAACCGACAACAGAGGTTACATTGGCAACAAATACTTGTACGTTTTCTCTGCTCGGACGGGTTCATTCAGGTTTGCAGAGCTGCCCACTGACTTTCTGTAGCAAGGAACCTTATACCCATGCGGGGTTTCTTAACGGCTTTCATGGCTTCTGCGGCGTTTTCGTCAATGCAGCATTCGCATACACTGGCACCGAGCTTACTGGCCTGGCGGCAGCTGAGACAGCCAACCCAAGGAAAGAGATTCCCAAGGCGTCGAAGCAAGTCATCTACCGGATCCTGATCTTCTACGTTGTCAACCTTGCTCTAGTTGGCCTCGTTGTGCCCGTCAACAATGAGGCACTCAACGGTGATGTTGGCGCCAGTTCACTGCATTCACCTTTCGTAGTTGCTATCCAGCTTGCTGGTATCAAGGTCCTCCCATCAATCTTCAATGCCGTCATCCTTATCGCGGTCATGAGTGTCGCCAACGCTTGCACATTTGGATCCACACGCACGATGCAGGCTCTTGCGGCGAACGGTGAGTGCGCTGCATCACATCATACTCGTCCCTTACTGATCATACTCTTTTTCTAGGTATGGGCCCGAAATTCACCGCCTATGTCGATAAGAAGGGCCGTCCACTCGTCGTGGTGGTCATTCAGCTCCTGTTCGGACTGTTGGCATACATCAATCTCGCTCCCAACGGCGGAGATATCTTCACCTGGTTGCTGTCCTTGTCTGGCATCACTGTACTCTTCGTCTTTGGCAGTATTGCCATTGCACACATCCGCTTCCGCAAAGCTTGGTGAGTCACATGCTCTTGTATACAAACTGTGTCTCGGCACTAACAATACGTTTAGGCTTGCGAGCGGCCACACTCTTGATGAAATTCCATACAGAGCCTCGTTCGGTGTTTGGGGCTCTTGGGTATGCTTTGCCATCAACGCCATTGCGCTCATCGCCCAATTCTACGTCGCACTCTATCCAGTCGGTGGATCTCCCAACGTCAAGGCTTTTTTTGAAACCTACATGGCAGCACCCTTCTTGATTATCTTGTACTTTATCTGGAAGGTCTACAGCTGGTTCAAGCATCCTTCGCACCGCCCATTGTGGATTGCAACTAAGGACATTGACATCTATACTGGGATGAGGCAGGAACAAAGAGAGCTGATCAGCGGCGAAGATGTGACCGCAGAGACGAGACGCGCGAGCATCCAGGAGATTCAAGATGAGAAGAAGAAAAGGGGTGTCAAGGACTACATCATGGCGGGCGTTCATTCAATTTTCTAGTGGTGGAAATTGCCTTGCTGATGAACATACATCGTTCGTTGCGTAGACCGACCAATATAACTGCTAGTACTTCCAGAGTCTATTGCTACGTCCGAAAAATTTCGATACTTTCGTGGCGTTCATAAGTCTCTGTGCATCTATCTTGACACAATTGACAGATGCACATACTATCAACCAGACCTTATGTCAGAACCCAAGGTATCCCATACCTCAGCTTTCCGGTCACGGGACATCCGTCGAGACAGGGCGTAACCAAGGACGATTAGGCCCAAACTAGGAAGCTGTCGGATCTAGTCCGACAGCGATTCTTCTCTCCTATAATCTACTTTGGTTGCTCGTCTTGTACCTATCTACATTGCTTGCCTGTGAATCCTAAAAATAGATAGGATCTAAATTATAGAACTAGAGTAGATTATAGGACAGATGGTTTACTAGTAGACACTCTCCTCTAGTAACTATCCTTTATACTAGCTAAGTGTAGGATAGGGCTGAATGCCCTAACGCTTCCCCCCATAGGCTTTATCAATAGTGTCCTGCCGAGATAAGGCATACTTCCTAATATTTAGTCTGGTTTTTTACTATCTATGCGTTCATTATCGTGAAGATGAGGAGAATTTGATTAATGAGCGGTCCTGGGTCCCTGGGACTCATTCGTCACGCCAATGCGTTCGGTGTCCTGCACACAAGATGTTAACGAATGACCCAGTCTTTTTAGAGGATAAAGTAGGGGTTTTGTGTAGTAAGTGATCTTCTAACCATATATAGGGTAAACTTACCGAACGCGTCTGTATTGAGCCCTGCTGGAGAACCTTCTTAACGATCTCATCCTCGTTCGAAGTGCCAAACTCTTCTTCTAATTGCATGTTACTCGCAGTCTTTAGGATGCCCCGTTTGTCGTGCCTAATATTGCTTTAATTTTAGCCAAATCTCACTGTACATATGTAACGATGATATCTTCAATCAGCTGCAGATTCTAATGCCCGGCATGAGTGGAATTGGGACAGGAAAATACTTACTCAGGCACTAGGATAGTCCATCCCGCAACAACCTGGCTTAGTGGGATACTTGGGTCATTCTTCCATTCGGTGACCAACTCTTCGCTTTCAACAAAGATGGTAAAGGTAACGTCTGTGCTGCCCTTGTAGAAGACTTGCGTCTGGGCTGAGTTTCCACGGGCCATCTTGGCTGATTTGTGTGTATAGAGATACAAGTAGTTTCGATCTGAATGCGGGAGTGTGAGGGCAGTTGAGTTTGATTGATTCGTTGTTTCCGAGTGGTGAAGCCGTGATGTTAATGAAGATCAGCTTTCGAGGAGCTATTTAGCAAAAGCCGTAGGCATCATAGTAGACATTACGTCATTGCCACACTTCTTTCGACACTGCGGATCCCCTGCATGTGGGGTACTTCGTGGCTTGATGTAACAGCACCACTGTGCGAGGGTGACGGTGGTCTAGCTTAAATGGGAGCTGCCTTGACGCGCCCTGCATGAACCCATCTCGCGTCACTATGATCTTGATTGAGGACATTGTGTTCTAGCAGGAATATGACAAGACAGGATCGGATCCTTTCCCAATCGGTTCCATAGCTGTAGAAACTGGGTTCAATGCATTGGGTTGATTCTGTATCTGAATAATACCATTAGCCCGGCGTCAGTGACCGAACAAGTCAGCGGATATCAGATTCCTCGTTCTTCACTGCAAACAGGGATGATTGTTTCTGCCATTCGTCTAGGGCACCGGTCCTTATCGGAAAGAAAGATAAAAGAAAAATCGTTTTCTTGGATGGCTTGGCGCCATACCTTACCGCTCTTCTTGTACGGTCGATGTCGAGAGAGGCGAAGACCAAATGATTGCCCGGGACGAGGGTTACATGCATATTGCTAATGGAAGAGCGCGTGGGTTGAAATATTGAAGAAAGAGCTTCAAGTAAATGTGGTAGAAATGGTTCTGGTGAAGGTCGACGGCAAGCAGGGATGTGGTTTCGCGCAAGTGATTGGACAAACTTGCGGCTGGAGGTGCCGGGCCATCGTCCAATCTACGCACTGGGTCCGTGCGGAGCGCTCACCTTACGTAAATAGGATCATCACCGGATAGCGTTGCCCTTCGTTATTCTGTACTTTTTGATTTAGCTCAATGCTTCCACTGCTGCTTGATGTGATAAGTCTGGCAAGACAACTTCTATCTTTTAGCGTTCTGGACTCAACAAACACGGCTAACTTGTCGGCCGCGCAAGCGAACACGATATTGTTGCAAGACAGCCAGAAGAAATCAGACTAAGTGCTATAAGCCACTCAAGAGAGCAGGAGGTCCATTTGAGACATTCACCCGTGAAATGTAGCTTAGTCGCGGCAACAGGAACAAAGCACATGTCTGGATATGAAAGGAGTGAGCTAGTGTTGGCGAGCCTCTCACACGCTGTACACAAACTATGATGTGGTCTTGCGAATTGATGCAATACCATGTCTGCTTCACTCTTCCACTTCCATTCATCTCCCATATCCATCTAGCTGGCAATCCATACTTGACGTGCAACATCATGCATCTACTATCTCGTGAGTTATTGTCTAATATCACACCACGAAGAGGTCCGCGCTAATTTTCGTGGACAGTTAGACAAATTAGTCATCTCTCAAGATGGGTTCCTTGCTCAACGACGACTGACAAGAGGAGTTAAAATTGAACCATGCCGAGGCCACTGTATGTTCACTTCTCCGCCATACCGTTAGCATCTGACTTTCAATTGCAGGCTTTGCAGTCCAGCGTCTTACATAAGGTTCGTCAAGCCACATAACATATGATAGCGCACGTCTTTGTCGCTGGACATGATCCCAGCTTATGCTTGATGGCAACCACACAGTCGATCATCTCATGTCGCCAGGCAGGGACATCCTTCGACGCCGTCACGTGCTTCAATCGGTGACGTCAACGCTTAGGTCATTGCAGGTGGTGGGAATTTTCCCGACAGTCACGCATCTGGTCACTGTCGACTAAGTGATCAGCAGCGAAGACGGCAATCTGGAGAGTGCCCTATATGGCAGTTTTCTTCCTGTGCCGTCGTTGGACGCGTTTCCGTTGTCAAACGAATCCGAAGATCAAGATTCAAACATTCCCGGTGCTATGACCACCGTAAAGGAAGAAAAGATAGTACTCAACAGAAGCAGTGCTACCTTCCAGATGCCGGTACCAACACAGGGTCGCCGGCAACGTGCTCTGCCTCATCACCATGGCCCTCGGCATCAAGAATAAAACACAGAGCACCGCGATCACCATGGCCCTTGCTCCGGTCACGGGGACCCTCGGTTACGTTGCTTGAGTTCTCCTCCACGGTGACTCGTTCTACAGGCACTACTTGCTGTGGTATTTGACCATCGATTCGGTCTTCATCGCTCCCACCATTCACTTGAAGCTTGTACGCATCGTTATTGTTCTAAGCCTATAATAATGAGCTGAGCTAATATCCTACCTATTATAAAGCTAGTCTTATTAAAGTTGTAGGTATCCTTATTATAGATTCTATAGGTAGCTTTTATGCGCGCTGTAAGGTTGAATTACGCCCTAATTACTTTAGGATCCTCATATAGAGCTCTCTATTAATCATATAGTTGATTAAAACGTATAGGAAGGCTTTCTATCTACTTAACGAAGTTGCATAGCTACTTCTCGCCTACCTAGCCAGCACCGCGCTCAGCGAGCAGTCTATTCGCTATATCTTGAACAGCACCTAGGGTTGGCGAAAACCCTCGCGAATCAAGGTCAAGTATATGCCTAGTAATCACCTCCTCTTCTAGCTTAGTGAGCTTCTTTGAATTGGGCTTAGAATCGTGTCGTAGGAGTACTCTAGCGCGTCAGCTATAGAGCGTACTTTTAGGGACTTTGTATATTATTGCAGCGCGTCTTCCACTTTGAACCTAATTTTGATTGATTGCTAAGATAGCTAGAGATATATCGCCTTCGTTGTAGGGCGATTGTAAAGTAGTTGGTTGAGCCATTGTGACTAAAAGGTGACGTGACGCGAAAGTCGGTGGGGTGCGCAGCTCGCTTCCTGCGCAGCTCGCTTGCCGGTTACGTCTGGGTTACAGATTATTATTCGATTGTTTACCCTGAAGTTTCACAGTCACAAAAGTTACTTTTTCCCGTGGACCACTTTAAGCTACATCATTGCATGGTGTAAGCAAGGGCTACCATGATAGACTGCAGAGATCTCTTTGGAATGTTATCACATAAAGAGCTACACCATTGCTCTTCTACGCTCATCCTCAACCAGAAGCCCCCAAACTACAAGTAACACCAGGATTAGCATTATCAATATTCGCACACAAAAACTTTGCCGTCCCGCTCGCCGCCTTGACTGCCCACCCCGAGAAATACACATTACAGGTCCCTCCCGCGGGACAGTTGATATTCGCCACCGTAGGAGCGTACTTCGCGCTTGTCGCGCCCTTGAAGTTCTTGAAGTAGACGTCCGTGATCTGAGCAGTCGATGGGTTCGAAGCACAGTAGGACGCATCCTCGTTGTAGCACGACTGGATCTGCGCAGCGTAGTCGCTCGACGACACCGTCACGCCGTCATAGGTTACGTTCTTCACGACTGCGGTGCCGTGGGAAGACCCACCCGGGTAGACTTTAATGCCTACGGCTTTCGTCGCGCCTTCCATGACTGCATTAGTTACGTATATATTGGAAACTGTATCAGTCTTTCCAGCACTTCCACCGAGCGAGCCTACGGAGAGACCGTGTGAGCCTTTGCAATGGATCGTATCGACAGTCACGTAGTCTGCGCCCGGCTTGAACGCCACGCAGTCGTCTGTGTTTTGGATAGTGATATTTTTGAGAGTGGTGTATGTGGCTGGCCCGATGTCGATGCCGTCGGTGTTTTTGGCAGGGTTGCTGGATTTGGATTCGGCGGTGAGGTAGAGAGATTCGTAAGAGATATGGGAGCTATCGCCGTTGTTGGTTATGAAGAACGCTTACCCATAATGTCAGAATGATCGCCTAAGCCGCGGATAAGTGATGAAACTTACAAGGTGGGTTCTTAAACTTTAAGCCGCTCACCGCAACATTCGTCGACTTTCCCCCAATATTCAGCAACTTCGGACGCTTATAGCTCGAGTCGCTAGCAAACTTGTCGTAGCTCGCCTGCCCATTCCCATCAACGACACCGGCACCAGTCACGCTGCGGATTTTCGCGCCGCTGATTCCGCTCACAGAGATGATCGAGCTCACGCCGTTCCAGAAGGTCGTATCGTCTGATGCTTTCAGTGTGCCTTCAATCTGGAAGTCGCAGTTGGAGCAGCCGGTGAGATCGAGCGTGCTGCGGATCATGTAGGTCTTGCCGGCTGGGATGATGATGGTGCCTCCTGCGCCGCAGGATTTGAGGGCTGCTTCGATTGCGGGGACGTCATCTGTGCTGGAGCTTCCTGCAGAGGCTGGGGTGCATGTTGCGCGCTTGGTAATGCCATCTGTACTGCGCGAGAAAAGTCCATTGGAAGGAGCGTAGGCGGCTAGTGCCGCACTGGAGAGAATACTGATCAAACCGACAGCGTTAAGCATCGTGAATGTGCAGTCATGAACAAGCAATGGCTAACAAGGACTTATTTTATATAGATTCAAGGGCTTTCGCCTCAAGAGCAAGTACGCGGGTAGTCGGGATGGTCGTATTAATGCCCAGCAACTACTGGTGGAAATGCTTGTTTCCTCGCTTAGGAAAATCTGGGGTACGGGACAGGGATCAGTTGGTTCTGCTAGGATTAGAATGACACCGGACAATTTCGGCAAGGGTGCTTGCGGCCTAGTTCCATCTCTATATGAGTCCAAGTGTCAAGAGGAGCAAAACGGTTACTTAGATTATGCTGAACACGAACTTTGAGCGTGCCGTGTTCACCGCTAACCTTCACCAGCTCGGCATAGGCTCCTCCCCTTCCGTATCTCCCTATTCACATGATCAGGATCGGTGAATACACAATATCCCGGTAGTATACACCGGAGGCATTATTCCAGCTCGGTATCTGCACATAAGCATGGCTGCAGAAAAATATCCTCCGGCCATCCGGTCTAGATTGACCCGAGGCGGATACATCAGGCTCGAGAGCCACATCTGCAGCCACGCTCTTTGTATGGGTTTCAGTCAACATGAAAATCTCAAGCTTCCTGATTTTTTTGGCTTCCGGCTTAGGTCTTGCTTCGGTATCGCCACTAACAAAACGTGCCGGTCGCACAGGTCCACCGAGCGGTTGTAAAGTCGTACGCGGGTCCGGAACCCAGTCCGGCGAGTACACCACCCTAGGTGCTGCGATCACTGCTTTGGGAACTTCGGCGACAGTCTCAGCTTGTATCTTCATCTACAGTGGTACATACACCGAGCAAGTTGTTGTCCAGTACAAAGGACCACTAAGCATCTATGGCTACACTACGGAGTAAGTCTATGCTTCTTCAAGAGAGTCTTCTTCTACGCATTGCTGACCATAGCAAGCATTTCCTCGTACAAAAATAACGCCGTGACGATAACCCACGAGCTTTCGAGCCCAAACGCAGGGTCCCTTGATGCCTCGGCCACAATTAACGTCAAGTCCTCGTCATTCGCCCTCTACAACGTCAACGTCGCGAACACATACGGAAAAGGCGCACAAGCTGTAGCCCTCGTCGCCAACGGCTCCAAGCAAGGCTACTACGGCGTCTCTTTCAAAGGTTACCAGGACACTCTCTATGCCAAATCAGGCGATCAGTACTACTCAAACTGCTACATCGAGGGCGCGGTAGACTACATCTTCGGAGATGCGAGTGCCTGGTTTGGAGAGTGCACCATCGCCAGTACTGGCAGTGGAGCGATTACAGCGACTTCGCGAGAGACAAGCAGTGATCCGGCGTGGTATGTCTTCGACCACAGCACGATAACTGCTGCAACCGGAGCCAGTGTGACGGGTATGGTGTATCTTGGTCGTCCCTGGCGCGTACTCTCGCGCGTAATGTACCAGAACAGTGTTCTCACAAATGTTGTGAATGCTAAGGGGTGGACAGAGATGGCTGATGGAGCTACACCGTAAGTTCTCATGTTCATGTGACCGATAGACAATGTTGCTAATAGTGATAGGCTGTACTATGAATATAAAAATTCGGGTGACGGCGCTAACACTTCGGGCAGGAAGTATTTGTCTGCTTCGAGCGCTGCTGTTACCAAAGCACAGATCTGGCCTAATTCAGGAATAGACTGGTACGACAAATCTTACTAGTCACATTCTGTGATGCGGTAAACGATAGTTGTTATGATATACATCACAGCAAGCTAGGCCCTCGGCAGCAATGTGGGCTGCGAACTATCGAACAAGGACTTCAATTCTATCGACATTGCCTTGATATATACAGCATATATAATGTGAATCTGTGTCTTATTTATCTATTTATTTTCCAGTGTAAGTACCTATACACTTAGGTAGTGGCATGAATATTCGAGTGTGAGGTTCCAAACACCAATGTTGACCACCATGTCATGCGTGTCTGGTCCTGTTATCCCTGTTAATGTTTTTATCTTACAAGTCTTTCGCACGATATCGACTCTAGGCTAACTGTATCTGATGATGCCGCACCAACTGCATTTGGACTGGTGGTGGGGCTGGACCATTATCTCGCGATTTCGCAAGAAGATCGTCCCCGCACCTGTTTTCGTCAGTCAAGTCCTCCTAGGCAAATGGAGCCTGCAGCACTTATCGTCTCCGGGTCCTGGCATCTCCCCATCCACTACGCCGGCCTTGCCAATTCCCTCCATAAAGCCGGGTTTCGGGACGTTCGCAACCCGAAACTCCCCACAGCAGTCGAAAAACTTCCCGTCCCAGCCGAGGCAATCATCGAAGGCGACACGAAAGTCATCAGAGCTGAACTCGCAAGCTTAGCAGACGCTGCTCATTCAATCACGATTTTCTGTCATTCCTATGGAGGTGTGCTTGCTTCAAACTCCGTGGACGGCTTCCTTTGGGCGCAGCGAAAAGCAGCCGGTAAGCCAGGCGGAGTTGTTCACATCGTTTACATGGCGGCCTTCATAATTCCTGTTGGAACGGCGCTCGGCGACTCGTTCGGAGGAAAGATACCGGAATGGTTACGAGTGGATGAAAAGGATGGGACTCTGCACATCAGCGATCATCGAATGTCCTTTTATAATGACCTTGATGACGCCGAGGCACAAAAGTGGGCGGGAAAATGCGTTCATTGCTCTTTGCACTGCTTTCAAGATAAGTTGACCAGTGCACCGTATGAGTATATCGGGAAAGGGCTGGACGCAACGTACCTCGTTTGCAAACAGGACTACCGACTCATAGAGCCTATTCAAGAGGCTATGGCAACCTTGCTTGGGGAAGATAGGAAGATGGAGTATATCGATGTTGGACACTGCGCCATGGTTGGTGCTCCAGAAGAAGTGGCAAGTGTGGTGTGGAGAGCTTGGGAGTCCAGCAAATCTCGTTTGGAAGGGTCGAGTGCATAGAAGCTCCTCTCTCCTCCCCATTCTTTTTGCAGTAATGCCACCAATACATACATCTCTCCCACTGATCGTGCAGCATCGAAGGACTGATTCATTGTCACCGTGTGTTTCTGTTATCTGAGGCCATTTCGCATATAATACCCCAATTTCTCAGCAAGTCCTGATATCGTATATCCTATCATGAATAGAATCATTGGCTGTTGACATCTTTGAGACAATTCCTGCGTTCACGCTTGAGAAGCGCCGAATCTTTGGGGGGGGGGGTTTAATATGTACCAGTATGGTAGCGCGACAAGAGCCGTGGGACTTTCCCAAGCTTTTCATCTCAGCTTCGCTATCGCAGGCTCCGAATCATGATATAGATAATGTCGGGCCTTAAGGACTATGACTACGCCGGCATGGCGGAACGAAAAATGCCATATATTCAGTGCCGTTTGGCTTTGGGCAAGATATCCGCAATGTTCGGCGTGAGATTAATCGAGTAATGGAGGATGGGAAGTTGATGAGCATGACCATATTTTCGCCGCCGCGATTAATGACGGACTCAACGAGCCGGAGAGTTTCCCCGCACAGTCTGAGTTCGTCATAGCCGTTCGTGGCACAGACCATACTGGGAGATCGTTACGCGTTACAACCCCTCGGACTGGTCGCGTGAATCTGGTAATCAACTATGCACACTGGTTAAGAACGTACCCTGTGGGTTCTTCTGCAAGAGTGGCTGCTCGGTGGCGACAACTATACTTGCCGCCATCGCCGCGACTATTATAGGCTTCGTCGATCGGGACAGCGGTTTCGCACAGCGTGAGAGGGATGCCGCTCGAACGAAGAGGGGCCTATGTTCGATCTTCGAGGCGATGGCCACCGGAAAGAACGCCACGGAGGAAAGGTTGTAAATAACCCCATGGCAACTGCTTGAAAGCAATCGACAGTCCTACTTTTTAATTGAAAATGCTCCATCGATGATACCACAAGAGGATTAGAAATAGACTATCTCTATAGTAATTTTCCGGCTGGTTATCCTCATCTGAACATTGAACGTTAAACATTATGTAATATATTACGACAGAATTCCCACAGTTCCGATGGAGCACGACCCCTGGGGATATCCTCTTAGGGGGCACCATAAAGGCATTTTCGTAGCAAATCTTGTACAAACAGCAGCACGCGCCTCAAGGTATTTTCGAGGCATCTGAGAGACCGAAGCGGAACTCCGCATCTGTTGTCATCGAGAACACCTCTGGAAGCGCAATGAAGCAGCACATTCGTCGCAGGCGTGACCAAATTTGCCAATGTAGATTAGAGCGTGGCAGAGTTAGGCGGCTCATCCTGAAGAGTTCGAGTTCCAGAGGAAGCCCATATAATTGCATTGTTGTGGCGTGTTAAGACGCTGGCTGCCAATGCTGTTGATAAAGTACCGATGAAGCAGCACATGAACACCCAGCTGCTAATTCTGGCGAATGTAGGGATACAGCATGCCTTATCAGTAGAAAATTCTATGGAACACGATTCCAGGAATGATCAAATATTATTGCTTGTAATCATGTCTCAGAAACGCCAGCAAGCCACCATATTTTGACCCTCGTTGAGGCTCTTATAAGACGCAAAGAAACAGCTCATCTTCAGTGCGGATATCTCAAAAGCCGCATAGAATATTTTTCTTGTGTCCTCTAAAAACTGTTTGGTCAAGAAGCGGCGATATCTTGGTTCATTTTCGATTTGTTGCCGGGGGCCACTGCAATTTTTCATATAAGAGGCTCTGTTTCAGACAGCATAGAGGAGCAGCGTATGGCTCGAGTACTTTAGGTTTTGATAAAGTGAATGACGCCGCAATTTCCCACGACATAGGTACTCCGATAGTAGTCACACCGGGACTAACACCTACCTAGTATGGATCGTTGATTTATTTCGAACCTGCAAGGGAAACCACAAATGTTGTTTCTTTATCCAGTTTGGAGAAACTGAGGGCAACGCATGCCATGTTTGCCGGAAATTCCTGAGCCAACCACTAAATAGCAAGTGATTACAATATGGGTATTGTAAAGTTCAAAATAGTTCTAAAGCCACAAGGCGAGACCACGCCGCATGTCTGAGTTTCCGTTCTATTTTTGGGCACGCCGAGCGCCACCACATGCCTTGTCACTCTGGTTTTGTAGACGCTTAGAACAACCAAAGCATGTCGATTTCTGGATGTTTTCTTTTCTGACGCGCCATGGACGCCGCATATTGGCATCGTTGCTGCGATTTGTGAAGGCATTGAGGCGAGCACATAGTCTCTCTCCAAGCAGTTTGGATGTGCGCCAGAACACAACCACTATGATGCGGTGCAACCTAACTTCATGACACGCTGAGAGCCACCACATACACTGATGCGCGGTCGAGCCCCTGACACACCACGAACGCACAACATACGCCGCAGGAATTCCCGTTTTGGAAACCACGGGAGACCAGGACTTCTGTCCTTACGAAAGTCTTGCCGGGACCCAAGAAACCAAATCCAATATATTACACCCTTGATCGTGTTTTCACGGCCGTAGGAGGCCTGGACATTCCATCCCCATCTAGCATCTTTTAGACACCAAGACAAACATATGCTCGAGATGGAGAACATTTTGGAGACATTGAGACGATCACATAGCTTCTCCCATGTTCCTCTACTAGACGCTCAGACAAGCAGGTAAATCTGTCTTCACTTCTGAAGCAACCACATATTCACCGTTATCAAAAAGTTCCCAGAGAAACTTCCAAGACCAGGGCATTTATTTTCATGGTTGGGTGCTTGATAGAGTCTAGGAAGCCACCGTGTTACGTGCTCCAGTGGAACCTTCATGGGCGCCGAAGCAGTCATGGTTCTCGCATGTCTGGACTTTAAGGACAGCGAGTCTACTCGTGGCATCTTGAGATTCCAACATTGAGAAGCCGGAGGCAACCGCATTCCATGCTTCTCGGTCGATTACTTGAGGCGGAAGGAAGGAGCTGCATGTAAATGGCTACTGTCATTGTTTTAGAAACACCGGAAGTTGGTAATTGCATATATTGCCCCACAGTATGCTTCGAGACGCCACAGGCCACCACAGTCCAGTCTTATATGGAGCCGATTTTCTGATTCGTGGGGAGTTTACCACATGCTCCCTTCGGCTCCTAGTTTGACAGGCAAGGAGTCCATTGCTTGCATTGCTCTGTACGCATTCCTTGATAGTGCGTCTTTGCGGAGAGCCAAGCAAGCCACTACATTATTTGTCATTCACTGCGGTCTTTGAATCACCAGAGGCTGCCACTTGGAATCCTGCGGCAACGATGTCCAAATCCACGAGACCTTCCATAAGATCGTTCTCCAAAGTTTTCGAGATCGTCAGGGGCCCACCAGTGCGGAATCCGACGAATTTCGAGACTCTCAGAAGCAACCGCACATATGCTTTTATAATTCAGTGTTTTGGAGACACGGAAGCCTACACTCAAATTTCCACCTTTGATAGCGAGGCCACCATCACATGAAATCGCTTATTTACCACTCTTCCAGACGTCAGAAATCCACCACATCAACCAGTGGGTTTCCGTATTTGTGAGGGCGCCGGATGCCACCGCACAATCTTTCCCTCCGGCAGGCTTTCGAGGCCTCAACGAGATCATAGCCACTTTTCCACACGGGCTCCCAAGACCCGCCAGGAGCCCACCCATCGCTCCTTCTTTTGGACGTTTTCGAGACACCAAAGACACCTCATATTCTTGCTTTTTCGGTTCCAGTGTTCGAGACACGAAAGACCACCCCATGGCTTGTTCGACTTCGCTTTTTAGAGATCTGCCAGGACAGCACCACATTCATTGACGTGGACGTCGTTTCTAGGGTTCCCAGACAAGGGACGCGAGACACCTAGTATCGCGCTGGTAATTTCTAGAGACGCCGAGGGGAACGCATGAGTTATGATCGTCGGAGGTTTACGTCAGGCGAACCCAGCGCATAAGTGTGAAGGAAGTTCACTTGTGAGAAATTAGTGGCGTTTATATAGACAATCGACGGTTGTCGGCGGCTGTGGTGGCGGTGAGCATCACCATCATATGCGCACGTGCAAGCAAAGTCTACAACAATATCCCAAGATTATATCTACGCATCATGTGCCTTACACCAGCTCGCGTCTCAAAGACATTCCCTCCCTGCCAGTCTACTTCCTCTTCGTGGCGTTACCCTTCTTCTGACTCCCACTCGCCTTGGCCCCAGCCTTCTCGGCCTCGAGCTTGGCCACCTTTGCAGCATCCGGCACCTTCGGCGATCGATCACCCCCGGCATTCGCCACAAGCGGAAAGTTTGCTTTCTTCTCCTCTTCCTCTTCCTCATCTCCACCCTGTCCAAACTCGTTGACACGCGAGTAATCCACCTTGTACACCCACGTCTGGTACAAATAGACGAAGAAGATGACATCATCTCTCAGCGTGGCCAGGCGGTGCAGCGTAGGCATTTTGATCGTAAACGCAAACAAATCGTCGATGAAGGTGTTCAGGAACTTGTACGTCATGGCGCGCCCGGGCATGTGCGCGACGGACTTGAGGCGGTAGTTGATGTACAGGGACGGCACCATCATGAGGAAGCCGTAGGCGTACACGGACCCGACGAGGGTGGTGATGATGAACGAGTACCAGGACTTGTGCGTGTCGTAGATGAGGCTGTAGACGGCGTATGCCGCGAGTAGGGGGATGGCAACCCATGTGAGGTACTTGAAGGCGATCTCGTCGTACTCCTCCGTCTTCTTTTCCGTCTCGGACAAGACGTGCTTGTCCTCGAATACGACGGAGTAGGGGAGCCAGGAGCCTTCCGGGGTCGGGCGCACGCGGACGTTTACGCTCTTTGTGATTTTCCAGGCCTCGATGGCGATGCCCATGCCCTGGCCGAAAAGAATCATCCACGAGGTGTTTTCGTTGTTGTCGATGAGGTAGAGGAAGATGATGGACTGCATAAAGACGTTTGCGAGGATGGTGCGGACCGACGTGCCGACGTTATCTTTCTTCTTGCGCCAGTGCTGGACGTCGTTCTTGAAGGCGAGCATCTCGAAGATCATGTGGAAGACGGAGACGATGGCGGTCACTGCGAGGAGGTACGAGTTGCTGTCGATGAGGATCTCTTTGAACATTTCCATCTCGGAGCCGTCGCCGCCGCCGGCAACGGGCTGGCCGCTCGCGGCGGCGGCTTGGTTGGCGCGGATGTTGGCTTCCATGGAGGCGTAGAGGTTGAACTTCCAGTTGGCGAGGTTGTTCAGCTTGACGTTGAGCGGGAGGGTCTTGACCTGGAGGGGGGATCAGTACATGGCCCGGAGATGGTATGCAGTGTCAAACTCACCGTCTCGTTGAGCTCAATCATATCCTTCTTCAGCTGCCAGAATGTGTTGGTGAACAGCACGGGATAGTACCACCCATGCTGGCCAGTCGCATCCCGCGAGCCCGTCTGGTCAAGCTGCAGGAACTCCCTCACACCAGCATGCATCGTCGGGTAGTTGAGCACGCCCGAGTCCGGAATCAAGCTAATGGTGAAGTTGGAGTGGTAGAAGCTCCCCACCACCTTGGGCATCTTCTTCTCCTCGTCCGTCTCGCCAGAATCCGGCATATCCGACAGCAAGTTCCGCGTCTTCTTGGCCTGCTTCTTGGGCTGGTACTGCGAGAGCGCGCGGATCACGTGGTACGCCTTGGTCGGGTCGTAGCCGGGCTGCGTGGGGTCGAGGAGGCTGCCGGTCTGGGCGACGTAGAAGTGCGCGAAGAGCGTGGCGTTGCGCTGGACGGCGGCGGGCACCTTGAACTCGGTCTCGATGACGCGGTTCTCGGCGTAGTCGCCAAACTTGAAGGCCTTCTCGTCGATGAGCAGCGTGTCGGCGGGCAGCTGCTTGAACGGGGGCATGGCGATGGACGGCGAGATGTACAGGGTGATGTCGACGTCGGTGCCGACGGGCCACATGGGCGCAACGTTCTGCGGGATGACGCTGCGGACGGCGCCATCGTTGAAGTGCGTCGGGCGGTTCTCGAAGGCGGGGATGGCCACCTTGGTGTTGGGGGCAACGGCAGCGCCTGTCGCGGGGTCGGCCGTGGTCGCGGGCGTCTGGCCGAAGAACTGCTTGGTCGCGAACTGGATCAGCAGAAAGATGCCCACGCTCTGCACCAGCGTCTTCACAATCTGGGTGTCGCGTCAGCAGTGGTCGTCGTGCGTCGACGCGCCGCGGGGCAAGCCGGCGGCCGCGGAAATGTACACACCCCTCCAGCGCCCTGCTGCTCTTCCTGGCGGCGTTGCTCGGGCATGGCTCTGGCTGTGCTCGAAAGTCGCGGGGGAAGAAGGAGGCACAGCGCGACGACACGCGGCGACGCGGTTTTCGCTGGCGGCCGCGGCGGTTGCCATGTCGCCAAGCGTGGGCCGGATGCCGTTAGAAGCGGCGCGGGATGCCTGGGGAGCTCGCCGGCGATCCATGTCGCGCCCTGCATGCCACGCTCTGGGCAGCTTGTCGACGCCAGCGTGTGAGTCTTCGGTGCCACGGCCCCAGCACCGGTGCCGGCAGCGTGACGCCACAAGAGCCTGTGTTTCCTTGCCTCACGCTCCTTCCACACATTCTCTGCCAGCTCTGGTCGGCAAGCTACCCCGCCATCCGCCGTCGCCCTCCCCCGCCGTCGTGCCCTCGCCACAACCTCGCGAGAAAGACCATCTGCACTCCCACCCAATTGACGCACCACCCGCCATGACGGACCCCCCCGAGACGCCGCGCCGCCAGCCCGTCGTCTGCGTCTTCTGCGGCGCCTCGTCGGGTACCTCGCCGGTGCACCTCGAGGCCGCCCGCGCCCTCGCCCACGCGCTGCATGCCTCCAACAGCAAGCTCGTCTACGGCGGCGGCACCGTCGGGCTCATGGGCGAAGTGGCGCGCACGCTCGTCGCGCTCGCGGGGCCCTCCTCGGTGCACGGCATCATCCCCGCGCCCCTCGTCAAGTACGAGCAGAACCACGACCCCGCGGACCCGCTCTCCCACAAGATCGACGAGTCCATCTACGGCAAGACCACCGTCGTCAAGGACATGCACACCCGCAAGCAGATGATGGCGCAGGAAGTCATTGCGGGCGGGCCGGGTGGCGGGTTCGTCGCGCTGAGCGGCGGGTACGGGACGCTCGAGGAGCTGATGGAGGTGACGACGTGGAATCAGCTTGGCATCCACGATATGCCCGTCGTCGTGTACAATGTCGATGGGTACTGGACGGGGCTGCTGGAGTGGGTGAAGAAGGGTGTGACGAGTGGTTTTATCGGCCCGGGGAATGCGGGCATTTTGGTTGAGGCGCTGAGTGCCCATGACGTCTTGACTTGCCTGAAGGACTATACGAATGCCGAGGGGAGATTCAACTTGACCTGGGACTCGCAATAAGAGGGGAGGGAGTGTCGAGAACGTACTCGTCACTGTATCGTCTGGTCGCGAGGGTTCGTGGACGCAGACGACTGACACCAGTCGTCGTGTTTGGAGAATAGGCTGCGAGAACATGACACGCTGCTAGTTAGCACAGGGTCCAGGCGTCTACAGACAAGGAATCATTACATGGGAAATGCAATAGACCTAGACGGACATCGCAAATAAATCAAATCGACACAATCATCATAACGCGCATGCATTCCAAACATTGCATGAACATTGAATGCTGTGAACGTATTGCTTTTGTATTACCACACCGTTCCACCTCATACGTATTGGATGCCGGACAGACCCCTACTCGTACATGCACTAATGTCTACAGTGACCCTCGAAGAGCTGCGAAAACGCCACGAGATGCCGTTGCCTATGAAGCCCGCAGCTCCACGGAAGTTTCCACAGCGCCTTGCAATGCAGAAACAAGTCAAATAAAATCCCCCTTTGGGCAGACTCAGAAGAGCCTTGGTCGGAGGCTCAAACCGACCACAGATAACATGGCCTTCGAACCCGCGGCCATGGACGACTACTTTTGTGCAAGGCCGTTTTCTCAGAGGCAGAATGTGGGATAGACGACTGCGTCGCTAACCCATTTGGAAAGGGAGCTGGAAGCCAAACCCAGGAACGGCCGGAGGTACGGCAACGCCTTGCTCTGCTCGTGGCGAGATATGGCGGCTGTCGTGTGTGTTAGGGCGATCGGCTGAGCGACGAAAGCGATTCTCATCAGCTCCTGCACCGCCGCCTCGTCCTCCTCGGAAACCTCCACGGCCCCGACCGCCCTCGGGAGGCACTCGTCGGCTAATAGCTGTACACAAGTCAGATCAATATCCTTGGGATTGGACCCGTGCGTTTGCATCAAACAGCGATGGAGGAGGGGGGGGTGGGAGACTCACCTTTCGACGACACGCCAGCTCCAATCTCGATATCGGGTTCCTCGATGACCATGCCCTCTTCCAGGGGAACACCGCCAGTACCGCCATACTCAGCAGTCAACACCCATTTTCGATCGGCATCGGTGAGTCGGGAGATTGGGATGACGCTGATACCGGTGTTGTAATCGCTACAATCGCGGGGGCCGAAGCCTACACCCCATCTAGTCTGTATATACAATCAGTCGAGTCCACGGAACACGCCGACCGGTGGTATTTGGCGTGTAAACTATGATCAAGGCAATCAACCAAACTTACCTGGCGAGCCTTTGACAGTATGTTTGGATCCTGGGTGCTATCCATGCGAGCTTTTGCTTCGAGCGCATCCGGGCGAGTCAGCATCTTGACGAAAGCGTGGCGTTTGTCCTGGTTGACGATGCAGCTCTGGACTTTTCCGAATTGACTGAATATGCTTCGGATTTCCGATTCTGTCCCAGTAGCACCACCTATGAAAAGTGTACGGCTTAAAACCTTGATATGGTCACGGGGAAGTGTGCGGTCCCAGTCTATAAACTTCGGCGACCCATTCTGGTACGCCGGAACATTATCGCCGCCACTACCTCGCCTAGGCGGAGGCGTACGTTGACGATATTCATTATGATCATTACGACCACCGCGGTTCCTACCTCGACCACGGCCACGATCACCTCGATCTTGGCGGTTCATTGGGTCGCCATTAGGGCCTGCATTTGGATCGTAAACTCCATACGTTGGGCTATCGCGTCGTGCTGGAGGGGATCTACGTGGAGACTGCTGACGCCGGTTGTACTCAGGTGAGCGGCTACGATCCCGGAATCTACTGCCATTCTGTTCATATCGATCTGAGTGTGCACCATTCTGTACTTGAGGCGCCTGCAGGGTAGGTGCAGGTTGCGAAGGCGGTGCGGGAAGACCGCCATTTTGAGCCGCAGCCAGCATGTTCAGTACTTGCAATCCTTGTTCTTGGCTAATTGTACCGGCTTGCATAGCTTGAAGTATTTGACCTGCCATTTCAGTGACACCCTGTGCCGTATTACCATTGGGCTGCGGGTTATTCACCGCTGGAGCCGGCGGAGGTTGCGGCGGTGCGAATCCTGGCGGCGGTGGAGGGAACGCTGCATTCTGAGGGAACGCTGCATTCTGAGGGAACGCTGCATTCTGAGGGAACGCTGCATTCTGAGGGAACGGCAGCGGGGGTACAGCTGCAGACATGGGGTTAGTATTGTTGTTTTGTTGTGGCGCAAACCCAGCCAACACGGCGAGTAGCGCGTTTGTATCCTGTGAAGGTGCTGCTGGTGCTGCTGCAACGAGATGAGGTGGGTTAGTCGGGAGGCTCGGGTGGCATGGTGCCTGGAGATTCTTGGCGGGGCTACCTGTAGGAGTAAAAGCGCCTGCAACGCATGTAGTCAGCAACTGCAGACAAAGGTCAAGGGATGGTCGGGGATGAGTCTTACTAGTCTTCGTATTGCCGAGTTGCTGCTTGAAGCCGGCTAGCATATCTTGGGGAAATGTCTGCCCACGTTCCCAAATCTCGACCAACTTCAAAATCTTTTCCTTCTGGTTGTCCGGTGCTGATTGAGAAATATCGGTCATAAGAAGAGGTAGAATATCGGTGACCTTCTGCACACCCGAAGCGAATGTACCAGGAGCGGCATTGCGAGAAACTGTCTGTCCAGTCTTCTTCGCGCGGTCGAGCCATTGACGGACCACGGAATCTACAACATAGAGCACTCCAAGCTTATAGTTGCCGGGGCTGTTCTTGAATTGCTGGGCGATCTTCTGGACGATAAGGACATCGGACTACGCAGACACGAGGTTAGTATGGACTCAACAGGGGAGAAGACAAAGTTTCGTCCACATGGTGGTACCCCAGGATATGCAAGGAATGAGTGGCGCATTCAAGGATCGGCGGATGGTATGGCCCTCGATCTTCGCATGGCCAGACTTTGAGTGGTGCATCCCGAGGTATCATGGATTGTTCAGAGATTTGTCCTGTCGCATACCTGTACGTTGTCCACACTCTTCTGGGTTATCTCCTTGATTTTGGTCGCTGTTACGCCGGGCGGCTTTCCCGCCTGCAGTGACTTGAGGAGGCTCTCGAGCTCCTCCATCGCAGCCATGGCGCCGAACTGCGCTCGAAATTCGATGATTCCTAGAGTGACACAGGATATGAAACTAGATCAGAACCGACGATAGATAGGAAATTCTCCGGGTGTGATAAGAAAAAGCGCGAGCGAAGTCGCTGTCTTTGTACTTTCGGCGGTGAGAGATCTAGATGGCACGGGCGTTGGCGAAAGTGCGGATGCACCGGGAAGGTTCAAGTTTCAATGCAGGTGGTCAACAGTGGCACGACTGCGCTGTCCTCGAGAGCTGAGCTGGCGGCCGCCGTTTAAACCTACGTACGCGGCGGGGTGAAAAAGAGCAGTTGCGCAATCCTACTCCACAGTAGCGGGAGTTGCTACGGCAGGTTTAAGATAGTCGATAGGTAAGAGAAGTGTGCAGAGATGGCCTTGCGCTCAGCGGCTGCAGGTGTGCTCGTTGTCAGAGAGGGGAGAGAGATGGCAGCGCGTCGCAGAATCGGCAAGGGCGCCCAAGCGGCACTTACATAAGCGCGCACGTGACTTGGGCCGCGGTTGAGGAAAATCCCGCGCGGCGCGCCGCAATCTGCGGGCGCGAAAGACGGCAGCAGAATTTTCGGAAGCTGGGGTGTCCTATGGTATGGTACGCCGCTACAACGTGTCCTGATGCTCGTAGTAGCGATTGCGTCTTGATATTGTTGCACACATTCCTCTTGATTTCTCGGCAACAAACCGTGACTTCACGTTGAGCTCCGGCACATGCAGGATTTGCGCACCATCATCATTAGTGAGAACAACAAGCTGCGTGCCTGCACAAGTAGCCGATGTGGCGCATGTCTGCAGGTGGACAGTGGAGTCTCGGGTTGGGGCAGCGGTGCCCGCTCTCCGAGAGCTGGCGCCGCCTGGCCAGGGTGCCCGTCGTTGAGCGACAGAATGACGCTTAGCTCGGAGTGGTGGGTCACGTCCGAGCTCAGGTCTCATCGCAGCTCGCCCATCAATAGCGACTATTTTTTCCTCCGCCGCTCCTCCACTCCTTTCCTCCATCCCCATCATCTTGCTTGTCTTAGACCTGCATTACACAATGGCCTCCTCGTTGCGATTGAGCACTCGCGCGTTCCGCGCTGTGCCTTGCACTCCGCTGCGGTCCTCCGCCTTCACTGGCTTCCGCAACTACTCGACTGGCAAGACCCAGGTCCGCACTTTCCGCCGACATCATCGGAACAGATGCTAATCCATCAATTGCAGTCCCTCAAGGAGACCTTCGCCGCCAAGCTTCCCGGTGAGATCGAGAAGATTAAGAAGCTCCGCAAGTATGCGCCGCCGGCACCAAGATCCTTATCGCAGCGCTGACATCCATTCCCAGGGAGCACGGCAACAAGGTTGTCGGCGAGGTCACTCTCGACCAGGTGTACGGCGGTGCTCGTGGCATCAAGTCCCTCGTCTGGGAGGGTTCCGTCCTTGATTCCGAGGAGGGTATCCGCTTCCGCGGCAAGACCGTACGTTGATACACATCGCATTGGACGAACACCACAAATAACACCAGCTAGATCCCCGAGTGCCAGGAGGTTCTTCCCAAAGCCCCCGGCGGTCAGGAGCCTCTTCCTGAGGGTCTCTTCTGGCTCCTCCTCACTGGCGAGGTCCCCTCCGAGCAGCAGGTCCGCGACCTGTCTGCCGATTGGGCTGCCCGTTCCGATGTCCCCAAGTTCGTCGAGGAGCTCATCGACCGTTGCCCCAACGACCTCCACCCCATGGCCCAGTTCTCCCTCGCCGTCACTGCTCTCGAGCACGAGTCCAACTTCGCCAAGGCCTATGCTAAGGGCATGAAGAAGACCGAGTACTGGGAGCACACCTTCGAGGACTCCATGAACCTCATCGCCAAGCTCCCCACCATCGCCTCCAAGATCTACCGTAACGTCTACAAGGACGGACGCGTTGCTGAGATCCAGAAGGACAAGGACTACTCCTACAACTTGGCCAACCAGCTCGGTTTTGCCGACAACAAGGACTTCGTTGAGTTGATGCGTCTCTACCTCACCATCCACACTGACCACGAGGGTGGAAATGTCAGCGCTCACACCACCCACTTGGTCGGTTCCGCTCTCAGCTCTCCTTACCTCTCCCTGGCCGCTGGTCTTAACGGTCTTGCTGGTCCTCTCCACGGATTGGCCAACCAGGAAGTGCTTGTCTGGCTCCAAAAGATGAAGAAGGCCATCGGCAACGACATCTCCGACGAGTCGATCAAGGACTACCTCTGGTCCACCCTCAAGGCCGGCCAGGTCGTCCCCGGTTACGGCCACGCTGTCCTCCGCAAGACCGACCCCCGCTACGTCTCCCAGCGCGAGTTCGCCCAGAAGCACCTGCCCGACGACCCTATGTTTAAGCTTGTCAGCCAGGTCTACAAGATTGCCCCTGGTGTTCTTACCGAGCACGGCAAGACCAAGAACCCGTACCCCAACGTCGACGCTCACTCCGGTGTTCTCCTCCAGTACTACGGCCTCACCGAGCAGAGCTACTACACCGTGCTCTTCGGTGTCTCCCGTGCCCTCGGTGTCCTCCCCCAGCTCATCATCGACCGTGCCGTCGGCGCCCCCATCGAGCGCCCCAAGTCCTTCAGCACTGAGGCTTACGCCAAGCTCGTCGGCGCTACTTTGTAAACGTGTCGCGACGATGTGGGAGAGTATAATAAACAGATCAGGAAGGTGGCTCAAGACTGAGACGACTTTCTGTGTACCAATTGTATAGGGTGTAAGGATAGGGACGTGCGTTTTGGTGTATTAGCATGCATCGAGTTTCATTTACCTGATGATATCTGGGCTGTAGAAGTATCTTTTAGTCGAGTGACCAATACCACGCTTGAAAAGTTTATTTATTACGAAGTTCTACTATGACAGTTGAGAGTTGGTTGTGTTTTTACTTAAGCGGGAACATGCCGATCGTTGGTTGGCGTGGTACTTTAGAACACCAAGACCCTGCAGAAGTGCCGACATGGGAATGGAGTCTGCATTCCGCAGGATCAGGTACAGCTCGCGATGCTCTGGCGCCCCTATTCTACAAAATTTGAGGCTTTCAGTCCTACTAAAAGTAGCGCATGTTCACAACAGAGCCACAGTGTCCAAGCGTCCCACCAGATGGCCTTCCCGCGGGAAGGACGAGGCGATCACTATGTGTGGCTCAATGCTTACGCCTCAGCTCAGCACCGAACTCCCCGAAGTGACCTTTCACGAATGGTGTCCGGCAGAGCCATTCCCGAGGCCGGGCATTATCGGGCGGGTAGGTGGCGCTGAGGTTATGACCGTCAGGCGTGGGTTCGGCTGTTGGGCCCAGGTCCGACGCTTTGGGGAGCGGCTACTAGCCCATCATTCTGTGTCGGCGCACTGTTGAGAAGAGCGGGTCACTGCTAGGAGAAGCATTGAGCGTCGCGGGATACATTGCAATCGAAGCAGCGCATTCACGTGTGTAAAATACAATGACAGAGCGCCGTGCGGGTCGGCACATTTTGTAGACTCACATGTCAGAAAAGCAGTGTGAACTTGCTGCAGAAGGTCGAGTGCTCCGCGCCCGAAGCACATGGCCTTGGCGCATCGCGTCGAGCTCCCGCAAGTCGCCCAGCACCGCCCGGACCCTTTGTGAGCGCTAGGGCACGTCGTCCCCTTCCCGCGGCTTTACCCTTCGTCTTTTTATTCCACGCATTCGGTTTTGCTGACATACTTCACAAGTCACTCCTGCCCTCCGTAAATCTCTCTTCAGCGCACGACGCGCCCTTCTGCCTCGGTCCGGCCCCCGTAGTCGACAACTACTCCCAGATATGACAGACGCCGCGACAATCGCTGGCTTGCCAGCTGCGCCGCCGAAGCTAGAGAAGAAGCCCGTCAAGTTCAGCAACTTGCTGTGTGAGTCCTGCTTCGGAAAGACTACCGCAGAGTGAATTGAAGCTAATCGGCGCCTCTGGATTGCAGTGGGTGCTGGATTGAACTTGTTCGAGTAAGTCCAAGACGACGAGCTCTACTATTTTGGAACGATCGCTAACCGTTCCGTGCAGGGTTACAACTTTGGGACAGCCACTTGAGGTGGTGAAGACGAGTAAGCAGACGCACGGCACACTTATCGCGCGGGATCATGGTTAACGACATCCCTAGCAATGGCCGCGAACAGAGCCGATGGCTTTGCAGGAGCTATTGGCCGCATCTGGGGCCGTGGTGGTGTCCTTGGGTGTAAGTTCCCCCGGTCAGATTGATGCGAAATGCGGGAACAGACGCAGCATGCGCTGTAGGATCTATTCGAGGACAGCAGCTAACCAGCCGGTCACAGTTTACCAAGGCCTCATCCCCTGGGCCTGGATCGAAGCGTCTACAAAGGGCGCCGTCCTCCTCTTCGTCGCCTCCGAGGCCGAGTTCTACGCCAAGTCGTTCGGCGCCAACAACTTCGTGTCGGGTATTTCCGGTGGTATGGTTGGTGGTCTGGCGCAAGCCTACGCGACCATGGGCTTCTGCACCTGCATGAAGACGGTCGAGATCACCAAGCACAAGGTCGCAGCCAGTGGCGTGAAGCCTCCGGGCACCATGGAGACGTTCATGGACATCTGGCGCCGGGAGGGTATTCGCGGTATCAACAAGGGAGTCAATGCAGTCGCGGTCCGCCAGGTCACCAACTGGGGTTCCCGATTCGGTCTCTCCCGTATGGCCGAGTCCGGTATCCGCAAGGCTACCGGCAAGGAAGGCGGCGAGAAGCTCAGCGTCATCGAGAAGATCACCGCGTCTGCCGTCGGTGGTGGTCTCAGCGCGTGGAACCAGCCCATCGAGGTCATCCGCGTGGAGATGCAGTCAAAGAAGGAGGACCCCAACCGCCCAAAGAACTTAACCGTCGGAAAGGCCGCAAAGTACATCTACTCGCAGAACGGCATGAAGGGATTGTACCGCGGTGTTGCCCCCCGTATCGGTCTTGGCGTCTGGCAGACAGTCTGCATGGTCGCTTTGGGTGATGTGTAAGTGCCGCCGCAGTCCACCATATATTTACGCTTTCTAATATCTTCCAAGTGCCAAGGAAGCTGTCGAGAAGCTCACGGGCGACAAGGTTACAGCTAAGCACTAGACGGGGTTCCGGTCTTGCTTATCTAACAAGCTTCTAATTTGTTGTCTGTTTATCTGGGGTTATAGTGGATTCTGCAACGATTGTGACATTTTTAGGATGCCTCGCAACTGGGCATATTTGCCAGTGTTTGCCGCTGCATAGACTTGGATTTGGGGCCTGGGAAGGCACACCATATTGATAGACTCGCATAATGCTATGAGCAATCAATCTTTCGCTTTTGGTGGAACACATGCAGTAACCACAAATCGTCACTGAGAAGCACAGTTGGACAAGCCCGCACGTGCAACACGGCTGTGGGAGATGTGTCTGAGTTCCTATTGCACCCATGCATTGTCATTGTTGCGTTGCGCTTACCCTTCGAGTAGAGCTGTCGCCTCGACGCTGATTGGCCGAGGCGCCTGACCAAACGTCACATGGCTGTTAGCCCAACCTAACTTGTACCTCAACATTTCTACACATACTGCTTCCAGACTACATGACATTCGCGACGACCACGATATGCTGGCAAAATGTATGAGCCTGTCTCATGCGTTCCAACGGGCGTACATATTGGGCGTGCCAGGGTAAGTTACCAGTCAGTGAGGCTTTGAGGGTTCAAATGCGGTTATCCACATGCTCTCCATCAAGTGTGCTAATGCCTTACAGTTCCTGAGCTCCCCATCGCCCATAGTCAAACACTGGCGCTGCGACCTTACAGCTCTCTCACACGTTTATAATCTCTACTTTGTTGCCTGCAATGAGGAAATCTACGTATACTCTCCTTTGTTTCCCTCTCAAAATCTCGGCGACCCGGTCAAAACTATCAAAGTACCGAAAACAGGGCTTCCGACTCCGCCAGGTATCGACACTGAGCACGCGCACAGTATTACGAGAATATGTGTGGACTATTTAGGTAATACAGAGGTGCTGTTGGTTACGTGTGATGATGGGGATGTGGTGGTGTGGAGGGTTGGGGAGATCGTGAGTCTGACCGAGCGTTGTTCTGCTTTGCAAGTCCACTCTCACTGGTAGAAACTGATTGGGTCAGAACCGTGCGATTACCAGTCTGGAAGATTCTCCGGGCAGAGATGATGAAAATGACATGGAGCAACATATTTTACCCTTGCAGCACATCAACGTAGGCAGCAGCGCGTGGGGCCTTGCCGTCCATCGAAACGCACGGCTTATTGCGATTAGCGCAAATACCCACCTCGTAACCGTTGTGGCTTATGGCCTGTCGCAACCCGAAGGCGGCCAGAACGAATTTGCCTTTCCACGAGATCAGAACCAAACTATTACTTTGCGTGTATGTCGTTGCGAATGGATCCGGGCAGGAACATTGTGGTCGCAGCCCGGCGGGCAAGACCACGAATTGATTGAGTTCTGAGCTGACATCAATCCTGTAGTCTCAAACGAACATTCCTGCTGTATCTTTCGACAACACTGGCGGAGATCCGACGGGTAAGCTAGTCTCCCACTATCTTTAGCTAGAATCTCGTCTTGTTGGTGGAGTTGTACCCATAACTGACTCGAGTTCAATCTTCCAGGCAGATGGCTTGCTTCCAGCAGCATCGATGGACTTACACACTTATGGGACCTTAGCAGACCATATCAGCCTGCCAGGGTCATAGCAGTACGCCACTGCGTGAGTGTATCCAATGCACCTGACCTGGTAAGTTCGCCTGATATCTTTGTAGTCGCAGACTCTTAATCACTATGCAGCGGGTTCTTCTAGGATACACGATCGAGGGACCAATTGTACGGACACCAAACTCTGTCTATGTATAAGGGTCACTTCCAGGCTGACCACGGCTAGATCCCAAAGTCTTGCAGATGTTCTAACAGGAATCAAGTGCCACATGCAGCCTGGGCAGCCATGTTCATAGACCCACGAGCATGTCACCACGTTGATTCGCTTGCAGAGGTATGCGGATTTGAAGTCGATGCTCAAGCATCTGTGTCTTTCCGCAATTCCCAGTTTTGGGATATTACGGACGATACAAACCGTTTTGGGTCAGGCAGAAAAGAAACTACTCCCGCTTGGTCTTTTGGTCCGTCGTGGGCTACGTGGGCTACAGAAGAAACGCCGCTTGTCTCAGCAGTTCCCACAGCAGAAAATCCGGATGATAACCAGAGTGCTAGTAGTGAAGGGTCGGGGCAGATGTCCATCGACTTTCCGTCTGACGACGAAGCCATGCACACACTTGCATCAGCAATGGTCGAGGCAGTTGATCAGCTCGTGGCGCAACAAGAGCAGTTCGTAGCGAACGAAGAAGAACCTGAGGCCGACCTCTTCGCGACTCCCCACTCGTCTACTGAAGATCAAATAACTCTTCCTCCACCTTCACCTTCGACTGGCCTTGCAGCATCTCATGAAGCGTCACAGAGCGGCGAAGAAGATGATGTGTCAACCTCAGAAGATGAAGTGGGCGACATCAGCTCGAACCAGGCAAAGAAGCCATATTGTGCTTTCGCAACTTCAAATCATCATAAGGAACACTCAGCTGAGGTAAGGCCATCACGAAATACTTCCGCAAAAGGCTGTACGCCGGCGATAGGTCGGCTATCGCTCTGGCATGATATAAGTGATCCGCGGGATGTGTTCTATTGCGATTGCCCAGAGCCAGTTCACAAATCGCAAGCCTGAACCAAATTGACAGGCGCCGTCTCCAACTCATGGGAAATGCACTGACGGACCACGCTAACAGACATTCGCAGCTCCCCACACACCAACACCGACCCATAATCATCGTCACAAAAGAAGAAATATACCTCTTCCAACGGCCCCTCGACCCGATGACAAGCTCATCTTTCCCGATTCTTACAATGCAGAACCCCCTCTATCCGCCACATTCCTACCATCATACCATTGCCGACCCTGTAACCATCTACCACCGGCAGTGCTTCACCGCGCAGATCCCCGAACTCGGCGTCTTTATGATCGGCTCGCCGGCGGGTCGCGTAGGCATATTTCGACTCACCAGGTCACGGTACCAGACCGAGCATAGCAACAAAATAGTTGGCTTCCGGCTAGATCACTTACTGCCCTCGTCGAAGGATGAAGTGAAGTATGGCCTTCTCGATCAATTGGGAAAACAGTTGGTTGGGGTTGCGGTGGGTCCGGTGCAGGGTATGTTTGATGCGGAGGAAGCGGGTGAAGAGGGGAGGAATGTGGGTACAAGGCGGTGGAGGATGATGATGTATTATCACGATCATACAGTTCTTACTTACGAGCTGGGAAAGTATGGTGGGGCTGACGATGTGAGGGTGGATGAGTTGATGGTGTAGTATGGAGGGCAGGGATACACGATTATTCATGAAAAGTGCACACAATAGTGGAACACTCTCAGGTAACGCCTCAAAGTTTACACCAAACTCACCGTGAATGCAACCACTTGGCCCCTGGGCCAGACTGCACTGTGCCGCAATCGCGAATGCCCGAAATACATTCAGCCCACCATTATATCGCTGTCTGTAAATTCCTTAGAGAGGCCAGGTGCCTGTCTAATTGTCATTGCTCACAAGATCCTGCCGGTCATAGAGAGCATGATACCGGTCGATCTTTCAAGTATCCTTGGACTTCATCTCTGCGAACCCCTCATAATGATTTTTGGCGTCCGATGCTGAAGAGAAGGTAGTTACCGCCCCGGGACCTCTTTGGGTCACTCGTGCGAGAGGGGGGTCAGAGAGATGATCGTTTGGCGAACGCAGAGGGCCTGAGCACCAAGGTCACGTGCGTCAGCTGTGCCGCTTCTGATCCATGAAGTAGCATATCAGTCTCAAGTTGCGGTACATTCGGCGCAGACACTCAAAACAGGTTGTAAGACCTCTGGATTGACGTGCGAGAGATGAGTAAGGCGATGTTTCCATCATTCGTTGGCGCCCTCGTCGTCGGGCTGGTCACAGTCATCTTCACCTTCTCAATCAAGCTTTACCATGCTCGCATGTTGCTTATAAAACGCCGACGGCAAGGACTTGTAGGACGTATTTCTATTGTCATTTTAGGAGCATTCACCTGACCCGATCGCAGCCTACAGCCCCGAACCACTCGTTTCTCTTCGGTCATCTACTCTATCTCAAGACAATACTTGATCACCATCCAAAAGATGCACACTACCAATTTGGATTTGCGGCAGTCGCTAGAGAAAATTTTGCTGCTGAGGGCGCATTTTACATTGATCTTTGGCCGATGAGCGGATTATTTCTGACCGTCGTCTCACCGAAAATTGCAACTGAGATAACGCAATCCAATCCAAATCTCACTTCCGACCGTCCTCAGCTTCTTCGCCGATTCTTGAAACCCATCACCAGCGGTGCTACGATCTTTGATATGGACGAGAAGGACTGGAAGCCGTGGCGGGCTATGTTCAACAAGGGGTTCCACAATGAGCGCATGTACAGTCTCGTGACCAGCATGGTCGAAGAGGTGCAAGTATTTGCTACAGATTTGCGTGGGTACGCAGCGAGAGGAGAAATCTGCTTATTGGATCCGCTCACGTTACGTTTCGCTATCGATGTGATAGGAAGGACTGTCCTGAACACCTCGCTGCACGCACAGACGGGCTATAACGAGCTCGCAGACAGCATGCTCAGCCAGGTCCGTTGGCATAATTCCAACGCAGAAGTAAACCCTTTCAGTCATTTTAATGTCGTACGCTCCTTTGTCCATTGGAAGAACACGAGGAACATGGATCGGTATATTGGTGCGGAATTGGATAGGAAATTTCAAGAGTATAGGACGGATCCTGAGAGCGCGTTATCGAAGTCTGTGATCGACCTCGTGCTACAGAAGTACCTCAAAGGATACGAAAGGTTACCCACCAAGCTAGACTCCAATTTCCGAGCCTTTGCAATCCGCCAGATTAAACTTTTTATATCTTCGCAGGGTACGACTCAACAGGAAGTACCATCTGCTACTGTTTCCATCTTCTCTCGCAGCACCCAGAGGTATTCTTCACAAATATGCGTCAGACAATCAGCAACTGACCATCGCTGCTGTCAGGTTCTGAAGACCCTCCGCGAAGAACACGGTCAAGTGCTCGGCTCCGACCCCACAGCCGCTGCTTCTCTCCTCGCCCGAGATCCACGCACCATAAACAGCCTGCCCTACACACTGGCAGTAGTAAAAGAAGTCCTCCAACTCTTCTCGCCAGCAGGCACCACGCGCGCGGGCAAACCCAGCGTCAGCGTCACCGACGATGCCGGGAACATGCTGCCCACCGACGACGCCATTCTCTGGATCCTGCACGTAGAGATGCATACTTCGCCTAACTACTGGGTACGTCCGACCAAATTCTTGCCTGAGAGGTGGCTCGTCCCGCCCGGACATGAGCTACACCCAAGGCCGGGCGCGTGGCGGCCTTTTGAACTGGGGCCGAGGAACTGTGTGGGGCAGAGTTTGGTGCTTATCGAGCTGAGGGTAATCTTAGCTTGCTTGGTCAGGGAGTTTGACGTTGCGCCTGCGTATGAGGATTGGGATAGGCTGCATCCGAAGAAGGGGACACAGGTGCTACGGGGGGAGAGGGCGTATCAGGTTGAGCAGGGGGCGGCGCATCCGGTGGATGGGTATTCTTGCTGGGTGAAGGTTTTTGGGACAAAGTGAGTGAATCGCTTTATTTACAGAAATGTTCAATCAGACGGAGCTGGCTTTTTTGTGATTGAATCCCGTTGCAATATTTTGTTATCTTAAGAAGTTTGTTTTGGGGTCAGATTCAGAGGGTGTGCGTCTAATGGAGCATTGTGGTCGTCTCTCCTGCTCCTTGATATCCACATCTCAAGGTTGATTGGAATAGGAATCGGTATTGCTGCTCTGCTTTAGGCGAAAGATGTTGCCCTATGGACTAGCATGGAGTTCGAAGAAGCAAGAAAAGTTGAAATTATATGCCGCCTCCGAGTCTACTGACACATGACTAGCGTTTGCTATGTTAGGGTTACGTGTGGAGAGTATTTGGTAACCTAGTAGATTTGTTCGGGTCCTCGTACGACTTGTCCAACCGTGCTTTGTTTTCCACACTGTTCGACGTGCCATCGTTGTGGATGATGTGGGCAGGACCGGAGCTGAGTACTAAATAACTAGACAGTACAACCTAGCGCTGGGGCTATGGTATATGGGCCATCATACTGCCCATATGCTTCATCCCACTGGCTCCAAGTCTTTTATGGGGTTAGAAAAGAGCCAAAGACAACACATAAGCACTTCCGAGCGCATTCAGAGGCCAGAGTAGGTTTCGAATTCTATTCGTATTGCTGTTGCTTGCTGCTACGGTATCACTGATTCTGCCCCTAGCTCACCGACACGCATCGCAATCAACCGTGCGTACCAAGAGACCATGCATCTTTCGCTGATTAGCGCCCTGGCTTCAGCTGCGCCGACTGTTTCCCTAATGTTCTTCATGAGGAATTGCAAATTACGTGAGACGGAGCAGCATAACCTCCCAACTCTTTCCCGTAGACCATTTCCCACAGGGAATTGCGTGGTCACTTCTCCAAGAATTAGAGGTTGACCACTCGAACAACTCGCAATATAAGGGATCGTATATCTCGGCTTCGGTAATTCTGAGATCTTGCAACTTTGGGCGTATCTTCAGATGCTTCTCCAACGTGGCCAACTTGGACATGAACTTAGGTTGCGACAGCTGAGGTGCTCCGATTCCGATATCTCCAAAATCTATAGAATATAGTACAGGATGACACCAATGGCTTCACTGAATGTTTCAGCAATGCATCAATACGTAAATATCTTATTTTTTGGAAACGCGTTCGCCGAAGGGAAGATAGTGCCCTTGTTCAATTTTACGCCACGGATGTCGTCGCAAAAGAAACTCCCAAGTAGACCACTCTTGAACTTCTCTGGCGCATAAACAATAGCTCAAATGTGTTCACTGCGAATAGTAAGTTGGCGCTTCGGTTGACAATCAGTATTTTGTCGACCCGGATCATTATGCACGTGTAACTTATTTAGTGATTTGGAATTTGTGATTGAAACGGCTTCGCCGAGCTTGTCAGTATCCCACTCGTCCGCGGAAACCAGACGGAGTGTCTGTTCTTCTAGATGTGGAAAGCGGTCGGACGGCCCGTTGGGTACTTCAGGTTCACTGTATGCAAAGTGAGCACCGGGATTTGGCCAATTCCTCCACCGGTTTTCATGTTGTGCGTAATCGAAACCATCTGGGTAGTTTGGGCCCCACTTGCCCGCTAGTCGACTCGGCAGGTGCAACGAGTACATGGTGGCAATGACAAAGGTGTTTTGATGGATCAAATTGAAGGTACGCAATAGACGATGTATATTCTAGACGAAGGGGCGCGCTATACTATAGGGCAGTGTGCCAGTGAAACCGCTAGTACTAAGGCTGTATGACGCTGGACTTCGTCGCGAACACAACTAGAATCATCGCAGGCACTCGCTCCGTCAAACGTCTGTGAAGATGTGCTTTCAGAACCTATAATCTATATTCATTTACTGACATAAGAACATCCGAAAGGCAGACAGGGTCGGACATCCCCGAGTTCTTGTTGTCATTTGTGTTCACTGGGATAACACAAGTCAGCGTGAGTCATGACAGGGTGATGAAAACGCTGTGAATATCTCGGCCTAGACGACTATGATTCTTCCGCATGACACACGGTTCGAGGTTATATCGAGAAGATCGTAGCTGTAGTATCGTTGTACACATTTGTTCGCTTCAGTATTAATGATTGTGCCAATCAGTTCATAATCATTGAACGACAGAAATCGCTCCTGGAGTTTTTTTTTTTTTTTTTTTTTTTTTTTTTAGCAAGGATCTCCCGTCACGCAAGCGCCGATAGGACGATGGAGGAATTGGTAACGAAGCCATCAACTACAACTGTCAGCTCACCACCTTTCAAAGCTGATTAGAGGTTGGACTTACGATTCGCATTATACCTGACCATATCCGTCGCAGCCTGCGGACTCGTTGTAGCCGCAATGTCATCAACCCACACCACATCGTATCCCTTATAATACGCATCCAGGAACGTTCCCCATACACACTGATCCGCGTTCACACCGCCAAAGAACAGCGTCGTGATCTGGTTTTCTTGCAGATAGAGCCCAAGTGGAGTCTGGGCTCCCCACAATCCACTCAAGCGGTTTTTGTTGAAGTAGAAGTCCGTTCCGTCCGCAACACCTTTGACCTGTGCATCGTACAGCGGCCCGTAAGGTCGCGCGTTCCAGCTTCCTCTCATCAATGTCCGCCCGGCATAAGTCCCGTTCACCATACCCATCTCGCTCCCAAAAGTGGTTAATGGAGAATTGTCCGAAGAGAAGCCATCCAGAAAGGATGGCGGTATGGTCAAGAGGTCGTATTCGTCCAGGCCCCAATTTGTCCAGAGGACCGGCATGCCCTTCTTTCTGAACCCCTCGATCATGTTGAGTGTAGGTTGGACAGCGGTTCTTCCCCCGGTTGCCTTGGCGTTTAGGTCTGGATGCAGGAAGAAGTTTTGCATGTCAATGATGACGAGTGCTGAGCGTGAAGGCTCAATAATGGCGGCTTTCCGGGAGCCATTCATGGGAATCGTGACAGGGGTCGTGGTGGGAAGATACAGAGCTCGAGTCAGATCAAATGTCTTATTGGGAAGAGCTACCCAGTAGTTGTAGATGTTCCCGAGGATGGTGGTATCACCAGGTGGTAATGTGAGATTCCCATATGCTTGGATGAGCTGCTGCGTGTGCGCTATTGTGGCAAGCGAAAGGAAAGAGGTCAAGAGATTCATCTTGACAACTGTGCGATGACGACCGAGGCGAAGCTGAGACGTGCACAGATTGTGAAGATTACAATGGTATGCAGACGTGATGCATCAGGGCGGGGCTTACAATGTTTAATAAAGCATGCATATCGCGATGACTCCAGACCAGTACCAACGCGCAGTCACTTGGAACCTTTGTCACAATCACATTCCGCCAGGCAGTTGTCCATCGCAGCGTATTTTGTCGATACCTGCAAGATTGTTGGAGGCTACGATATCCAAGATCAACATACAGTCTTCCTAAACAGGAAGGTAGTTGTGCAGCATCGCGTTGATAGCGGCGAAATGCTGGGGTACATCATCGGCAGGAACATCTCCGGCATGTAGAATCGGGGAACGGTGCATTCATCAGATGCGGAGTGAGAAATTACCCTCAACGTCGGATAGGGCGATATTGAAGTCCTAACTCTTAGCCGTCGGACCTGATTCCGAGAGTTCCGTGCCTACTATCAGGTGTGCCCCAGAACGAATTAGTAGACCGCGTCAGTGCCAACAGTGTTACAGGACGAATTTTGATGGCGCTCAGTCTGCACTCGGATTCGGGAAGACCACAGCAGTGAGAATAAAATAGTAATATAGTGTTGCAATTTTGTGCTGTTTCTGGGCGATTGGATGGCGTTGGCGTGGCGCAAAAGTTCAGTGACGCACCGAGCGTACCCTCAGCTTCTCCCACGCGACACACCCCCATTGCCTCCAAACCCCTAAAAAAGAAACTCAGTGTCGCTTCTGTGGATCGAACACAGTACCTCCAGATCACATCTCGAATTCGAATTGAACCGAAGTTTGCCGACGGGGCGGATTGCTTCAGTCTGGCGCTCTCCCAAGTGAGCTAAAGCGACTTCTTGAGTTGTTTGATGTAATCGTTTGCTATTTCTACATATATAACTAAGAATTCAGAGCAGGTGAAGAAGAAGCAAAGTTCTGTGGCACCGGATGGTAAGCGAAAAGTCTCCGAGTGGTCCCCGCTTAGTGTGTGAGCCAGGGCCAATAGTGACGAACCACTAGACAAGTGATGAGAAACGACCTGTGCTTGAAGGCAAGCATCTGAAAATGTTTTCGTGTTAACGGGATGGTAGATCCCAGATCTACTGGAGGTGGTGGCTCAAGCTTCACGAGCGTGCTCACGTGTACTGACTAATAAGTCAGCCACATTCCCAGCTATCTTCTCTGTTCCGCCTGCATTCAAATGATGGTATGATGCGTATTCACTGTGAGAGCTTAGCTGGTCTGTAGGTGGCTTATAGGTTGTTGTTGAAATGTAAAGGGTGAGCTGAGGATCGATCGAGATTCCCCTGGCCTCCATTATGAACGGCCACGGTTATCAACCCGGATGTTTATCCCTGGTCGTCAAGAACACGTGATTGCTATAGTAGGACTGGCTCAGGTGTGCGCCTGCAGCACCGTGCGCCAAGACTGAGGTGTGCGCTAATCCGCTTCCCGACGTCGCGCGCGCTACGACGCCAAAACACGCCCATCAACAAAGAGTATACGCGACGACATCCGCCAAATGAGCCGTGAGACGCTCACCAACTCTCGCTCTCTCAACTCGTCGTAGGAAGACCTCGTTGAAGTATACATGGCGCCCGCAAAGAAGCGCGAAACGCGCGAAAACCAGTTCTACGATGTCGGCGTGCAGGGAAGGTGAGAGATTAAAACAGAGTTGTTTGCGCACGTCGCAATGACTGACAAATACAGGAAAACGGGCATTACCCTCGAGGACAGAGGCATTCGTGACGAACATGGCCTTGAGCCCATCTCTGGCATCTTCTCGTCACCAGAAAAATCCCCGCCAAAGCGCGCCTCGAACCAGACCCGTGGAACGCTCACAGAGTCGGAATCCATGGACCTCACAAGTACGTGTACTGGGGGACTGCATGCGCAGACGCGCCCGGCTCAATGTAGGCAAGAGTCGTCTGACCGTAATTGCAGGTCCCATTGCTCAGCCAGCAGCATCCGCCGCCAAATTGCTCCGCAGCGCCAGAACGCACCTGCCACCTCCAAAGGCGCGGTCGCCGATGAAGACCTCACTAGGTTCTTCCCCACGTCGCCAGTCGTCCATGGGCCCTCGCGCGCACCCAGAGCCCGTCTCAAGCCCCTCGCGCTCTTCATCCCATCCAGTCATAAGCCGACGCCTGGATTTCGAACAAGAAGAATCTAGTTTGCAGGAAACTCCAGCGCTTAGTGGCTCTGGTCAACGACGAGGAACACGCCGAAGCATTTATAGCATTGAACCATCGCCCAGCCGAATTACAAACAGCGCCATGGAGGAGACAATACAAGAGGAGATCTATGCGGCTGAAGCATCGGCAATCCTCAACGACATCGGAGAAGAAAGCGGGCTTCAGGACATAGGAAACGACACTATCTTGGGTGCAGAATCAGAAATCATTGAGGAAGATGCTGAGGACAACGAGGACACCACCGCCGAGGTAGAAGTCGAGCTTTTAGTGGACGTAGAAGAGCCAGAAACCATCACGGAGCCCGTCAAGCAACCTGGCAGGAGAGGACGCAAGCGAAAAAGCGATGCCGTGGAACCAGCTGCGATCGAGAAAGAAGTTCTTGAGCCCAAGAAACGAGGACGAAAACCTCTCGAGAAGAAGGACAAGAACGTGCCCGCCGCGCCGGCTGCTGCATCGCGGCGTTCGAAGCGCGTTTCTGATATCACCGAACAGGAGACAAGCACTCTGGAAGACGCCTCTGCCGGAGCTGCGGAGGCGTTCGACACTCCTGTAGCGCCCCGACCACGTGGACGACCGCCGAAAACTGCTGTTGCTGCCCCAGCGGAGATGGCCCCGCCAGCGAAAAAGCAAAAGCGCCAGGCAAAAGAGCCCGAGAAGGACAATGTACAGCCCGTTTTCAAGAAACCAAAAGCTGCACCAGTGCCCAAAAAGAAGGCTAAATCCGAGGATCCGGGGACGCTATCACAGCAAAAATCAGCGGAGAGCGGAAAACTCGTCGATGTATATGGCAAACCTATCTCAAAAGCTGACTTGGATCAAATGTCCACCACATCAGCGGGGACAAGATTCGGTCGGGGTCGGCATCTGTCTGTTTTCCGCGAATTGGAGCCTGACTCTGCCGCCACTGTGGGCCGTACTGGCAGACATCGCGTAAAGCCGATAGACTTCTGGGCCAACGAGGCAGTCTCCTATGATCCCACTGGGAACATGCAAGCAGTTGTGAATAGGGTTTACCAAGAGCCCCCGAAGGTCAAAAGGAAGTCAGGAAGAAAAGGTCAGAAGAGGTCGCTGTCTGCAATAGAAGAAGACGACGACGATGAGGTAGGAACACAACCTTGGGAAATCGAAGGCGAAGGCAAGTTCAAGGGCAACTACAAGGGCTATGATGCAGCAAACAAAATCTCGACAAATAATCTCATTGAAAGTAGTAAGCCAACTCTCGATTCTGCCTCAATTGATCATACTGACATACGTAGCAATTGCCTGGTCCGATGAGGGCATCAAACCAAAGCCTCTGCCAGACGGGTCCTTCAAGTTCATCAAATTAGCCTCAGGGCATGTCAACGACGACGACCCAAACAATAGCAAGACCTACATGAGCTGGGGTTTTCTCGAGCTGGAAGAGAACCAGATGAAACGCGCAAAAAACAGCTCAGCTATGCATATGGTCTTCCATGTTGCGAGCGGTGCTGTGGAAATCCGGGTTCACGAGAACATCCTCACTGTGCGACGTGGTGGTGTATTCCAAGTCCCTCGTGGTAAGTCCATCCTCCTTCTCCTACCTCCAGAACTTCGTTCCGCAGATCATCTATCTCGAGATTCCGATACACGACAGCTTTCTTCCCTCCCTTTTGCACTCCACATCCTGTGCGACGGCGGTGAGTTTATGCTTAACCCCGGTGTTCTGTCCAACATCGACTACGGGAGTTTGCATACATCATTTGGCTTATCGCGCAACGTCGCACGCCCACTGGACAAGCGAGCGTCGTGTGGCTGGTGCATGAACAGTGCGCTGGTGCGTTCCTCGCATGCTGTGTAACACCCTGCCCTGCTTGCTCGCCAACGTTCTGCGTCGTTCGCGCAGGACGCACATACCAACCACCATCCTTGCAGCCTTGCTTTCTCCGACCTCGTATCACGCATTCGCCGTTCTTTCTTTCTCTGTACCCACAACGATTCCTGCTTACTAACGCTTTCCTGGCAGGCAACATGTACAGCATCAGAAACGCCGGGACCAAGACGAGTCGCCTCTTCTATGCGCAAGGGTGCGAGATGCGGGTGGTCGCTGAGGACTGAGATTTCGCATTCTCTGCTGTTCACCGGATGCCCTGACTCGCTAGGTGCATGTGTTCGGACACCCGAAGAAGCGGTGAGGAACACCATTTGGCGGTGACTTCGCCTTTGTCCCATTTGGAACCAGAGTCTCGATGTGTATCTGGGATGGATGTGATGTGCGTCCCGGGGTCATGGTTCTTATTAGCGCTGCTCTGATGTTTTCGGTTCGTGTGGGTTAGTGTGTACTGCGTCCGGTGAAAGTGGATAGAGTATGGTTCGCGCTATCTTGTCGAGACGCACATGGCGCTTGGAGTAGGTGCATGATGAAGTTATGATGGTGGCTCGCGTCGCGTGTAGATCGATCACGTGAGCTTTGGCGAGCAATGCTTGGTTGATTTCCTCGACAACGACAAACATGTTTACCTGATGATAAGTCTAAACTTTACCTTCGTCAGACCACTGCCCTATCTACTTCACGGAATTCCCAATACGCTAGGAATCACCTCTCTGTCACCCAAACTATTCCGAACAAAGCCCTCCACACCGCCTCCCACCGCTCTTCACCGCCACATGCACTCGCCCATTGCCCTTGCCGTTCGTTTCCGCACCCGGCCGTTGATCCTGCGCGAGTAGGCGGCTGCGCCTTGCTTGAGGTGGAGTATCGTGGTGAGGTGGTTGCGTGGGGCCGCGCATGTTGATGTCACCGGACGCGGCGTGGTACGATGGGTTGCAGCATCGCGAGTTTCTTTATACTAGCTTGCGTGTAGGGGAGGCACTTGGAGGGGCGTTGTAGTACTGTTGACGAGGACAGGGCTAAGCGGAGCAGCCGCGGAGAGCAAGTTGTAGGATGGACCCGCGCATGCGGCTGTGTACGTGGATGTCTCGGGGAGGCTGGCGGAACGCCAGCGCGCTGCAGCGCATCAGGTCAGGGCAGGAGTGACAGGTCGCGGCCTCGTGTTGACGCCGCGCAGCGCAGAGGTTTGCAGCTGCAGCACGCTGTGCTACGCTGTCCAAGTGGCGGATGCTTCAGGCACACCCGCAGCAACGAGCGCCGATGCAAGTCGACTCGCCGCGGGGCGTTCGTACGACCGTGACTGACTGCGTCTGCCGCCGGTGGTACTGCGTCTGGGGAATCGGAAAGTACGGGCATCCGTGATGAGGTGAGATGGGAGGGTCGGACCGCGCGCTGAACGGTGAGGAGAGGGCGTGGGGTGGCGTACAGAGTGTCACAACGATCCAGCTTGCACATCAATTTTCATCTGGATCGTTTCTACGGGATCCCCGGTGAAAAGGGTGGCGTGAGAGTGTTCGCCTTGCCTTGTCTGCTTTCGTATGCTGAGAGGGAGTTGAGCGGTGAAGACGCGCTGTTGGCACCTTACTCTTCAATATTGAGAAGTTTCGGCCAGATACGAGGTATTAGGGTGTTTAAGCACAGTGCTGCTAATCTGAAATTTACACTGCAGGCGGCATAGTGTCGTGCTACGGTGCCAGAGCTGCTTTGGGTGGTGCTGGTACCACTGAGGCATACGTGAAGCGAGGGGCTTGGGATGGTGTTTATCTGAGGATATGAGATTCACGGCGTTTTCAAAAGTCTCAGTGGTGAATTTCAAATTGTATGGATATAGGTGGAAGCGTGGTAGTGGGATGTATGCGTGTGAGATCGATGTCTAGGATATGAAGTATGGGGAAGTGGGAAACGCGGGTGTGATACGAATGATGAAAGACTTCGTTGCGTAGAGGCCAGTAACGGTCGAGGTTGGCATATATGGCTTGACTTTAAGATCGTCTGCTTTCCGTTGCCTTCGAAAATCCGGACTGTCAACGAAGGGCGGCTTCTCATCACTGAGCAGTCTCCTCTCGTCACTTCGTACGACTTCCTGCTGGTAAACAAAACACCATCAGGAGGACAATCACGATTTCCTATAGCATAAAGAGATTTGTTGATGGAAGTCCGCCCCACGTCTTTGCGTACTATAGTTGAAAGGAGTGAAACAAAGACGATCGGCTTCAACACATGAACGGCAAACTAGCAGTCGTTTTGGTCTTCTCCAGCTAGACAACTCAAGACAGACGACAATATTGCCACGTAACATCTAGAGAGTGGAAAGGACAAAAAATTAGAGGTGTCAGAGGGTACAGAAAGGATAATAAGGATACGATATGCTTCCCCTAGCTCACAGCTCAATGGTTAACGCAATCAAACTCATCAGAGCAAAGCAGAATCTCTTGCCTTCAAAGGATACAGTATTGCTACGCCATTGCTCCTTGCAATGCCGTACTTTTTCAGACCGCTTGGCTCTCGTCTATCGTTCTAGAAGTCCGGCAGACGGTGCTTCGTGCACCGTTGGAGGAATTCAATGAGCGGGATGGGGCAGTGTATATGAAGTTCTGTGCGAACTATTGACGATCTCGTAGTTGGTGCGGGCTTTGTGAGAGGAAAGCCATGGTTCGCCGAATTTTGCCAGGACCTCCAGGCTGCAACGTAGCTATGATGTCTGGTAGGTGCATTCGAATGTCTTTGCAATGACAGTACCTACTGATACCTTCAATGGCCGACTATGTCACTCTCCATCATGACTAGAGCCATTTGTTGTCCTCGTGCTGTTTTGAGAACCACTGGACAAAGGATTCCAGCACATGGCTGAATTCCGCAATTTTCGTGGCAGTGGTTGTATCACTCACTCACCCCAACTCCGCGGTGTTCTACAAGCACTTACCTACAGTGCCTACCCATTTCTCTGCGTCGACCTCCCCCTTCCTCATTCTCCATCTCCAATTGCGATCCATGAACCTCACCTGCTACATCATACCCTCCTCCCGATCGCCCCTATCCCGCCATCTCCACATCACGAGCCGTGTGAACCACACCACGCGAGTCATGGTCGCCCGGCCCAGCGTACGCGCTAACAAGCGGAGGCTGCCTGAGGCTCCGCGCCAGCACCAGCGCTAAGGAAGAGGTAGAGAGCACCGCTAGGACGGATAATTTCCGAGTGGGAGCGATGGATCGTCGCCGCGGGAGATTGGGATGAGATGAGGAGAGAGGCGGGTCTGGTTCCGTGCGCGTGCGTCTTGAGGCCGAATTGCGCCGTACTAAGGAGTGAACGGGTGGGCTGTTAGGTCAGAGATTCGGTGTGATGGCTACGGCCCGGTTGTGCCTGTGTGAATGCTGGTGATGGTGAAGGGCAGGCATGCGGAGGGTGTATGCAACGGCCCGAATCGAAGCTGCGAGTATGGGCTGTTGCGGGCATTCTCAGCCGCACAGTGCGTTCGCCCGAACCAAACCATTCCTATGACGACAAAATTATCCCTCGTGAGCCAAACTCACACCCCCGTCGGCTACGTGCCCCTCCGTCCGCGCAACACCGTGCGATAAACTTTGGCACCCAGCGTTCCAACGCAGCGCTAGAACTCTATCAAGCGCGAGGCCATCCGTCATGAGAGGCAGGCCTTGCCCGTGTCCCGTTTCAGCGCTGCGCCGTGCACGCTTGGGTGACGCCGGACTGGACTGGCGACGGGGAGCCACGTTTCTCATGCCGCAGCGCAAAGCTTGAGCTCGCGCGCGCGTGAGGCCTGCGTGAACGACGTCGCTAGCTAGACTAGTGGGTCCCGAGGATGCGGATGTTTGCAGACGACATAAGCATAACGCGCCGACGCGGCCGTTCTGTGCTTGACCACGCCTGAGGTTTCGAAGCCAGTGACGAACGGGGGGAGCGGTTCGTTTCGGTTCGTGTCCGTTCTCTGCTCGGCGCCGGACGCCGAGCTGGTCGAGCAGAACAGACGAGACGATGCTCCAGACAGTGCATCCTGGTGTGAAGCTTATATACAAGCCTGCGTCCGCGACGCTGCTGGTGCGCGCTAAGATGCCGGTTGGAGATACGACACCAGGCACGTCACGGAACAGGTGGTGAACCGCGGATCCACCGCTGACAGACGGCTGAAGCAGTCGCCAGACACGCCAGGCGGGGACTGGGCGTCAGTTGTGTGTGTCCGCCTGCGCGACATGTTTCTCGTGGCCGTCTGTGTCCCTGTTGAAAGCGCGTCGCGCCGAGTCGTGTTGCATCGTCGACTCGCGGCTGGTGTCCGCGCGTGCATGAATCTGTTTGAACATGTTCGCAGGGGAGAACGGCTCCAAATGACTGTCGCAGGCACCACGCTGGGGTGACGCCGGCGGATCGCCGCGTGCTGCACCCGCGCCGTTGCATCACGTTGATCTATCCGCCCGAGCCCCCGTCGTGTCGACCCCCTTTCGCCAGGAGCAGAGTGTCAGCACATCATCGTTCCGTGGGCCTTCCATGGCGCTTCCATGATGCCTGCGGGCGTGTCTCAGACTCGACAACGGCCGCCGGCCTCGCAGGCCTCAGCTCGGTCTCTTCCAGCAGTATGAATCATGTGGGCGCCATGGTGCCAGTCAGTGGACGATGGGTGGAGTGTTTGGAACGAGGAGCCACGGCGACAGGGAGGTGGACACGGCTGGGCCTGGTCGCAATGCCTTCTTCTTTTCTTCTTCGTGCTGCGGGATTCCTTCTTCGTTGGTCTTGACATGCACGTCGCGGGCGGTCGCCAACCAACGCTTGTCACCCGCCAGGGGTTCGACACCCATGCCCCAAATCAACCCTGCCCTGTCTGTTTCATCTCCCACAGGGAACCGCGATCTCCAACGTTCTCCTACCCTTCGAGAACACCCAGCTCATGCGCCGTGATCCCATCTCGCAAGGGCGCCCATACAACTCTTCCTATGTATAGCAAACGTACTATACGATACGCTCCAGTCCACTCCAGCCCTCGCCGCACATGCAAGTGGGCTTTCGTGATCGGCGACCGGTTGACTGACGTCGTATGTCAAGGCTGCCAGGAGTAGTCGAGTTTTGGACAGTCTCGGCACCACGCAAGCATGCTCGAGGTAAGGGTTGTACGTCGCTAGACCTGGCACACGTCAACCCGAGTTACTTCCACGCGCTCCGCTTCCCTCCACCCGCCCAGCAGCAGGCGTCTCACCCAAGAACGCACTCCGCGCGCGCATGGCGGAGGTGACTCGCAGCCCTACCCGCAGACTCGACCCTCGAGTCACGCGCGCGCTGTGCAGCCGAAAAAGTGAAGCAAGCTAGGCCCTCCACGCACGCCCGCGTCAGGCTTCTCAACAGAACAAGAGGGTGTGCGTGTAGGTATGTGTGGGAGGGAAGAGATGCATGATGTGTGCGGGCGGTGACAGCGCACTTCGCGTGGGTTGCCACGTAACTGACCGCATGTCTGGAGGTGACGCCTTCTCGCGGGATACGTCATCCGCGGACGAGGGCGCCTCACCGCCATGGCGAGCTCGCGCGCGCGCCCTGCCTTCGCACGGAGTACGGCGAAAAAGTGGCAAAGTGTGCTCATGAGACGGAGCGGAGCATATCGATCGCTGGGCGGTCATATCGGGGAAGCAACGCGACATGTTCTGCTATAGCGATTGCGCGCATTAATGGATTTCATAAGAACAAGTAGACTGTGATGAGTGCGTGATACGTATATGTTGGCGCGGGACGCTGCCCACCGCTCGAGTAATGATGCTGGAAGTACAAGACAACGCTCAAAGGTAAATGTATCGTGAATGAAACGAACCGAAGAGAGACCGCTGCAAATGCATACCACAAGCACAATCGTGAGCGCTACCGCCAAAGAGGTGTATCTATCCAAAACATTGAGTGAAGGCAAAAAAAAGAAAAAAGCACACGCTATGAGGTTGTAAGACAGGCTGAGAACCAAAGAGATAATGAGGGATGAGAAATGTTGAAAACACACGCCGCCCACGCTAAATGCCAACAATCATAGCTTGCCCGCTCGATATGCTGCGATGATTAAACGCTTGAATGTCGCCCACCATGTCTTGAATCCCAGGCCATTTGCAACCGTAATGCGTCCCGACCCAACCGTGTACCGTGTGTGCGTGCCATGCTGTTCCTGCTCCCCACCCAAACGACCGTATACACCAGAATCCCACATTAAGTTTGCACTCTCTTACGGTCCCTGCCCGCAAAATTCTAATAAGCCGTTATGCTCGTTCAACGCCTCGCTGACGCACCGTCGGTCCGGTCATGCTATACCTTGACGAGGCGGGTATAGCATGGAGATTGGCGTCAGGCTGCAGTAGCCGGTGGCCCAAGCCGTGCCTGATCTGCCTCGTCCGCGTCTCCCACACTTCGCTTCAAGCTCTTGACGCTGCCGGTACCGCTCCGCAGAGAGGCTCGGTCGGGACTCCTTCCACCTTGACTCCGCGCATCGCCGTCAGCTCGTAGGCCTTGTACACCGTCGTCATCGCGTTTTCTCTTGCCGAACGGCTCGCCCAACTGTCCTTCGTCTTCCCTCGTGGTGGTGTCGGGCGCCGGCGCGGTTCTGGCTCCGCTGACAAGATCAGCCTCGGATTGGGGATGGAAAGGTGGGATAGCCGGTCCGAGTTGAGGAGGTACACTGTTTCTGGCGCGTCTTCGGCTGAAACCTTGGCTGGAGTTGCTGTCGGAGCGGCGGTGGGATGGATTTGTGGCTGCTTGCTGTAGCGGGGGTGGTTGCTGGTATTGGTGCTGCTGTTGCGGAGGCTGCGGCGGTGGTGGCTGAGCGTATTGCATCGGCTGGGGTGCGTTTGTAGCCGTGAAGCCATGCGAAGGCGGCATTTGGTTTTGGATAACGGATGGAGGCGGTGGCTGTCCAGGAATCGAAATGGGTACGGACGCGGTAGGGGGTGAGTTGAGGCCCGTGTTCGTGGCCGAAGGATGCAGTTGGAAGACGGGTGCGTTCGCGCGTGCGCTCATCTCTTGCTCTCCCAGCTGCCAGTGCATTGACTCTGCAGACCGCCACGGTATGCCCATTTCTGTAGCAACCTTCTGCCACATTTGGTCCTTGAATCTACAGCAGAGTCAGTCAACGAATAACGTGAGCCGCAAGGAGGCGTTGGCACCAAATGCTCAGGAAGGAACGATGGACCAAAGGATGGGAAGCCGCGAGTGCAGGAAGGCACATGCTACATACCGAGCGTAGAGTCGTGCCAGCTTGTTCTTCTTCTCCTCGTCCCACACCGCACGTTTTTCTAGGTAGTTCTGGTAGCGTAAACGGCAGGAAATAGAGCTTCTTCCGGGGAGGCGCTTCGCGATGTCGTCCCATTTCATGCCCTGCCCTCGCAATTCTATGGTAAGGTTATCCTCTTCCGGCGTCCACTTGGATTGCTTCTTTGCTGGACTTTCCTCGGGGAGTGGCGTTTGGGAGGTTGCTCTCTTGAGCATATGCGACGGAGGAGATCCATTTGAGCCTGCTGAGGTGACGGTGACGGGAGCTCCAGAGTAGAGAGGCCGGAATTGCGGCGGTTGCGGTGGTGGTCCTGGTTCCTGTTGTCGATGCAGCTCCGAGATAGCAGGAAGTACCGGTCCGCCTTGCATGGATGCAACAGACGTGGGTCCTTGCGGTGAGTAGGCTGGTGTCGCGCCGTACTGTGGCGAGGAGGTCACATAAGCTGATGGTGGAGCATGAGCAGGCGGAGCGTTTGCGTATGCCGGAGGGTGACTGTATGGTGGAGGGGCTGTGATGGGTGCGTATGTTCTCGCTCCACCAGTGGATGCAGACCCTACCGAGGTGGAACTCTTCTTGCTCGCTGGGGATTCAGAGCCCCGCGGCTCGATGAGTAAATTGATATCCACGATGAGGAGGAAGGACCGGTTTGACACCAGCCCATAAGTCGATGTGAGAGTTGTTGGGTTCGGCTACCTACGCCAAGCTGTTGATTCGATTTCCAGGTTATGACTGCAAGCTACTGAAGATTTTGTAAAGCGCCTCGTAGCAGCGGTAGTGATATCAACGAGCGCGTTGACGTGGTCACCGAGTTGACCAAATAGCCTTGATGCTGTATAGGTTTGGTGAGATGGGAGCCTGACGGGTGACAAGGAGGCGAAGGAGCAGCGCGACGCGAGGTACGGCGTTGAGCGCGCCAGTAAGGTAGAGACACAAGGAAGGTGCTGAGTACGCTGGTGGGTACAAGCAAGCGGGACTTGTGGCAGGTGATGCTTCCTACGCAAGAATAGGAAAGACCTGCAGCGCAGAGATGCAATGCAGGACTTGAGGCGTAGAGTAGAAGGGAGGTGGTCGGATGTTTGAGTAGCGTCTAATGTTCCGATGTACGTCAAGGTAGCCAGTTGGGAGTGGAAACAGGCGATACTGGATCTGAGTGGTCGTCCTCGGAGCTATTAAGAAAATAGCACTGTGCAGGAGCAGGGGCGTGAAACGGGGCCGACCAATGGGTCTATAATGGCAGACGAGCTCAGCCACTAATTGCGCGCAACAGAAGAAAGCGTAGCGTTGGAGAGTAACGGATGCGGTCTGGCGAGCGAACAACTGGGACTGAGGTACTTGAGGGCACGGGTAGTTGAATAGAGGTAGTTAGAGCCGGTGTGCATGGGGACGGTAATGCCATGCATTCTTGCACAGGCCCCTGGTGGTGCCGCCTCGCTGTCCGTCCGCAGGTAGGGATCCGGGGTATACTGGCTTTGGCGTCTCTAACTTGACACTGACTACTTTTGTGCTTGACGCTGGCTAGCTCTGTGCTGGCGGCGCCACTGCTAGATGCCGGGATAACCCACGGACCCTGTCGAGGCAGGACAGCTGACCAGGAGCCGCCTTAATGAGCGAGTTGCTAAAAAGAAAGAACCCAAACGCCCAAATTGCTAACGTTAGTTGCAACAAAAAGCAGACGGCTGCCGCTGCTAGCAGAACCGGCCGATGACGTGTCGCCCACTTTGCAGCATTACTCACTCGGCGCTCTGGCTCGCATCTCTCCCTTATTGCTTCATATCCACTTACTCGCACGTCTCGGGTTGATTCGACGCCCTCTGTCAGGCCGCAACGGGTTGCAGAACAGGGCTGCAGCAAAACACGGTGCTGTCAAAACGCCGTTTACACAATTGCGCTCGAAGCCTCGATGTCATGTACGACGAGCGAGGATACGAAGGTGATGCAGCAAATCAGGGGCGGTGAACGGCTTCAGGGATCTGTAGGCTTGCTGGCAAGGGGCCGGGTTCTGCTGCAGGAAGTGCGATGACCTGGCGTAGCGCGGCGGCGAACAAGATCTGCACATCCTTCGCCCTGCCCTACGGTTATCTGACGCCAAATGAGTCGCTACCGAGAAAGTCTCGGGAACGCTGACTTCATTATGGCGGTCCCGTTGGTGATGTGTTCACGCCCCAATGCTTAGTCTGCGTCTCGATTTATTGACTTGTAGGTTCCTGGCCTGCCAACTCCCCCAACCTGGCCGTCGAGCATCTCAAAGACGCCAGCATGCGAAGAGCGGTGAAAAGCGGTGAATTGCCGAGCAGGTAGCCGTGACGTCTAGCTTGGATGTTAGATGGCATGGCGCCTGCAGGCTGGCTGGACAACATGCTCGGTGCCGCGCTCCAGCCTCCACGTGAGGGCCGCAGGGTGCGGCGGTGCTGGTGCGCTGTCGTCCAACCCTGGCCACGTCGTCGGCGGCGGATGAGCTCGACGATATGACTTGAATGCGTTGAGTCGTCGTCTAGGCCGGGTAGGTCAAGCGGAGACATGCGGTTGGGCAGAGTGCATCACAAACAGGGTCGGGCGGAGATTCACGATGATGCGCATAAAGCGGTGTATAGAGGCCTGATTCACGCCCGAACCGCTGCATTTGGCGGACGAGGTTTGAGGGCAGCTTGGAGGGAGCGCTACCGGTGCTAGAAGGACCGAACTGCATTAGCCTGGGGTTGCGGGCGCACGGGGACAGTGTTCTTGAATAAAGGGCTCGAGGCGGGCTGGTGGTGGAGAGCCTTACGAGGCGGGTCCGCCATGTCAGTTGCATTATTGCACTCTGTGTGCTGTATGCGCGGCGGCTGCGAACGCGACTCTTCCAGAGCCCCGGTCTGAGGCTGCGGCGTCCCGACAGTGCGTCTCGTACGCCCTGTGGCTCGTTGCAGCCACAGGTGGTCGCACCGGCGGCGGCGTCAGGCTGCAGGCGGTTTGGCTGGCTGGCAGCAGACGTGTGGGGAAGACGCGGCGGGTGCTGTCAACTGCGAGGCCTCTGGGATACGAGCTGCATATTTTTAGGACGCAGTGCATGGAACAGGCGGTGAGGCCCGTTCGCTGTCATGTCACTGTTGGGTCTGCTGTGCTGCCAGCACCACTGCGCAGCAGGCGAGGAGCAACCTCCGCACCATGGGCCGGGCGAGGGAAAACGCGCCCACAGCGCACGCCCACACGGCCTGCCGCCGGCCGAGCGACGGCGGGCGCACGATTTGGCGAGTGGTGGTCGACGATCTGTGCCGCAGGGAGCAGAGTCATTCGGAGCGCAATATCACCGGCCTTGGCTGACGAAGCGCGGGCAGCGAGGCGGACGGTGAAGCGCGTGCGGTGCGGTTCGTCGACGCAAAAGCAACGGCCGAGCAAGGGCGAGAGCACGGCAGCGGGGGCGGCGAACTGCTGTTTCCAGCGGGCGTGGGATGCGTGCGGGAGCGGTGCGGCAGTCAGCAAGCGTCGCGTCTCGTCTGCGGCGTCTCGTCTGGAGTGCGTGGGGAGCGAAACCGATGAACCACGGCTGACGCGACGTGCAATTCACCGCGCCGCTTGGTGCAAACGGCCGCCTTGGCCTCGCCTACCCTGCTCCGGCGCCGGCCTGCTGCACCCCTGCCGCTGTGTACATCGGCGCTGGTCTGTGCATGCTCTGCAGGTCATGCTGTCCAGCTAGCCGCTCTCCAACCGCCTGAGGCCTCCGCCGCCCGCCGGTGAAGGCACGCGGTGGTGCCCACCGTTTGCGCCTGCAGTCCCTAGACGGGACCACCGCACCTGCGCTCCTCGGCAGCACCATCGCTCTTTCCCACCACCCGGAACAACGCGGCACCGTCGACGTCGAGCCCCTCTATCCAACACCCGCCCGTTGCGTCTGGTGCTACGTCCCAGGCTCCCAGGCCTCCACCTGACCGGCACCAGCCACTCGCCGCCGAAATGTCCCTCAGTTCGGCCGCAGACGTTCCCCTGCAAATCTCCTCCGCCAGCTCCTCGTCCGAGCGCCGCATATCTCCTTCGTGGACCATAGCGCACCTCAAGGCGCGCCTCGAGCCCATCACCGGAATCCCCGCGTCATGCCAGCAGCTCACGCTGCGAGTCGGCTCGCAGGACCCCATCCCCATCGCTGCCGCAGATGAAGACGCTGCACAGCTGGCCGCCTATCCGTTGCAGCCGTACGCGGAGATCGCCGTAAGTCCAACTGCCTCTACATTGAACCGCACCACTAGCGTCCCCATGCGTTGCTCGTCGTTGTCCTCTCTCGAGCTGCCACATCTTCCATCTGAAACACTTCGGCCCAGCTATGTCAGCACTCAGCAAGCCTTGCCCAAGTACTCCTCTGCCCGGAAGCTGCTGCTGCGGCTAGCCTTGCTTTTTCTGATAGGCCAGTTGTTCGAGGCTTTGGACCCCAGCCTGCAGCGCCTACACGCACTGCTGATGCCCCACAATCCGCAATGCACTCAGCCCCTCTCTATCTTTGTCATCGCTTCTCCCACGCTCGGTACCGAGTGACTCTTGCCGAGGCTGCTCATCGTTACGAGTTCGCCTACCGTTGCAATTGATACGAGACCTGAAGAGTTACATTTCCTTCTTGTCATGTGCTTTTTTTTTTGGACCCCACGAATTCGAGTGGTCCCATTCCGTCGACCCTTGCGTTCCGTCGTCTGAACCAAAGCGTTCGATCTACCATCAAGTCGAGCACATGGCTTGACACAATGTCTTTGTGTCTAACAGGGCATCTCTAGGTTGGTGACACACGTCCGCCGGGAGCACGTACAGACTTTTCGGATCTGTCTGCTGTGCCCAAATACGAAATGCCGGTTGCCGAGTATGAGACCCGGACAGACAGCGTTCTTGCCTGGAAGAAGAACCAGAAACTCGGCCGCTTTGACCCGAACGCGCCTACTATCGAGCAGCAAAAGATCCGAGCCTCCGAGCGCGAGATTGAAGAGAGGGGTAAGTACATTGCTGTTTGATCATGCGTTCGCGAACTCGTACGGTTGTGGCGGTGTGAAACCACGCAATGAAAAAGCAAAGAGAAGCCGACGCGATATGCCACTCGAGGAGATGCTCGTGCAAGACGCAAGACGTCAAAAGGCGGTGCCATCCGAACGCCAGAAACGGACACCTGCAGATGTTCGCGGGGACCTCGGACGCTACTCCGCATGGCAGACACAGCTCGTCCATGTCTCAGCCATGAATCACAGTCGAGCAGGTTTCGGCGTTTGAAGACTCGATGCAAACACCTCGCTTCTCAACGTGCCTTTGCTCGCTTTGATGACATCCTAGTCTGGCGAGATGCATCGCGTCTTGGCGAGCCGGGAAACAGTGCAACCGTAACCAAGGCCTCAACGGCACTTGAACGTCCCTGTGACGACTACAAACCCACTCCAGTTTCGTATTGGAAACAAACTCAGGCCTCTTGCCAGTCGGCAATGCTCTGCGGGTCAAATGAAGTCGACCATTGGCAATTCTGAGCGAGCAGTCCTGAAGATGTCGTGGCCAATATTGCTGGGCTGAATACGAAACGGGCGACGACAATCTCCACACTGCATAGTAGTATGCTTTTGCAAGATAGGGTGGTTTTCCCCCCCTTATTCCCGCCGATCAGGAGAATATTAAGCCTGTCTTATCGTATAGCCAATTCAGAGTTCCGAATCCGAGCTGATGGGCTTGTTGCTATCTCGGACACATCAGCCTCGAAGTGTATCACACTGTTGGCTGCTCAGCTACCGAGGATGACAGCTGTGCGACAATGACAATGACCACTGCGACCACGTACGAGTTCGCGCAAACGCAGACAATGCCCTCATCAAAACTTGACGATGACTGACCAAGGCTCCATAGGAATTGTCCTCGGCGCCCGCGTACGCATCCTTCCCGAATCCGACGCTCGTAGAGGTACGGTCTCCTACGCCGGCCCTGTCCCCGAGATCCCAGGCATTGGCTACTGGGTCGGCGTCACGCTCGACGAGCCCACGGGGAAGAATGACGGCACGGTCAACGGGAAGCGGTACTTTGAGTGTGGCAAGAACTGCGGCGTCTTCCTTCGTGCTGAGCGGTGTGAGGTGGGCGACTTCCCGGCTCTCGACTTGGGCGATGAAGATCTCGAGGAGTTATGAGTGGGCTACGTCAGTGTGGGACCTGGGAGTGTACGAGAATGGAATGCGTTCCGTTAACCTAAGCAAGGTCTGTTGAACCACCGTTTCTACGTAGACGAGAAAACAGACATGATAGTTTCCGAACAGCATGACTTCCAGTAGGGTCAACCTGCATGCCTTGCACTGCGCAATAGAATAAACACGTACCCATCACCAGAGCTACAAGTCGTCAATCCCGTATCATCCCGAAATGCTCAAACGGTCCACGCGTTTTCCACACTTCTTTGCCCTTGCTACTATTACACTCCTGGACAAATGACCAGCAGCCGCAGCCACGCTGCCCCACTACTGACATCTACGCTCGTACACTCCCCTCACCGCGGGCTCATCCCTCTCCGCCGAACGTCATACATCATCTCCCTTGATGTGGCACCTTGTCCTGTCTCCTCACCCAGAATGCCTCACCACATCGTCTCTCCAACTCGCGTCTCTACGCACTTTATTTCCCCACTTTCTGTAACGACATCTTGCCCCTACAATATATTACCGCGCTGATCATGTTGTGTGCACTGTATGGTAATGTCCCACTCGTTTCTTTGCCTCGGGAGATTATGTATTCTATGGGACAGTGCTGCTCGAGAGCCTATTGCCACCTCACAAGCCGTCATTGCGATTCGTAGCCGTGGAGTAGTTGCTCGTCACTGGGCCTAGTAAGACTGCTGTCATTCACCTGGCCGAGTCCATCCATCACGGCCCGCAGGGAGCCGTACCCAACGCCGTGCTCACAAGGCGGGCCGCGTCCGCGACACCCCCTTCTTCTCGTCCTTGTCCTCTTGGACAGCGCCAGACACTGCGTTTCCTATGCATCTCGACAGCCCGCGTCCATGTCGCTACCTCCTGTCACCGCAATCACTGCTATCTCCCTCGTTCACGTCGCCGCCGCCGCGATCTGGGTTGCCCGTTTCTTCAAATGGAAGGCTCGCCGTCTCGATCGATACGAACCCCACCGCGTCCTTTCCGGTTCACCTCTATCGTCTGGATGGCTGCGAGACCTGGCCGGGACGCGGCCCAAGTCGGCATTGTGCTAAGAGGCGCGAGTTCGGTTGCCGCTGCATCGACGGAGCAACCGGCTGCGCCGTGTCGACAGATCCGAGGCTGCGCGGATCGGCCACCTCTTCCTCGCGGCCCGGGTTGGCGTTGTGGTTGGTCGGCTGCTCAGCGTGAGGCTTGGGCCGAGTCGTGGCTTCATCAAAGCGCGGATCGAAGGGGAAGGCTGGCTCTTGAGCGCCCGCCTCCAGGGCTGAGGGGTGGCGGGAAGGGCAGAGTTGGTTGGCACGCCCTCTAGAGGCTGCGACTTGCTGGGCACAGCATCGGCGTACCGGCAGCGAGCGTTGGCGCACCCATGCACCGGCGTCTGCGGCACCTGTAATGATGACTCCAAGGTGTGTATCCACGTGCATGCAAACGAGCATGCTTTCTAGTAGCTCCATGTGCGCTGTACCGTCCTTTTGGAAGAGCGGCGGTGAGTTGTCGAGTAAGAAGGTGTGTGGACGTCCGGTGGGGTACTGGGTTGGCTATAGTGGTAGGACTGGATGGGGGGATGGGAGCTATTGAAGTGGAGAAAGCGGCGGACTGGAACGGGCTGGTCGTACTCTGCCCGGGTCATTGTGCATGGCCGCCGAATAGCATCGCGTAGCTAGGCTAGCTATATCTTCATTTCATGCGGGAAGCTGGGCGTGTTGATTGGGGAGAGCGATACAGCGCCGGCGATGCAGGGACGGCGCGTTGAGGTGGGACTCCGCACTATGTGATCTCAATGGCCTTTGGTATGCACAACGTCGAGGCCCCTATCCAAGTACGATTACCACCACAGATGTTCCAGTCGAGGTAGGCTTCGTGAACGCGGATTTTCGTTCTGGTGGAGAACATGACAGTGACCTCACTTACGTTAGCTGATTATCCACAGGTGTATGAAAGAAAGAACATACAGCACGATATATAGGTGGTCTTTGTTGTCCCCGGTAGCTGGTGAATAAGTCCGCACGCATGGATGTGGCAGAAAGCTCATCCGGGAGGTGAAAAGGAGCATCAGCTAGACCGCGCGCATGGAGGCGATAGAGATGTTGTTGAAAAGATTGGAAGGGGACTACCCGTTTCCGCGCGCATGGAGATGGAAGAAAGCTTGTCGAGTTGTTGTATCGATAGTGTTGTTTGCTGACGAATAGGCATGCGCGTGCTGGGTTAGAGGCAAGCAACACGATGATGCAAGTCGATACGGTGTGGATGGCGTAAGGTATATTGCGTGATTCACAGAGGAAAGTAGTTGAAAGTGCCCATCCCCGGGGCTGCCGCTTGCATGGTGGCGACAGAAAGCTTGTCTTGGGTTCGTAGAGATGCGTCCAGAAGAAACAGAAGGCCAGCGAGCGCAACAAACGTTCTTCCGCGTGGCGCCCTCGTGCCCTAGTAAGGATTGATGATCCACTGGCGCTCAAATTCTCACAATCGGTTCCGGTGAGCTCATTGAGTTGGCCATCTCCGACCCGGGAGGGCGACCAAGCCCTGAACCGCGCCCAAGGTGGAATAGAAAGTTTGTCGAATACCTTTCGTAAACAAGTACAAGTTCATGCGTCTAGTGAGAGGGAGTCCCGAGCAAAGGTTCGTGTCTAAGTTTGCTCAAGGTGGTGGGGAACACCCAGCGAGAGGACTGATAGTAACCGAAAGGGGATGTGCTGAACATTTGAGGACAGTCGAACCTAATACGCGCATGGAGGCGGCAGAAAGAGTGGCAACGCGCCACCCGAAGGCGACGGCCACAGTTATCGTGGAACCGAGTGAAGTGGAAGAAGAAGGGAGAGAGATGGGCGAGTACTTCTTATATCCTGTGCGTTTGTGCGGCGTGCGGCGTGCGGCGTGCGCTAGTCCCGAGGGGTCATGCTCAAGTGAAGGCAATCGGAAGTGAGAGAGACTTGCGGCGTTTGGCGTTGGCTGAGGGAGGGCGCTTCTAAGGCTTATGGGATAGCTTTAAAAGATTAAGGATGCTGTGTCACCTCAGGACGGGCAACGCACATTCAGCTGTACTCGGCGTTTAGATTCTTCGCGAAGGACAATGGTCTCCGCGTGTCTCGGATGATGAACATCATCGGGCGGGGTGCTGTGAACTTATTGATGTCTTCAACAGTGTATACTTGCCACCTACTCAAATTTGATCGTATTGACCAAGCTTCCAATCCCCTCCACGTAAATCTCGACCTCGTCCCCATCCTTCACAAACCCCTTTGGCTCCATGAAAACCCCGACGCCACTCGGCGTCCCAGTCATAATACACGTCCCCGCCTGCAGTGTCGTCCCGCGACTCAAATGCTCTACAATCTGCCCCACACTCCAAATCATGTCGTCTGTGCCCGTCTCCTGCCTCTTCTCCCCATTCACCTTGGTCCAGTACCGAATCTTATTCGGATCGCCGCCAATCGCCTCCTTGCTCGCAATGCACGGCCCGATCGGTGCAAATCCATCAAACGATTTGGCGTATCCAAACTGACCCCCGCTGACGGAAGCTGGAAGCTGGAAATTACGCGCTGACACGTCGTTACCGACTGTGTAGCCCAGCACGTACTCGGCGTAGTCGGCGGCCGCGATGTTCTTCCCCGTCTTGCCGATCACAATGGTGAGTTCGCCTTCGTAGTCGAGCTGGCTTTGGCACTCCTTGTGCACCTCAATCACACTTCCTGGCCCGGATAGCGCGGTCGGGGGCTTCATGAAGATGGTGGGATAGGTTGGGATGGGCAGGCCGCCTTCCTCCGCGTGTTGCTTGTAGTTGAGGCCGACGCAGAGGAAGATGGGTGTGGAAGGGAGGGGCGGAAGGAGTTTCTTGATGGTGGCTTGTCTGTCGGTTTTGGAGAAGCCGGATTCTATGCTGCCGGAGAGGAGCTGGGCAGTCTTCCCTGAGACATCACGCGGCAGCTCCGAGGACCCGAAATCGCCGTAGTGGATCTGGCCGTCTTCGCTTTCGAAGCGAATTAATCGCTCGAAGAGGGACATTCTGCGAAATCTTTTGTTGGCGTAGGATCTCCTTTGATGTGCCCCTGAACTTGGGAAAAAGGTCGATTGTGTGAATGCTGGTGACTTGGGAAACGACTTTGCGGATGCCAATTGGTGTCGGACAGGGCGACAGAGTAGTGAGGTCGGATGTAGGGGCATTACGCTGCGGGTGACGTGCAGGAGCGTGTCTATATATCTGAGATGTGGTAGGCTGACGCGAAGTCGGAGCTGCCCCACGTAACGAAGTGGTGGGGTAGGCCGTGAGCCAGGCGTGTGTTCGGCATATGATGCGCCGACATTTTTGTACTGCGGCTACTGCTCACGGGACTTCGCGTCTGGAGCTCGGGTACTGATTTGGACCCGATGTACGAGAAATATCAAAGACGCGATTATTCAGATAATTTGTTGATTCGATTGACTGTACTTTGACATGGTTTGGAGCCGATGTCTCTTGGAGGGTTCATTTCTAGCCCGCCATCTCCACGTCCCCGTTCCAATTCTGTCTCTCCTCCGGGGTATCAAGTTTACTCAAACAGCCTGGGCAATTGTGCAGCACCATATGACAAAACGTATCGCAGTCGATGCAGAAATGGCTCTCACACACTCGGCACTCGTAGCGCGAGCTCTCACTCGCTTTTTGCACGTCGCTGTCCTCCTCATCCAGCCGCAGCGAACGCAGCTGTCCATCCACACCCTCGCCATTGGCCTGCTGCTCACCTTCGACTTCTCCGGGCGGCACTTCTGGAAACGGCGCGAGGCAGCTTAAACAGGACTTGCTCCCCTTTGCTCTCGCACGCTGCCAGGTCACCTCGGCCCAATTCCGGAGGGGGAACAGGTGGTGGTAGCTTCGCGCAAGATGCGTCGAAAGGAGAAGTGTGAGCTGGCAACTAGGACAAGTGATGGGCAGACTACAAACTTTGGCGCTACAACGTGAGCAGGTGTAGCCTCCTGTAGTCAATGCGCCGTGGCAAGCACACATGGTTGGGCTCTCTTCAACGACTCTCGAGGGGAAGCCCATCATCATGAGGGCAGCCGCATTCTCTGGTGGTAGGGCCCCTTGTGCACTCTCTTGTGCGGTCTTCGTCGCGCGAACCACTGGGGGAGTGGTAGTCGCGAACAGAAGCTCGCGGAGGTGCTCTTGATCTGTGGCTACGACGTACTCGCTTTCGTCACCAGCGTTTGTTTTATTGACAATTTCGGTGCAGATCTTGAGGCGGGCGCCCATGCCGATTACGCTGACGCGGATGCGGTCGCGTACACAAGCTCTGATAGTCTGATGGATGTCCCCTGGGTCCACGGACAATAATGAGCCGAACACGATGATAACTTCTCGCGTTCCATGGCTCGGGGTGTGATATAGCGTTGCTCTCGCCAGCTCCAGTGCGTTCTGCAGGCTGGGTGCGCCTTTGGGTTCCTTGGAGAAGTCCTGGGGGTTTAGAGGCGTCCGTAGAGCCAGGATCGCAGTGCTGTGCTCCGCGGCGTTCCCCGACAGCTCTGACACCCTGATGCAGAGGCTATCGTGCATGCCAAGAACGCTCATCTGGGATATGGGGTTCTGCTCAAAAAACTCGCGAACGTACTCTTGCGCGTAATGTATCATGGCGTGGAATCGCGTCGGAAACATGTCTTTCTCCGCCATGGCTTCCGATAGATCGAGAACGAGAACGACGTGCCGTATGATACCGCGCTGAAAGGGTTTCGTGTCTTTCCGTAGCCTTATCCAGTCCTGTCAGCGCCTCACGAAAGTACAGAGGCGCACGGCATGTACGTACCTCTTGCGCTTCCGCTCCTCCTCCATGTGCTGTATGCTCGCCTCCGGTACATCTTTGTCCTCGATCTCCTCGAACTGGGGTATGTATTCCTCCTCTTCCGACGAGTCTCCTTTCCTCCGCTCCCAAGCCTGCGCCTTCCGCTCCGATTTTTTCGTCTGCGCCAGCTGCGTGTTTACCATCTTCCTAGCAGCGGCCGCACTGGCGCCGCCGCCCCTGGGCCCTACGTATTCATCATCGGAGCCGCTGAATTCTGACCCTGAGTAGTCCGACCCGGACATAGCGAATGCGAGCCGTGTGCGGGGAGGAGAGTCGAGGCGTCGGTGCACCCGTACGCGAATTCCTCTGTTGCACCGCACACGCGTCGTTTCGGGGGGGCTGACAGCAATTTGATCGAAGCCTAGTTGACGCGCTTTCAGGTGGTGGCGTTGTGCGGGATTCAGACAAAGAGCGTCGGCTGGGCGTCTGTCAATGACGTGCGCAAGTATTTCACTTGTTACGGGACAGCGGTCAAGCGTTTTCGGTGAGTGATCGGGCGGGGCGGGGCGCGGTGCCTGGCGGTATCGAAGGGCGTGGAGGGATTCGCGAGCGGTGTTCAGCGGGGTGCATCACGAATCATGCCACTACCCGCAGTGCTGGAACGCATGAGCACGTGATGAGCTTTCGCGCGCGTCGACTGGCTTTGTCACAAGGTTCAACGTTCCTGTAACTGCTAGTGTAGAGGCAGTAGCAAGCCACACTGTAGGAGGGAAGGTTACGTCTACTATAAACATAGGCGCAAGCAAGAATTTCTGAATGGAGGTGAATCGCCACGACTTCAAGAGTGCAAATAACAATGAGTGATTACAGAGATTCAAGCTACATTATGTGTACATCGTGATACAGACGCTAGCATGACGTCCATCCATCGACTTCCTCCAAGCTTGGTATAATGCTATGCTAGAAAATCATCATAAGACATTAAAATATCGCCAACTCCGAATCCTTGCATGATATATTACCTCAACACATTATCCAGTTCACGAGTAACCGGAGCCACCTACGCCGGGAGTGGGCCAGTCGTCTTCGGTGATGCTCGACCAGAATACCCAGATCATTACCACTGCTAGAAGCGTGAACAATGTTTCGAATAGACCTCCATTGATCTTGCCACTGGTACCCTCACAGATATGGACGCTGATAACATATTGGAAGATCTGTCCAATGGCAAATAGAATTACTGCCGCAACGAGATAGGCTGGAAAAGTTAGTGCCTTCTCGCAAGAGGATCAATGAAGCACGTACCCATGGGCTTCATCTCGCCAAGAACACGAACGACAAGAAAGGTTTCCAGACAGAAAAAGATAAACAGGAACACCAGGGGCGCCAGCTGATAGAGCGTATACAGGGCGTAGGCGCGGTTATTCTGGAGGGTGTCGTCGAAGTAGCCGGTCCAGCTGAATCCCGTGTCGAGCGCAATGTAGCCGGTTCCGATGAAGAGGATAGCGGCGGATAAGAGGATGAGGCCGACGGACATGGCCGTACCGTCATCGAGCAATTGGTATCCGACGAGACCATTGAGCATGAGCATCCAGGTTGTTGCGATGATGGCGGCGATGTGCACGGCGACAAAGGCTTTCCGCACAGCGCTGTCGAGCGGGAATCCGCCCACGGTGAAGATCTCGCAAATAGAAATTATCACGTAGCCGATGAGGAACAATTGCATCTCCCTGGTCTCAGTCAGTCCTTTGTCGTATGCGCAATGAGTGTCGGGGCATCGCACCTTCTCCCGACAGCGGCCTTCTTTCTTTCAGACCTCCATAGAAGGAACAAGCTTGCGAGAATCGCTATGCCGCATAGTAGTATGGAACCTGCTCCTGTCAACAGCAATTCGGTCGCGCGCGATCGTGGGACTGACCCAAGTTTGCCAACCGGTTGCCACCCGACAATGGTATTCCAGTCAATGTGCAGGCGTCGGCCCCCCATCCTGTATTCTGCCTCGTAGGCGCTTGGTCAAAGAGGTAGCACACTGCAACGGGTCAGCAAGATGCACACAACAAAGAAGGCGCGATGCATACCGGGCAACGTCGACCAGAGATTTCCGCTGTCGCGACAGAACGTGTTGAAGTAGCCATAGCGCGACATGACTGGCCGGGGTGGTCGGCGCCTATAGCGCAGCGGGTCGTAGAGGGATGCCGTTCAAGACAGGGCGCAGAGGTCGCGCGGTGCGAGGCTGAGAGTGTATATGGGGATGCTCAATGGGGTAATGATAGTGAGTGTGGAGAGGAAGTCAGTGACGAGGCTGTACGAGACTCGCAGCACCGGCCGTGGCTGGTTTTGAAACAGGATATTGTTGGCTGGGCACTGGGTGCAGGGGAGGTCGGATGCGGTGCGCTAACGCGTGCAACGCTTCACGCTAGGTATTATCCACGGCGTGAGGTGGCGCTTCCGAGACTTGAGCGTCGGCGAGAGCTGGTGGCTGCAAGAAACAGCTCGGCTCGTGGTGAGAGGCGGTGGTGCAAGAGGCGGCGCGCGGCACCCAGCGAGGAGGAGCAGCAGCTTTCATGCAGCAAGCGACAAACAAATTGCATTCACAGCGAGCTGCCCAATCAGGCCATGCAGACTTAGTCGGTCTCAGATGCGAGAAAGGGGGGCCGTGCATTATGACCTGCCCTCACAGCGCTTGTCGTCTGGGTGCACATCGCGCGTCGCGGTCGAGGCATGGCATGGGATGGTGGAATTGGACGCATGTTTCGCCGTTTCTGTGGACGACACATGGCCACTGGGCGTATTCGGCATGGGTCGCGGCTCTGCATTGCCCTCCAGCCTGTGATGAATGACCTCACGCGGCGGATCTCCCGATAGATCGCTCGCTAGACTAGGTCGGTGCCGGCGACAAACTTGATCATGTTTATGCCGTGTCGCGAAGCCTCCCTTTGACAATGCACATCACCAGATTGCAAACTCGACACCGCGTCGTGAGATTTGTGTGGCATGCACGCGCTTGAAGAGTCTCGGCTCCCTGTGTCCACACTTTCAATGATCCAGACGTCCATGGACGCTATCCAAAGGGGCGCCGAACATCTCAATGTGAAGACTGTCGATGCACAATCATGCTTGTGTTGATGGCAACCCGTAGGGACTTCGGAAAACCACAAAGCACGTGTCGCTATACTGACCGAAGACTGGATTCAACGGCTGCGCTGGACGTATCGTGGGGTAATTGAACTACGCTGCGCTATCTGTCTCAGCAACGGTGGGTAGTGCTAGTGCGCAGCCTCATCGTGAACTAGAAGATGAACTGCTGCCAGTGTGCACACAGACCCCGGCGGCTGGCGGTGGCCCCGTGGTAGAGATACGCCGGCCTCGAGGGTCCATCTGCAGGCTGTGTTCACTCACGTGCCCACCGATGCCCACGCGGGGATGCTGCCATTCCTATCGCCCAGATTCGGTGCCTCCCGCGGGTGGAGACGGCTGCAGAGCGAAGCGACTGGCGTCATCGCATTGAGAAGCGCGCGTTCTGCACAGCTTGCCGCTCTGCTCGACTGAATTGAAAGTTCTTATCGCGGTCGGACCGGAAATACGTACGCGCTTGGCGCGAATCAGGGATCAGTGACAGCTGCGATCGCTGCACCAGCAGCTGTCTGCTCCTCTTCTGATCACGAAGCTGTGGCACCCTGTCCCCACACCCGCTTATTCCCCAATGTGACCGTTTTGACCGCCTTCACTATCTGTTCCTTGCCTTTGGTCCGGTGACGTGCGTCTGCTTCTGCCCATCTCGACTTGGAGTTAGGCTGCTCCCAACCAGCCGCCAACCTTCAAGATTCCTTCCCACTCCAACAGCAGAAGGCCTGCCGACATCCCTCTCCACACCTTTTCCTCCTCGGCTCGCCAGCGAAGCAGCGACGCGGCCCGTCTGCTGCACGACGACGACAAGGAGAGCACCCGCTCTTCCTTCGACACCCCCGAGTCCGACTCGGACCTCTCGCTGTGGAGCGACACTGGTGATCTTGTTGACCAGCTCGCCGACCAGGAAGACCCCCTCCGCATCCGCCTGCGCGACTCGCTCGAAGGAGGCAGCTCCTCCCGGCCCCGCCATCAACAAAAACGCGTCCGCTACGAGTCCGCAACCCGCTTCAACGAGAAGGAGCGAGGGCTCAGGCTCGAGGATATCGAGATCCCCAACCCGGGACCGCGCACCATATCCAAGGCTGAGCGGATACTCGCCTCCATCATGGCACCCAACGACGGACCATCCCGCATCCACGGGCTCCACGGGAAGAAGCTGATGTGAGTGTACTGTCAGTACCAAGAGCTTTCTGCTGACCATGTTGTAGCTACTTCACAAGCGTCTTTGTATCATTAGGCGTGTTCCTGTTCGGCTACGACCAGGGAGTCATGTCCGGTATCATCACGTACGCTGCCTCGCAATCTTCCATTTCGCCCCATATCTAATCAACACCACAGGGGTATATACTTCAAGGACTACTTCAACCAGCCCACGGCGGCGGAACTGGGAACCATGGTCGCCATCCTGGAAGTCGGAGCCTTTATCTCCTCCCTGCTTGTCGGCCGCGTCGGAGACATGCTAGGCCGCCGTAGGACGATCTTGTGGGGATCCATCATCTTCGTTGTTGGTGGCGCCTTGCAGACGTGTGCGAATGGCATGCCAATGATGATGTTAGGAAGAATCATAGCTGGTCTGGGCGTGGGTGCACTATCTACCATTGTGCCGGTCTATCAGTCCGAAATCTCGCCCCCCCATAACAGAGGCAAGCTCGCCTGTATCGAGTTCTCTGGGAACATCACCGGATACGCCGCCAGCGTGTGGGTCGACTACTTTTGCAGCTTCATCAAGAACGACTGGTCTTGGAGAGTACCTCTCTTCATGCAGTGCATCATGGGAGGTCTGCTTGCCGCTGGCAGTTTGCTCATCTGCGAATCCCCCAGGTCTGTTCCCCTGCTGTGCTGACGCACATTGTACTGACCCATATCAGGTGGCTGCTAGACAATGACCATGACGAGGAGGGCATTGTGGTTATCGCCAACCTCTACGGAAAGGGCGATATCCACAACCAAAAAGCGCGAGATGAATACCGGGAAATCAAGATGAATGTGCTTCTGCAACGCCAAGAAGGTGAACGCTCATACTCCGACATGTTCAAGCGCTACTACAAGCGCGTCTTCATCGCCATGTCCGCCCAAGCCCTCGCGCAACTCAACGGCATTAACGTCATCTCGTACTATGCCCCGCTCGTATTTGAAGAGGCTGGCTGGTACGGCCGTCAAGCAATTTTGATGACCGGAATCAACGCCATCACGTACCTGCTCTCAACAATCCCGCCTTGGTATGTGGTTGACACCTTGGGTCGGAGAAAGATCCTACTCTCTGGAGCGCTCGCCATGGCCCTTTCGCTCTCTGCCATATCGTATTTTATCTACCTACGCACCAGTTGGACTGCGAACCTCGTCGTCATATTTGTCATGATTTACAACGCTGCATTTGGTGCTTCGTGGGGCCCAATTCCCTGGTTGTACCCACCGGAAATTCTACCACTTTCCATACGCGCCAAAGGAGCCAGTTTGAGTACGGCAACCAATTGGGCCTTTAATTGGCTTGTTGGAGAAATGACCCCGATTCTGCAGGAGCATATTCAGTGGCGTTTGTACCTCATTCACGCATTCTTCTGTGCTGTTAGTTTTGTTATTGGTAAGTTTCCATGAATATCCCTCTGATCCTGCTGACATGAGCGCAGTTTGGTTCATTTACCCCGAAACGGCCAATGTTCGTCTTGAAGACATGAACTCCATCTTCGGAGATGCCACTTCAGTTCAGCCGACCCCGCAAACACTCGCGGAAGCAGAGTCGTTGTTCAGTGGAAGCGCCCGATCCCCTGTACCTTCGCTCGACATCCGACGAGGCGCAGCGGAGAGCGCTATTCCGGGTCTGGACATTGACCCGCCAGACAACGTCGACGGCCTGGACAAGCCAGCAAAGGAGGGCGAAAAGGGCGAGGGCATCGGCGGTTGGATCTCGAACATGGTCAAGAGAAATAAGGGCAATGGCGAAGGCGACTCAGGAGGACAGTACAGACGTGTCGGGCAAGACGAGGAGAGCTGAGCGTTACCTCCGCTTGTGGTTCGGGGATTCGAAGCATCATCATATACTGGTTTGGGAAGAGCACAGCATGCCATGATACCTCTGCGACGCATGCAAATTTTGTATAGAAGGCGTACTGTGCGGATGTTTGGTCTGCATCGCTGCAAAAGTTGGTGCAGCTTATCTTGTAATTCCTCCTTGGTGCGTGGATCCACAGGAGGGCACTTGTAGAAATGACGCTCACGGCAGCATGTACAATAGATTGTGCCTGTCTTGACGTATGGCTGTCGAAAATGGTGCGCAAGGACATTGTGAGCGTCAAAGACTTTCGACCACACGGCTACAGGCTGCAAGCGGGATGCGCTACTGCTGCGGCGAGGACGGAGTTCTCACGTGACCCGAAGACGACAGGTGTTCCTTCCCCGAATCTGGCTACGCCCCTGCCTACGCGGCAGGGCCCTTGCTCAGCTCGAACGTCGCCTTGCAGTACAATTTCTATTTCGGTACACGCTCTCCTGCGTCGACTCTCTACCGACGGGGGAAATTCTGGCGTGTGCATTTCGTCTTCCGGGCTCCTCATCTTCTTCTATCGCCTTGTAATATCTCTTCGACCGCCGCTCGTTTTACGTGGTCAAGCTCCGCAGCCACACACCACCAGGCCACCTCAGCCCCCACCGCGACTCGACCGCCGCCCATTGCGGACTTGATTCTTCGCGCAACGTGTCCCGGCCTGCGTGCGACAACTGAATAAGGACCAGGGAGACAGCGCTGCAGACTCCACATCATGGCGTCCAACGCGCAAGCAACGGGCGCAGACCCCAGAGCGGAGGAGCTGCGGAGAAGAAACGTAGCTGGTCAGCCAGCTGCCACACCGCAGGTGGCACAGGCCCCATCGGCAGAGAAGTCAAAGGAAAAGGTAGGCGCATCCAGGCTTCAGCTTCAGCTGCAAATCAGGGGATATCGTAATTAATCTGCCCCCAGCCTTTCAGCGTTATCGGCTTCCTCGACGACTACGAATTCCTATGGGCCCCGTTGCTCTTCACGGCCCTCGCTTTCTTCACACGCATGTGGAAGATTGGCCTCTCGCCGATTGTCACTTGGGATGAAGCCCAGTACGCATCCTCCTCCCCGCGCCGTTGCATCTATCGCTGACAGCTGCCGCAGTTTCGGAAAGTTTGGCTCCCACTACCTCAAGCGCGAATTCTACTTCGATGTCCACCCTCCGCTAGGGAAAATGCTCGTCGGTCTCTCTGGGTACCTCGCAGGATACAATGGCTCGTTTGAGTTCAAATCGGGAGAAACGTACCCTCCGGAGCTCAACTACACCTTCATGCGCCTCTTCAACGCTGTGTTTGGCGCTGTCTGCGTCCCGTTGGCATACTTCACCGCGAAGGAGCTCAACTTCCGGAGACCGACCGTATGGCTCGTTACGCTCATGGTCTTGTTCGAGAACTCGTACACCACCATCAGCCGCTTCATCCTGCTCGACTCAATGCTGCTGTGCTTCACTTTCACCACCGTCTTCTGCTGGTCCAAGTTCCACCGTTACCAAAGGGATCCATTCTCGCCAGAATGGGGTCTGTGGCTGATGCTCCTTGGTGTATCCATTGGCTGTGTTTGCAGCGTCAAGTGGGTTGGTTTCTTCGTCACTGCATTAGTTGGATTGTACACAATTGAAGACCTCTGGAACAAGTTTGGCGACCTGAAGATGCCCAAGGTTGAGCTGGCCACGCATCTCGCTTTCCGCGTCTTTGGTCTCATTCTCATTCCTCTGGCTGTGTACATGTTCTCTTTCTACCTGCACTTCATCATCCTCGAGAACAGTGGCCCAGGCGATGCTCAGATGAGCTCCCTCTTTCAGGCCAACTTGCGCGGCACCGAGGTTGGAAAAGACAGCCCTCTCGAAGTCGCTTACGGGTCGCGTGCTACCTTGAAGAACATGGGATACGGCGGAGGCCTGCTTCACTCTCACCACCAAACTTACCCGGAGGGCTCCAACCAACAGCAAATTACCTGCTACCACCACAAGGACTCCAACAACGACTGGTTTTTCTACCCCAACCGTCACGAGGCTGATTACTCGCCCGAGGAAGCGCTTCGCTACCCTGGAAACGGCGACGTAATTCGTTTGATCCACGCTCAGACTGGTCGTAACCTGCACTCCCACAACATTCCTGCTCCCGTGACCAAGGCCGACTGGGAAGTTTCTTGCTACGGTAACACGACGGTTGGCGACACCAAAGACCACTGGAAGATTGAGGTTGTCCGTGACGCAGCCTCGCGGGACTACTCCAAAATTCGAACCCTGACCACCGCTTTCCGCTTGAAGCACGTCGACCTCAACTGCTACTTGCGCGCGGGCAACGTGAACCTGCCGCAGTGGGGTTTCAAGCAGATCGAAACCACCTGCGTCAAGGAGAACAAGCCCCGTGATGTCTATACCCACTGGAACGTCGAAAGCCACTGGAACGAGAAGCTGCCAAACGGCAACCCTGATTCCTACAGGTCTCCTTTCCTTCAAGATTTCATTCATCTCAACGTTGCCATGATGACGTCCAACAACGCACTGGTACCTGACCCAGACAAGCAGGATGATCTTGCTTCCAAGTTCTGGCAGTGGCCCTTCCTGCACGTCGGTCTTCGTATGTGCGGATGGAACGATGACAGTAAGTTTGATCATAATGTCTAATGAGCATCGGCTAATCCGTTATAGTCGTCAAATACTTCCTCCTCGGCAATCCCATTGTCTACTGGGGCTCCACGGCCTCCCTCGGGGTCTTCGCCCTTCTGGTTGCTTTCTACCTCATCCGCTGGCAACGCGGATACGACGACCTCAAGTCTGCCGAGATCGACCAGATTCACTACGCTGGTCTCTACCCTGTCATCGGCTGGTTCCTGCATTACCTTCCCTTCGTCGCCATGGGTCGTGTCACTTATGTCCACCACTACTACCCCGCTTTGTACTTTGCCATCCTGACTTCGGGCTTCTGCATCGACTTTGCGACCCGCAAGCTGAACAAGCAGGTCAGCTGGGTGCTGTATGGCGCTCTCTACATTGCCATCATTGGGCTCTTCTGGCTATTCAGGGCTATCTCGTTTGGTATGGAGGGACCGAGCAAGCAGTGGAGCCATCTTAAGTGGTTCGAGAGCTGGAGGATTACGGACTAAGGAACTGCAATCTGATGGGCATGTCTCGATTTTTACGGATGCGCGAAGGAGAAGGATCGCGTAAAGGATTTTACTAGATAACCGCGTGCCTGGCGGCTTCGCTGGGTAGAGGAAGCGGCTTCCGACATGTATTATCTCCACTTCTTTTGTCATGTAGGGCTGGTTGGGCGCTGTTGGGTTGGAATGGGTTGGGAGGTAAAAGATTATGAATGTGATTTAGTATGTTGTCGAATTTGTGCATTGCTGAGTGAGATTCTGTAATGGATCTTGGTTGAACTGAGGTTAAGTGGGACTGAACAAGATGTGCTCTGCTTGCGTGAGGTTGAATGTGCGACAGTGACACGGCTGACCTATTTGCGAAGGCCTTGTTGATCCCAATACTAAACACGTGTGTATCCTGCGTAAATGTGACCCGGTAAGTGCGTATGGATGCTCTCAAGCAAGTATGACAAGCAAGTATAAGAAGCACCGAGCCCTAGTTAGAAAAGTTCCTTGCCCTCACATCTTTGCAATTTTTCTCGACATGACTGCGAATTCAAAGATTCACTCGATCGGACAAGACACTCTGAGATTCTACGTGCAATACAGCGGCCTTGCCCTCGACCTTGCCCAATATGCTGCCACCGCGACCCTCTGATTGTCGTAACGGGCGTGCTCCTTCTCTCCTTCTTCATCTCCGGTGGATCAAGAAAGACTGCAAGGGTGCGGTGAATAGCAATGGATTTACCGCATGCTGCAAGAGATATGCGAAGCAGAGCGATTGTTTGGGTTATGGTTGACAGTTCTTACGTCGATGGATCGAGATGGGGCAGTTGCATGCGAATCGTCGTGTTGTCATCGTTGTTTGTGAGACGTCTTTTTGCATGGACGGGAACCGAGAGCACCAGGCTGTGTGTAGTCCCCATAGCTAGCTGTCTTCACCTCGAGTCTGAAAGAACTTGTATCTCTAAACCGCTCTCACTTTCAGGCAAGTGGGGCAAGGCTTCGAGCGTTTGCCGTTAACATGCATATAAAGCACTTTCCCGCTCCTGATCGCGGCCATTCTACTCTACCACTAATTTACAAGCTCTCTTAACTCTACCGTCTGCTCGATCCATCTCGAAGTCTCAACGCTCGAATCTCGATCCACAACTCACAATTCACTTCGAAATCCACATCACTGACCTCAAACTCAACTTTCGCCAGATGCAGCTCCACAACATCAACTTCCTCCTCGCCAGGATGAGTATGTTCCTAATCTCGCTTCTCTCGGCCGGCGCCGCCGCGTGCAAATGCCGCAGCAATGACTAGTTAGTCGCATGGTACGTCGCTGCCCGCTCCCTCCCACCACTACTTAGCCCCTATCGCTTTCCCTTGCTCTTCTATACCTCACCGTGCTCAAAAACATCGTTTGATGGCTTCTGTCAGGCAAATTTATCACTTATGGTAGACTGACTTTGTACGTGTGTTTCCAGGGATCAGTCCTAAGACTGCTGCATGGGTGAGGCGATGGGCGTGTGGGTTGCCAAGGACTGCAAGGGCGCGGTGGACGGGTGGGTGTATACCAAGTGCTGCAAATGAACTACGGGAAGAAGAGCGATTGTCGGACGTTCGAGGCGTGAGCGGGTGGTTTGCGTTCTCGTGGGTTGGGATGAACCCTCGAGGGAATGCACGATTTCTCGTGCCAGAGGGACTAAAAGCCACGGGTGAATGCGAATAACTCAGATATCCGGGTCGCAGGATGGATGTGAGTCTTGAAGCATCATGAAATGGCGTCGATTAGATGATTAGTGTAGAGTTACAAATGTCTACTCGAATGTATGCATCAGTACTAGCTGTTGAACGTTCATCTTGCGTGGGCATTGGCCTGGTAAGCCTAACAGCGAGTGCATGCAGTATCCGCGCCGGCATGGGATCGCGGATGTATTCGCCGGATTTTCCAATACCTGTGACTATTGCTCATCATAACCAGTCTCTAGCTATTTTGATGACGAATGGAGTGTATATAATCTTGGTCTGGGAGCAGTCTTCCGAGGCACACTTTTACTCGGACTCAGACCTATCCTAGGCTTTTTCTTAAGCCGTCTCAAAGCAGACTCGAGGGCAGTAGATGTGCCTGCGAGCTGGGGACAAAAACCGCTTCCAACGAAAGGATGTTTTGGAGGCTCCGCTTCCTGAACATAATCCCTGGGCAGTCCGATGTTTCTCGCGAGACTCGACGTCTCACTCGAAGTACAAAAAGTGCATGCCTACTTTCTGCAGAGATGCAAAGTAACGAACAAGCACCTGCATGGCGCTATCCTGCTGTCCAAAAGTTAGGTAAAGATAGAATAGAAGTCTCCGTGAGCATGTGGAGAATTGTCCTTAGCAAGTCCAGCCAAGATGCTTCCGTTTTAGATACCGGTCGTTCAATTCCAGGGAGGAAGAGTAAATGTGGCTAGTTTAGGCAGCCAGGCCCTGTCAATGTAGTAGATGCGTGCCTTGCTGAACCAAAAATGACCAATACCCGATTGCATGTGCCTGCCTCCTCATTCGGAAAACTTAACCGCGAACGAGAGAGAAGAACATGGCATGCGTCTGTGTGAAACGTCGCAAAACGGTGGAACCCCTCAGACATGTTGCTCTTGCCTCCATGCACCATCATTCTAACAGAGATATCCACCAACCCATGATCTCCTATAGCACCTAATCCAAGGCGTTAAAGCGCGTGCTTTGCTCCCACTGCACCAGAAACAAACTTCATCGGAAAACTTTGCGCAACATCTGCCCCTCCAAAATCGACAGGAGAAAAATTTACGTGCTTACGGCAGAGCGGCTGCAGAAAGAACTCGATAACTCTGAAATATTGCTCGACTAATAGAAATCTTCCCGAATGATACAGCGGACCACTACGTTTCTACCCATGTTTCTTCGCGCAAAGCTCAGTGAGATCGATTATAGTTCTACCACCTAGCCACAATCTATCCAGAATAGTGGAATCCGCCGTTATCTGCTTTCCCTCTCAAAAAACAAGGAAGGTTGTCACGATATGTGTTTCTTTTGATGGACCAAAGACCTGCAAGAATAAAGATAAAAGTGTTGATTCAGCGAAATCCAAAGTATATTCGTGTACGCACTATGTCTCTGGAAGAGATTGACGCAAACTATAGTCATGACGGCTTATTGTGCCTTCTCTCTGGCTGGCTACAAACACGAACCCAAGTCAACTGAACATGGAAATGGAAGAATTGGTGTTTCAAGGAACTTGGTCCGCGAGCTTTCAAGTTCCTAATGAGAAACTACATAAGGAAGCGTATATTCTCGTGTATCGGTGCTTTATATTCATCATCCTTACATCAAACACATGCGAACAGCACCATATGGTTCCCGGCGTTTGAAAATTGCAGAAACCATATCCAATGCCCTCGCGCTTCCGGCGCGCGTATCTATGTCATCTCCAATCTAAGGATGCTCGGTTCAAAAATGGAAGCAGTAAGAACACACTGTAATTCACCTCGGGAAAAAAACGAGCAGCCAATGAAGATCCGCTACATCTCTCGCTTCTCATAAGAACGGTAATTTTGGACACTATGGTCTGCTGTCGTAACGAATACTTTTGGGTGCCATCTCGAAGAGTAGCTAAGATCACCGGGACCTTACAATCGACCTTTGTTCTCGGATCGAGGGTTGGATACCAGGAAACGATATGACGTGTTGTGTACAACAACTCAAAGGGTATGACGGCTACCTCCATGTGGTTTGTGCAGACTTATCCAAAAGAGCCCTGGCCGCGAAGTAGCATGTGGATCCGGTACCTCCCTTCTTAATAAGGTGCCGCGTATCGTGTCTGCCCGGGTATACAGACAAAAGACACTGAGTAAGCTTAATGTTAGGCATGCATTCCCTTGGAAAACGGAAAACGGTCAACATCTATGTCTTTGCCACGTCAAGGGAAAATCTAGAATGATGGGCAAACAAAACATATGCTGGCCCAGCGTCTGCTCTCAAACACGTTCTACAGGAATTTGATGTCTCGACGAGCACTGAGTCCAGATTTTCAGTCTATCTCACTACATTGGTTCATCCGAAAATCTATTATGTATCGCGGTGGCGGCACGAACTTGCATTGATGATAGACGGTGGGGACCATAGGGACTCGCCTGCCCTCCCACATTAGCTCGCCAGCATCTCTTTCAAATGGTACCATGTGCAGATCGTATGTCTCCCCATACATCCCGCAATGAGAATTTTATCTCAGTCTGACGACTTCTTGGCTCATGGGCGACATTTCAACTACTGTATCAACTGTTACTTGCTTCGAGAAAATTTTCAAAGTGTATTGCGATGTTCTTGAGGTGTTTTATCCAAGCCCTGGAAACATATCATTATGTGTTTGCGACCATTGAAAACAAAAAATCGTCACTTTAACCTGGCATAAATGTATGCACTCTTCTTTACATACGGAACTTGGATGCACGGCTTCGTAACAAAACTACAAAATCACGGAAAATCTGTTCTCCTGGGGATCGTTCAAATCTAGACGTAGCTCTTCCAAAGGCTCTCAACGCCGAGATGATGTTCCGTTCTTTCTCCGCCCTCTCAGATCAGCTTGGAAGCACTCAAAGTGTCCCAAAATACCACAACGTAGTCAACTACTGCTTGAAATGCATGCAAGAGCTTCTTTTATGGCTTGCACTTTGCGCTAAATCCCTCACACACGACTGATGACGATGATCATCATCATCAACCTTGCTACCGGTATTCGATATGCTGCAGCAGCATTACACACGCAATTACTGATTCATCTAGCTTGGATCGAATTGGGAAATAGTAGATGCTCACCGCCGTAATACTTTATTTAGGCTGTACCTTGCACACTCCCCAATGAGGCGTACCTTTCAATATTATAATCTCTCAACCTCAAACAAGCCAGTTCGTAGTTTATTACACCTTCTGAACCATCAAAGATATTATCAGCACCAATTTCCATACCAAGAGAGCACAGTCGTATTAACCCCATTTTTCGAAAGCTGTTGGAATCTCGGAGATGCGCGTCGAACTACGCCTTTCTCCTGCATATGCAGTCTTACACTCTTAATGAACAATATAGTACCGCGCGCTTCCACACCTTCCACCCGGGGGCCGAATACTTCAAGTCCAGACCATGATACTGTACCACCAAATACCAGACAAACATCTATAAAGTCCCCCCATCTCATCACACCATCCTCTACCTCGATCACCTCATCTCATCCTACCATTCTCTCCACCCTTATACTTACTATCCAAAATGAAGTTCACTGCTCTTCTTTTCTGTGCAGTCGCAGGCCTCGTTGCCGCCAGCCCCGCCCCAGCCCCAGACGTCTCTGCGGCCCAGGCTCTTGGAGCTACCTGGAGCGAGTCAATCCAGGCATTCTGCTGCAGACAGGAGGACTGCAAGTACTATGACGATGGATGCGCTGTAAGTAAATGATGAGTTGTGAGTGGGTATGGTGGCTGATAGGGAAACAGGTTGCGGGATACTGCTGCCATGGAATTCATCCGTAGATGGGGTGTTCTTGGGAAGAAAGGATGAGAGACATATCGAGGGGCACGTTGCCGGGTGGGACTGAAAGGTGGGTCTGGATGCGGTTGCAAGGAGAGGACTTACCTTGATAATTGTCAATATGATTGTGACCGCTGTCCTTCTCCTTCATATCATTTGTTCGTCTGTGCCTTGTCCCTCCGAGCACACGAGTTAATTAATGTCACAACACACTTATTTCTGGTCTCTCTGACTTCTAATCGCGTCTGAAGGTGTCTTTCCTAGATCAAGGATCTGGAGAAATTGTGGGATTGTGCACTTGCCCTTCTCTCCCCTTTTGCTCGTTGGAATCTGTGATCACAGTCCTTCTAGTCCCACACACACATTAGAAACGGGGCCATAACGCACGCTATCACTGTAAAGTACCACTAGGTCCCATTCCAAGTTTCCCAAGACGCCCGAACGCGTCACTTCACGTGTCCGTTGCTTTTGATCGGCCCACATTATTAGACAAGTCAAGAAAGACACTCAGTGTATCATAGAACTTCAAAATTCTCACCCCGTGAGAAGAATATATTGTTTCTATCGAATCATAGTTTTGTAGGATGTGAAAAAACCGTGCAAGGGGTCTTGCGAATCAAGTAGCAAAGGCCATTCATTTGCGAGTGAATGTACACAGACATAAGTAGACAATATTCCAGAACGTAGAACTTATGTTCTGTATACAGAGGAAATCCTTGAAGTTAAATTTCTCCAGCTTCTATGCGCGAGAGATACGTACCTGCTCCGTCGCAATCCGCGCCTGCCCGTCCAACGTGCTGCCTTCCACTTCGGCGAGGAGCGAGCCCCTCCTAAGCATTCACAACAACCAGCAATAGCCTTGGATGGCTTTTTTCTACAATGGCACGGTCCCCCTGCGAAGGTCCAAACCCGTCTCAGCGCTCGCTCTCTAACCACCCACCACAACGCTCACCCGGGTACGCCACCCAACCGCATACGCCACACTCACCTCCCCTTGACCCTTCATCTCTCCTGTCCCTTGAACTCCCAGCTACCGGCAGCACGCTGACCTCAGATAGTGTGCACGCCTTGCCCGCCACCTTGCGGCACACGAGCACAGGGGCTCCCGTCTCATCACTGGCCAAAGTTAAGTCTTCATTCCCCTTGTTCTGCCGCATGGTCACCATGCTACAGGTATGAACTTCACGTTTGGACAATTATGAAATCCATCTCCAAAATGCGAGCTGAGCCCGAAAGGACGATGAGGCCCCGCAAACATCACAGCTTTTTGACCCCTGAATCCAATGACCCGCGTTCGCATCCGCTTGACGAAGTCGAAGACACAGAATCCGCTGAGTGTTTCTGTGCTCCTAGGTCGTTGCTGATGCGGTGAGCTTCTGCTTCGGTCCCGCTCGGTTCGGCCTCAGACAGTGGGCGCGCCGCTGCTCGATCGACACCCGAAGGCGACGAATGGTATCCGCGCGCACGAGTCCTTCGACTCCTGTCTCATCATCGGCTTCTTCTGTCTGACAGCACACCTCCGTATCGTGTGGGAAGAGTGAGTCTTCATCACGGATCGCTCCGAGTGAGACACCCATCTCCAACGCCGCCTCCAGCTGGTCTCGTTGTGCTTAAGTGACACTCCGTGCATCAGGTCCACGAATCCATGCATTGTTGGATCTTCTCGAAGGTTGCCGGATGTCAACCACGCGGCGGGATGTTGGGGCTGCTGGCTGCGGCGGGGAGAGTGAGGATGGCAGTGCAAGTGCATGGAGTGCGATCAATCCTGGACACGACAGGGCCACTATAGCCAAAGAACTGGTTGGGGTTCGGGCAGAATTTTGTCTCGTCTTCCTCCATGTATTCACAGCTGCTGGGAGGCCGGAGGCGCCTGGAAGATCCGAAGGAACAAAGGCATGCGCTCGGAATAAATACATCTGCTGGCTCGCTTCGTGTCTGTTGAGACTTGGTCCCTTGGTGGATTACCGCGGCTCCTCTGTGCCAACAACCATGACTTCATGTGCAAAATCTCTGCCACAAGCAGGCTTTGCTGGGAATTCTAAACTTCCAAGTACCTCGTCGCTAATCCTCGACCACTCCACCCCCGAGGCGCACACCGCCCTCTTCCCCCCTTCTAGACCTCAGGCAGTATTTACAAATCCGCCCTAACCCGGCCTCCACCTTGCAGCATCGAGCCAGGGCCAAAGATACACACACACACACACGAGCACAGCGGCTCTATTCCTGTATCATCATCGGCCACCCTCGTGCCTTTAGACTTCTATTCAAGATGTGAACATCCAAAGAGGAATGGAGACAAGAGGTAAGGGAGGACATATGGGCGCGTAGGCAAACAAGTGGTGGAGATGTTGGGTGTTTGGGTGTTGGTTGTTGGGGCTTGGAGGTGCCGTGGGAGGGGATTCCGCACTCAACTCGCCACAATCCGTTGTTTGCATGTCCCGTGATTGCGAAGGTTCCGCTCCAGCCGCCCACGAAGCGAGAGAACGCTGCGGGCAGTCGGCGGCACGTTGGCGTTTGGCATGTACTCGGGGCCTGGGGTGATGCCTGGCATGTCTCTAGGCGCTGTGTGCAGTGAACACCCATATCGTGTCAGCCGGTGACGTGTAATTTCGAAGGGCTTGCTCCTTTCTGTCTGGGAAGTCTGGGAGGCTGCTGCGATGTAACTGACCAGATGGCAGACGCTACGATTCACCCGCCTGCCGCGTCATGGGCACATTCGGACAGAGGTCTTCTCCCCGGGTACGCGAAGTACACGCCGTAAGGTCATCACAATCACCGCGACTCACCCACTCTCCTTCGCACACATTCGCAAATTGTGTATATATTCCTGCTATACACCCCCCTTCCCCCCCACTCAGACATATATAAACGCCCAACCATGCATCCTCACTGGGTATAATAACAATCAACGATTCCAAAATTAACTCACCGTGCTCTATTTCCCCGTCCCTCCGGCTGGGATACCTCACGGTGCCCATAGTCGCTCACCGTGCAGTTCCTACCTACGCCCGGGTAGCGCGCCCGCACCCACAACCGCCCTCTGCTTTCCGAGCCAGCTCTTGGGTGCCTCGTTCTTGCGCTGCAACACGACAGTGTTGCTCTGCAAGCGGGACGTCATGTCGTACCACGCACTGGTAATGAGGCGGTTTTCGCGGCGGAGGGCGTCGAGTTCTGCTTGGAGTTCGGCCTGCACCAATTGTAAATCAGCATTGTAATTTACGTCGTGATTTTAGTAGAGAGAGGAAGGAAGATGGTGGGAAGGGAGAAAAGGTGAATGCATGCGACGTACCGAGCCCTTCTCCGCGCTCTCCTTCTTCGTTTTCTCGAGCTCCTCGCGGAGTGATAGTGTTGTAGCTTCTTGCTCTTGGAGATCCTGTTTGCGTCAGCGAAATCCTACGCCACCTTCAGTCCAGTCCGTCCCCGGCAAGAAGAAATGCAAGACGGAGAACCCCAGCCAAGCCGTGCACATGCATACTTTCCACCACGCAACGTGCAGGACAAACTTGCCATATCAAAGTAAAATTGACTTGGCGTGCTTGCTGCCACGAGGAGGGGGCTCTGGGAGCGTCTCGCCTTGGACGGCGAGATCAGCCGCGCGATGCGGTCGCCCCAGGCGCTCTTTCTCGTGTTTCTGTTGCTGGCTGTGGAGTTCGCGTCTGGCATGGGATCGTCTGATGCATGGCATTTGTCTGCGTGTTTCTGACCGGGCGAGCCAACGAGGGTAGCAGCTGACTCTGAGGCTACCATTCTCTCTCGAGGTGGCTGGCCGTTGGAGAAATGCTTCGCCTTCCCGTTCGTAACTGCCGGTTGGGACTGCCCAGAGGCCGATGGAAGTTGCTGGGTGCTTACTTTTCTGACGTTGTCCAACGCGGCTTGCGAACTCGCGACCTTGTCTGCGATCTCAGCAGATGTTGCCTCGAGCACCTTGAGTTGGACATCGGAAGGTGTCTTGATAACGCCTTCTATCTGCTCTCTAACCTGCTGTAGCAGTGCTTCTCGTAGCGCTTGGAGAAGCTCTGGGCTGCGGCCGTCACGGATTGTCAGTGAGGCATACAATAGACTGCGTGCTTCGTCTCTTGCGACTTCTAAGTCTCGGAGCTTCTGGTTAGTCTGTTGCTGCAATGCCAGCATGCGATCATGCTCGGATTGTAGAGCTTCGTTCTTGACCTCTTCATCGGCGTCGGATTCTGAAACATTTTAGTCGCGTGCCGCTCGGAGCAACGAAATACTTACTCTTGTTAAGCTCGTTGCGTAGCTCTGCCATCTCGAGTTCCTTCTCGCGAAGCTTACGCTGCAGCTCTTCGAGCTCGGTCTCAGTGGTGTGGAGTTTCTCGTTCTGTTCGAGAAACGGTCTGCGTCGCCGTTAGCGAATTATCCCTGAATTACACGCGATTGACGTACCTCTGACTCTCCTCGTCCTTGGTCGCCAGCATGTCCGACTTGAGTCCTAAGTTTTCTTGCATCTGCTTCAGCGTCTCCGTCTCCATCGACTTCAGTCGCGCGCTAAGGACATCGACCCTCTGCTGCAGAGCTATAGCATCTGCACTCACACGCCCGTCCATCGGCGTCTTCGAATTGGGGCCGTCTTCTGTGACCTCGCTAACGTCGTGATTGAGTTCGTCTTCCAAGCTGCCGCCGCGTGTACCGTTCGCCTCAAAATCTCGCAGCCGATCCTCAAGCTCCCGATTCTTGTCCTCGGCCTTGTACTGCATCTCTTTGCTCTGCTCAACCTGCTTCATCAGCACGATGTTCTCATGTTCAAGTCTGGTCCTCCGGCCCTTCTCCTCGAAGATGGATTGCTCGGAGTTTACCAGGGTTTGGATGTTCTCTTTGTTCACTTTCTCCAGCGCAGCACACTTCTCCTCGATGTCTTCTAGATCCTGCAGCCTCTCCTTAGCTTGCTGCAGCTCTTGGCGTAGCGTCTCGAGGGCTTTGGCTTCTTTTGACAGTGACTCAATTTTCTTCTTGAGGTTCTCGTTCGCCTTGGCCTTCTTCTCCAGCTCGTCGCGCTCGGCTTTGACGAGCTGCAGTTGGTCCTTGAGTTCCTGCTTTGCATCGTAGTCGTTCTCAAGGCGGTTCATGCGCTTCTTGAGCGACTCTATGACGTCTTTGGCGTGCGCGTGGTCGGTCTCGAGTCTATCGATGTACTGGCGTTCGCGTCTGAGGTCGTCCCGCAGGCGCTCGACCTCGTCCGACGTAGCGCCTCCCGCACCTCGGTCGTCCAGGTGGAGTCTTGCTTCAACAAGTTCTTCCTCTAGGTGTGATATCCTGTCTTTGGACTTGTTCAATTCTTCCTGCAACTTTGTGACCTGACTCCGCAATGTGGTTCGATCTTTGTTGGCCTCGAACAGCAGCGCCTCCTGCTCTAGCTCGGAGTCCTTTCCCACGGCGGACGCAGTACCCGAGACGGCCCGCGTGGGCGTCCGATATCCTGAGAGAGATGTCGGGAGAGGTGGCTCAGCCGTGAGCTCTTGCTCGACGCCGAGCTCTGCCATGCGTTCGTCTAGCGATTGCAACTCCTGTATACCTCCTGCAATGACCCCCTGCTTCTCGGTGCTAAGCTGCCCCATGTGCTCCAGCATTCTCTGACCGCTCTTGGGCGATGTATAGGCAGCGAATAATATCGCCATGGTGAGCTTTGCTGTGAGCTGCAGGCTTCCATCTCTGGCACCAGTCTTTAGGTCTGGTATCATGCGCTTGGTAAGGACGGGCAGCTGGTTGCATTCTTCCCGTATGTATATCGAGACTTGGCGCTCGATGTGCTTGAGGTTCTGCCATTTGGGAATCCAGTTGTCTGCAATGGAGCGGCGGCGATCGGTGCCCTCGTCGAGGTTGGGCAGCGATTCGTTGAAGTAGTCGGGGTCGATGTCGGCGAGAATCTGCCAGAGGACCTGGCCGTCCTCGAGCTGGTTCCAGGCGCTGACCCGCCCGGCGAGGTCGAATGTGTTGACCTGTGTGGCACCACTGTTAGGCCGTGTCTCTGGGTGGAGGCGAGGGGGGACGCGTGCGTACCCAGTCGAGGAGAGCTTTCAGCAGCTCCGGCTTGAAGTCGTCCATGGCCGCCGCGCAGATTTCAGGAGGCGCAGGCGCACGCGTGCAATTTGAGTGATGGTCGTGTGGATAGCGAGGGGAGCCTGTGCATCATTACGGGGCCACAGTCGCGCGAAGAACCGGCTGTTCTGAGCAGTTGTGGGGGGTCTGTCGACGCGATGATGCTCGGGAGAGAGCCGCGCTAGTGTCGGAATCGAGCACCTGCCGCAGGTGCAGCTGCAGGGCAGGGACAGGGCCTCACTGTCGTGCTTGCTTGTGCGTGTTGGGGGGTGCGGGACCAAGTACCGCGGTCACAGGCAGTGTATGCTGACGGGTGTCGCTCTGCGTGCATGAGATTACATTTCCTCTGAAACGGGGCGCGTCCTCACAACGCTCGCCCAACTCAACCACTTTGGGCCCGCTCTTTGGCGGGGGGCCAGGGTTCGGCGGGAGCCATCGCACTTATCGATTCCACGCGACCATGCACGTCACATCAATTGTTGGGAGCACCCAGAAGCTGTACAAGAAAGCCTAGCATGTGATTTCCAGGTATAGGAGAGCGTGTAGTCGTAATGATAGCAATATCCAACAACGCCGCAAGAGCAATTCCTTGCATGACTTCCGCAGGAGAATAGCACCCCAAAGTGAGACTCATCATTTATCCAGCGTGCCCGGTGCTTGTCCGCACCAATGTTGGCTGTGTCGCAGCGCCCTTGACTCCAAATGTGCGATATCGCATCGCTGGCGTGTGGCCTATCCCCATTCCTTTCGCCGACGTATGGCGCAGGCTGGTATACTTGGTCGGCGGGCTGTTCTATATGCCCACTTTGTCGCCGTCCTTGTTCTGCGTGGTCACGATGCCGTCGCCCTCGATCGTCGGCTTGAATCCATTGCTCTCCATGGTGCCCATCTCGCCCATCAAGCTCTCGGGAACCCGTGCGGCGAATGCGTCGATGATGCCTGTGATCATTAGCTTGTGCGCAGCAACTTGCAGTCTGCCCGCTCAAGAGCAGTGTCAGGAACCACATACTGTATTCGTGCGTGATCTGGGCTCCCTGCGTGTTTCGCACCTTCTCCTTCATCTCCTCGAGCATGCCGCTTGGCGAACCTTCGGGCACGCTGACTATCACATCGTAGAGTTGCGGAGTCACGGCCATGGCGATGACAGCGAAGAGCGCAACGAGCAGGGAGGTGAGTGCGAAGCGCATGTCCGTGGGTGAGTAGACCTTGGTCTTCTAGGCAGCCGTAGTGGGTACTTGTATGGTAACTCGTTGTCGGCGGCGGTGCGAGTCAGTAGAAGTATAGTATCGGCTGTGTGTGCAGGAAGGGAAGGTAGGGAAGGGAGCCTAATATAATGCGCAACTAGGTTTCGATGAGGTATGCGTTCATAGTCCCGTGCACCAAATCGGAAGGTGACGGTGGCGTTACAAAGGGAAGGGCTGCTTGGCGCCCAACCACTCAACGCCCCAGTCGGCCATCCCTCGCTGACCCCTTTGGCTGTCCCTGACTGACGTACGACCGCCTCCACGTCACGCGCCACTGAACGCTACTTCATATTCAGATATTCATTCGGTGTTTTAAACTACGCCTATCCAGTGCATCCTTTTCGTTGCGGAGCTACCCAAAATCGAGCTATTCTCCCACAGGGAAGAAGAGCAAGACCGCATAGCCAATCAAGATGCGTGGACCAGTCTTTCAAGATCCACATTTCCGTCCGTCGTTGACAAGAAAACAAATGAAAAGGTCCGCTCGTCGTGCTTAGCAGCTTCATCTAGCCGTATGCTGTGGTCCACCCCACCACGACCCATCAGACCAAGTTTTCCGCCTTTGCGCAAAACAAATCGCTGGTGCTTTGAGTAAAAAGACATGGAGGAATACAAGAATGTGCAAGCAAAATCTCCTGCCGAAGTAGGGGTACAAGTGAAATAAAAACTGATTCGTCCCGTAAGCGCCGTAAGTATGCCCAAGCTCCGCTATGCTCTTGTCGCAGCAATACTAGAGATACACGTCGGCAATGAATGATGAGTCTGACAAGGTGAGCAACAGCCCTAGGAATGAACTTCCTACCCATGAAAGACAGATCGTAGTAAATGAAATAAATCTCAACGAGATAATGCCAACACCAGAGAGCTTTGACAACTGGTAGGGCAACGTGCACCCGCAAGTGATATCCCGATAAGATGCTTCAGACGGTGGCCGTAACGTTCGTCATCGTAACTCGTCTACTAGAAGAAGTTTCCGCTGCCGCCGTTGAAGTTGCCGTTCGCATGACCGTTGCCATTGGGCATGCCATTGCTGAACTGGTAGGAAGGGTACTGTACAGTGTTCTGCAATTGCGACGGGAGCGGCGGGTTGCTCATGCGGTGGGGCTGCGGCGAAGCGATGTTGGTGCCATAGCTTGCGGCTGCGGTATACATAGGAGCCGTGGTGTAGCCAGAGGAGATTGGGCCAGCGCCAGCATAGGCCGGGTTTTGGCCCGGAGCACTCGTGCCGTGAGGAGAAACATGTCCAGAAGCACGACCACCGGCATATGCAGCGAGGCGAGACTCACGCTCCTGAACCTTGCTCTGAATGCGGCGGCCATAGGGCGTCTGGCGGATACCGGGCAAGATGGGACGCATGGCCTCGATCAAGTGGATGCAGAGCTCTGCAGGCGCAAACTCCAGTGCGGTCTGGATGACATAGTTGCCGTATGAGTCGCGCATAAGCTTCTCGAGCTCCTCCTCTTGCATCATCTCATGGATCATGACAGCCTTGGTGTCCATGTCTGCACAACGGACGCACTTCTCGATGACGTTGGAGCTGAACTTCTGCTTGGACAACTCCGCAATGTGTCCTTGGAAGTTGAGGCAGAGCGGGGTGGTGAAGCTCATCTCATTAAGATCCAGAATGTACTGCACAACGTAGTTGCCAAAGGGGTCCTGGACCAAGTTGAAGCTGTTGGCCGTGATCTGGCGAACGAGCTGGACCTTCTGGTAGCCAGAGGCGTGGTCAATGCAGCGCTGGAGGACGCAGCAACCGTGGCGGTGTGTGCCGACGGCAACGCAGTTGTCGCCAACAGCGTCGAAGATGAATTGAGCATCCTCGGACTTGAGGTGGTTCAGGCACTTCTGGATGACGTGATTGCCATTGAGGTCCTGGATGAGGGCAACAACCTCGCCACTCAGAGCGTTGATGATGACTTGGATCTATGAGAGTGTTAACGCATACATAGATATTAAGGTGGGCCACTGACCTGCTCGGGGGTGGAAATGAACTCAATCATCTTCTGCAAAGCACGAGTACCATGCTGATTGAGAGCGATGGAGACCAGCGACGGAGCGGCGTTGCGCACCAAAGTGTTGCGCTGTTCATCGGTGCTGAACTCCAACAGCTTCTGGCAGAGGTAGTTGCCGAATGGGTCCGTCATAAGCTCGACCACATGAGGAGCAGTCTCCTCGAAGATGATCTGCACGTTCTCAGGATCTTTTTCTTCAAGCTTCTTCTGGAGGAAACGGCAGCCGTGCTGATCTTTGCACAAGGTGTAGATGTCTTGTCGTGCCATTGTCTTCAGGTCATAGTTCAAGAAGCGATTGGCATCTGCTTTTACTCGATCAGCAATGTTCAGGTTACTACAGATGTGGGACATACCGTTTTGCATGCGACGGCTCTGAATCACGCGCGCCTGACTGTCCTGGGGCTGTCCATCACGACCGTAGGTGGTATAGGGGTTATAGCTGCCGAATTGCTGCGGACCGGGCGGTCCAGGAGGACCAGCATACATGGGCGGATACATCGGGCCTTGCGAAAGAGACATTCCCCCAATGGCGTTGTTCAAGGCGGACATGCCATATCCGACGTAAGCAGGGCCTGGTGAGCCGCCGTTGGAGTACATCGAGTACATCGAAGGTACGGGCGAGGTCATTGCGCTAGTGACCGCAGGAGACGGGAGAACAGGGCCGAATGGAGCGGCGCTCGCATGAAGGGCGGATCCAAAGGGAGCACCGTTGCGGTAGTCCTGCTCCTTGTTCAGACTGGCAGACAACTCACGGCTGTGGCGGTTAGCCATGGCGTTCGCCGGGACACGGCCCAAATTGGCGTTATGGTTGCGCAGATGCTGCTCAGCGTGGGTCTTGGGACCGAAACCATTAACAGGACCATCGCCGTTCTTCAGGGTTGGCACATCGTTGCTGGAGAACGACTGCTGGAGCTTTGGCATACCGTTGGTATAGGCGGCGCGCTGAGGGCTGCTCAGAGCGTACAAGTCAATTGAACGACGGTTGCTGGCGGTGGACTTGGGTGTCTTGTCGCCGTTGGTCTGGCCATCATACTCTTCAGCTTGAGAATCCTTACGAAGAGTGTTAGTAGGGAGCGACTGTTGTGCGTGACGGTGGCGGTGGCCACCCCAACCGGTGGACTGGCCGTCTGGACCAGGTGATTGCGAAAGCGCGAGATCAAGAGCAGCAGATGAGGAAGACAGCTTAATGCCGTTTCCATTACCATTCTGACGTACCAAGATAGGAACCCCCTCTTTCGTAGTGTTCATTTGCAATGAGTAGGGCGCGCCAGCAGTGGACGGGCTCTGCTCGTGTTCGTCCTTGAGGAAATCGAGAACCGAACCCATGTCTGGCATGTTGACTTCGTTGTTGCGAGCTCCAAGTGGGGGCATAGAGAACCGGTTCGGGCTATTGCAGTCAGCGTGAGTTCAAACGTGTCGGAATGGAAACGCGCGTGAGCGTGGGTCCGTGAACCACTCATGCAAGGGGCACGGTATAAAGGCGGGGTGCACTAACTTGCGGATATGGACCGGACTCTCGGGCGTGAATTGGTCGTTGAAGTCATCGCCGTCCTCGTCGGAGTTGCGACGTGAGCCGGGCATAGACTGCGCCGCGAAGCCGTTGCCCTGCTGCGAACGAGCGGATGGCGGCGAGGTGATTTGGGACCCCGCGCGACTTCCGCGAGGAGTCGTCAAGCCGGGATTGATGGCCGACATGCTGAAACGATTGGGTCGCGAGAAAGACGACGGAAAACCGGTATTGTTTGCGTACTCGGGCGGGGTAGACGGTGTGCTGTGCTTGCCGTACCTGATGTCGGAGGAAAGGCGATTAATCTCCTCCTCTTCTTGACGCGACTGCATATCAATGAGTTCCATTTCAGCTTCGATACGACGTCGCTGCTCTTTCATATACTCGTATTCGAGCTTCTTCTTCTCAAGCTACTCACAGTTAGCGGGTCCGGAGACCGTTGAATAAGATACACGCGAGGCGCGTTGGTGACGGGACGCGCAGTGCAGCAGAGGGTAAAAGAGAATGTAGCGCCTCAAGTACAGAAGCTGGTGTATACAACGGCGGGAATCAAGATAGGATAAGATTGGCGAGGTGGGGGAGAGAGGTTAAAAGCGTGTCTCTGCGTTTATCACCAAAGCGCTGGCGCTAGCGCGACATTTGGGACTCGAGTGAAGGCAGGAGCGCGCTCAAACCAAACAGATGAATTGTATCGCGCGGTGAAGGACAAAAACTGGCTTACCACTTGCAGTTTATGGTATGTCTGAGCAATCCGTTAGCCTTGATTCTCGTTCACGTAGGTTTTCGAGCGCAAAGCAGCCGCAGATGCACCACTGAAATGACCGCATCGTATGCAGCTTCTCTCTGCATTGCGTGCAGTGCATGCAGTGCATTTCATGGGCAGAGTTGCGCACAGTATCCCAGCTTAGCCATGCCCACACTTGCACTATTCGTAAATTCCACTTTCTCTCACATGGCGACAAGAATACAGTGTACAGAACGTATTTGCAGCTGGGAACAGTATAGAAAAGGGCAGCTACATACCGCGGTGGTAGTGGTGAAGTCGGTCGGCTCAGCCGCCTGTCTTCGCTGCTGCCCAATCGGGGACAGAGGGGTGCTCAGTGTTGGGATGTTGTTCGTAGTGAATCGTCGGTGCAGCTGGCCGCGGGCATCGCTGGCAGAGGAAGATCCCATCTGGCTACCGACGGCACGCAGAGGGCTCGTAAGGTTGAGGGAAGCGAACGACGACTCTTCGCGAGGCGACCGGAGGCCACTGCGCTCTCCAATACCCGTGGAGAAGGCCATTTTGTACTAGAAATACACTGAGGCACACATCAGCCAATATTCACGGCGCGGGCGTTGCTGTGGGGTGGGCAGGTCGGGCGGTGAGGGGGCTCTGGAGAGGTGCCGCGCGCGCGCGCAAGCTCCCCTGAGCCATGGATTTGCAACGAGAACGCTCTACGTACACAGTAATAGGTACACAGGGCGGGCGCCCTCGCTGGCCTGGGTGCTGCGGTTCTGTCTGGGGGAAATTCGTCGTTGGTATTGCTTGCGAGAGGTTCGCTGGGCTACGGTGGAGTGGTCCCAAGCGCTGAGCCGCGGCAGCGTGTGGTCCGTCCGCGCTCCGAGAGGAAGGGCTCTGGACGGTGGGCGCAACGGTGACTTCGGATTGCAAAGGACAGACTCAAGAAAAGAGCGACGACAGTGCCCAAACCCACCAGCGCGCGCGAAGAGTTACAGTATTGTACAGTGCGGCGGCGGAGTACGGTGACGAAGGGCGGCAATAGACCCTGATGCCTTTAAACGACTGGGCCTGGCTACAGGGACCGACATGCAAGCCACCGTCTGCCGTATTTTAGCACGTAGCTCGACTCTCTCCGCTCACGCTATGCCGCCTATATTGGCCCTGCTGGACAGGCACCAGCCTGCACCCGCAATTGCAATTCAATGTCCACATCAACACGCGCGAGAACAGCAAAGCCGCCTACGTTTTCCTCGTCGTCCTTATACCGGGGCACTGCATGGCTTCCAGTATGTACGCACTGGTACCATGTGCACGCCCGCCTCTTGCAGGTGCAGCATCTTGGGCACGTTTCGCCCAAGGTCCCTTGGGACCACGAGCCCCCTGGTGTGGACCCGCCCAAATTTTGCGCGCGGTAGCCGTGGTGTTTTTAACAGCTACTTGACAAGCGACCGTCTGGCCCATTATTGCGAGAGCATTAAGAGCGCCGTGGTGGACCAATGGACGTCATTTCCGTCCATGGCAGTGATGGACGGAGACTGACATGCACGCTCCCCCAATCGAGGGTGCAGATCTGCGCGTCTGGCCACAGCGAAGGAAGCTCTTCATGTCCACGGCCGTCTGCCGCCGGCGGGGCTTCACCAGAAAGCCGATGCAAGACGCCTACGAGTCCGTGCAGGGGAGCATGGTCGGATCTGTCAAATGGCCCAGCAACCCGCAAACACGCCTACGAGCATTCGAGAAGTGGCCGGTCTCGGTCTAAGAGTTCGTTCGCTCTGCCATGAGTAGGGATTCGTCTCCACAGCGTTCGCCCAGTGCGTGGTGGAGGCGCTCGCGGCGTTGCAGGTGTGTGTGACATGTGGCGGACGAAGTGTCCTGCACCGTGACTACGCTGCATCCGATCTAGGAAACGTGTGATTTCTCGCAGTCTCACCGCCATGTCGAAACGGAAGCCTAGACCGACATGAGCCTAGCCTTACGGGTATCGATAGCGACAAGCGTTTCAGAACCGCCGCCAGCATTCCCCGCATGCTCCTGCTCCAATCACTGCTGGCTTGTACGAGTCTGGGCTGGGCAACAGCAGATGAGAACCGCCGTGGGACGTGTGCTTGTCCTGTGTAGGGACGAAGGCCTCAGTCCTTTCCGAGATCTTCGTGCCGCTGTCGGGAGCGATACCACCGCGGTAAATTGAACGCGTTTCTTGGCCGCAACGAGAAGGAGGGGCAATTACCCCGCTCTCAAGTGTGATCGAGGACTCAGCCCCCACTGGACCACGGTAGAATCAGTCGATCTGTTCATGAAGCGGGACGTATTCTTCTCTTGAGCTCCGACGGTCTTGTTCCACTGCAGCTCGAACCGAAAGAAGCGTAGGCTTTCTGGTTCCGGGTACAGGGTCTTTGCCTCCTTCCAATTGAGCTTCCGTCAACGGCTTGCATGCAGCAGAGCCGCTGCACCTGCCCTGTGACAGCACACTCGTCGTCCACGGTGGCAATTCCCTTACCTTCCCGGACTTTTTCCGTCATGTGTTGGCGGCATGAAAGCCAGCAGATGGATTGTGGTCGACGAGAGCAGGTAGTCCGAGAGGCCAAGGCAAGTACACGTACGTAGAACAGAGAGCTACCGGGTTCGTGCGAGTACTGGGGTCATAGAGGCGCTAAACTCCGACTGCCAGCGCGGTTGCCGGTTTCGATCATGGACTTGCAGCCGGAACACACAACCAGTGTCGAGCACTAGTGAGGTGCTCGGCGCTTGAGAATGTATTGTCGAGTGCTCCGAGGCGTGGCTGATGAGGCGATTCACGGTTCTGCGGGCCGAAAATAAACCTATGTCTAAGTCGCCAAAGGAAAGGTGCAGTGTGGCTTGTCGGTCGCCGCTAGGGTAAGACTGTGAAAGCCTGCTCGCTCTTTTTCAATTTCAGTCAAATGTGAACAACCGCCTTGCAATGAGGGATACTCATCACGCCCATGATGCTACCTCGGTAGACTCCCGACGTACTCCATTTATGCAATATCGATGACGCCGCAACCGTTCCAGGTAACTGTCATCGACTTGATGGCCATCCACACAGCAGCCAGAAAAATATCACAACCTCGAAATTTTGATGGGCCCGCGACTTGTCCACCACAGCACAGGAATGTTACCAGCACAATGCAAGCTTACGACCACGAGTTCCTATGCTCGCTCAAGAATAGCACTTCTCGGCAGCCTTGGCCTTTGTTGTTAAGTATGGCGTCCGAAATCCGAACACTTCATCGCTACCAGCACATTGACGCACGCCAGTCTGTCTCCCCATACAACAACTAGGTTGCATTATTTAGTTACCACAACCATCGATCTCTACCCCGAGGATCACTGGCGTATCACTGGCGTATTTATTCTGGAAATTCTTTTGGAAAACGCTTTTATATTAAGACAAATGGTAACAAATCGATCTTACAGGGCACCGTGGCGAGCTATCAACATCTCCGGACGCCGTTATGACTCAAAAAACGTGGCTATGGGGAGGATGTGGAATTCGCAATTGCAATGATTGCTGAACCGATTCGGCTACAAACAGATCGTCGAGACACGGTGACGGTTGCGACAAGGCGAAGTGAAGCAGTCTGTGAGCATGATGAGTATGATAAATAGCCTTCATGCGCAGAGGTCAATCGTACCTAGACCATGCCTGCATTAAAATTATGCGGCACGGTGACGAGTGCCTTTGTGTCCTCCAGGCTCCCACGCTTGGAGATGTTCTGCCCACAGATGTATGACTTGTAGACGTCGTTCGAGTCGTGGTTCGGCACGTCTCCAGGGCCCTTGCATGTGACGGAGAAAGTGCCAGTAGACTTACTAGTGCACTTGTCCCCAGTGAAGAAGGCGCACGTGGTGGGCTTGCAGACCTGAACCGACTTGATGCTAAAACCTCTACAAATTTTGTTTAATTATTTGCAATGCGTGTTTGAGAGTGGCAACGTTTACCGAGGACGATTTTGGGAGTCCACATTAATTGGGATGCAAGTGGGCTTGTCCCGAAGTTCGAAGATGAACGTGGAGTTGCCCTCTGTGTAAGACTTAGTACGGAGAGCTGATACAATACAACTATGCCGAGTGAGTGCGCGTACTGTAATAACGATCATCGAAGATTAGGCCCACGTCGCGGATGGCCGGTGTATCGATCATAGCGACATGCGGTAGACCAAGGACAGACGCCACGAAGGTGAAAAGAAACATGAAAGCGTTCATCTTGTAGTCGGTGTTGTTGTAACAGAAGCTCGGAATGACGAAGCCTGAAATGTGGATATGAAGTCTATCGGAAGTGAAGCGGCTTTGGTAGCAACTGTCGAGAGCTGTGCAAAAAAGGTGTGGGCGTGGGCAGGAAGAGCTGGTGAGAGGGATTATATAGCGGGTGGATCGACGCTAATTGTGAGTGGGCCCCATCATGGGCTTGTGTGAATGTGAGCGTGACCTGAGCTCTTTCCGTTGTGGGCTGAATATAGAGCGCTCCCACGTTGTTGAGGAATGCGGCCGGAGCGAAGGGATAGGTCACGACGCCCGCCTGCAACAACAAAGTTTTTGGGGGGGCTTTGCAGACGCAACTGCTTGAGCAATCGCGAAGGACCTCGCACGATGGTTTTGATGCGCTTCTGATCGGGCAGTCGAAGAGAACCTGAAGCCAGGAAGATAGTAATGGTAGATGTGAGAGCTCGTTTGCAAGGACCGAAGGCGCACCCCACTTCACGCGCTTTCTCTTTCCTCGTGTTACATTACGCGGCCTCGACTGTCCCTCGCACATAGCGGATTCGTCTGCAAGCTGGCACCACCAGGGGCAGGAGCTCGACCTTTCTTCTTGTGCGCCTCACGCATCCCGTTTGTCAGCGAAAAGATCAGCTCGTCCACCGTAAGCGCACTCTGGGGATAACGGGTCCTGCCGAAAGAGTGTTGCAAGCATAACACCGAACCGAGCGTGGCGATGCATAGGTTCAAATGCGTAATGAGTGAAGGCCGAAACGAGCATGCAAACTCCATACAACCCGCGAGATCAGAGCAAGTGAAGGAATTGCCAACGGAAACCTTTGTCGCCTCTTCTCGATGTTGTCCAAGTCTCATGCAGTACTTGCCAGATTTCCTAGCACTGCGTTGCTCATCGTAGAGCGCCACAGTGCTCTAGAAGTTCTTTCAGACATTGCAGCGTCTTTAAGTTCCGGGCCAACACGTTGTTGTCCCAATAGCCATCTACAGTCAGCAATTAATATGATGCCCAGCATCACTTCAAAAAGCATGCCAGCAACATCAGGCTGCGTCTTGCCAGATAACGATATGGATACCCACTCCTCCAGAATGTCAGCATCATCAGGAACGGGTACCGTTGAGAAATGCAAGCCTCTCATTGCTATTCGTCCTTTGGACGGGACTGTTCCACCCTCATTGGGACCCTAAGCAGCGCACATCTCTTCAAGCTTGTCGGCGCATTGCCCACGTTGTTTGTCAGTAACTACAGACGCTCACCTTGATCAGGTCGCCAGAGGTTCCAAACCGGGTAATTTTTCAAAGTTTTAGAGTCTGTCGGGTTGAATACAGTTGAAGTTCCTGTTCCAGTGATGGAAACACCAATCTAGAATTAGGTTCACGTCCAATGTGGGTCAAAGAATCGAAAGGTATACCTTGTCGCTTTGAGCTACTCCCCATTTGCGGATACGAGACAGACCCGCCATGGAGATATTCGAATGGTCTTTACATCTCCGACGTTTCGCTCACCAAGATAGTGCCACCGAACCTGTCAATACATGTGTTCAGCCCGCCACGTCTAGCTGCGACTGATTACTCCGGCCATACCATGGGAGAACAGGCTTTTTTTTTACCGACTGCTGGCGGCATCAACGGCATGATCAAGGTACTTAGGAGTGCTGCGGCTGACAGAATGAATCGAGATTGCACATAGAAAGCCTGGTCAGCGGAAAGCGGGCCACAGAAGAGCTGACTGACTAAGGAGCGTAAGACGGGTGATTGGATCTTGGCCACCATTTATGCCTAGCGCGGCGCGACCGTATCCTGCACCGCCTCTTCCCAACTCTACACGAACGATCGCAGAGACACAGCGTTACAATGGCCAGCAGAAACGAATGCCGGCCAGAAGTGTGCCTTGTCCGTTTATGACGAGAGCCGACTTGAAGACCCCCTGCGCCACCAGCCAGCTTACTGCGTTCAGCTAATCGCAACAGCACTGTGGTATCCTCATGTACCACCCAGGGTAATCAAGCAATGGCATGAGCGGGGCCTTCCGTCGGCACGTTCTGCGGCATGACAGGCGGTGGAGAAACCTGGCCCCAAATGGTGGCACCGTGGGCAGACATGCTGTAGCTTCCCGCTAAACCCGATCAAGGCGTTCATTGTAGAAATACAGGGAAAGCGCGTCAACACCCGTCGAGACAATGATTATTCAGCCCCACCTTACATATTATTAGATAGCATGCTTGGCGACAGCTACACTTGCTTACGATTGAATGGATCCGTTCGGCTCCTCTCCGCTAAATGCTTCCCTACTTTTCTCCGCATACACGACCAGGAATAGTTCCTTGTCGACGTCCAAGCTTCAGGTTTTCGATCTTCAGCCCTACAAAAATGATCCGCCACGGGAATGGTCACTCACAACTCTCCGTCGGAGTCACCTCACGGCACCTACAGCATGACGAAACTCAAATCAAGGATGCGACTTCCTATAAGAATGTTCCCACCGCCACAGCCTGGGCGCTGCAACCACAACCAGATACACACTCAAGTACTTAGAACGATGCTGCCGTCCTCCTCCAGAGTACCGCACCGCTCAGGAACTCCTTCAAATTCTAGTCATCCCCCGGAGGTGTCAGACGTTCAGTGCTACACTTGTCGCAGGCGGCATGTTAAATGCGACCGCATACTTCCACATTGGTAGGGCTGTTCCGAAAGACTTCTTGTAAACCATCTGATGCCGTTTTCAGTGCCAAATGTCTTAAGAAAGGAGTTCAATGTTTGGGTTACCAAAAGCCTTTAAGGTAAGGTAGCTACTCCTTGTGAGCGGAAATGTAACACGCATACTTTGACCACGTCTTTCGAATCACAATCTCCCTCTCAGTTTGGGCTTCATGAAAAATTATTGAGCACGTGAGTTTTAATCCCTGCTAAACAGTGGACTGATCTGCTACGCAACAGATGGGCAGATGGTGTTGCAGTTCGGGGAAAGCTGAAGGGCAAATCACAGCCTGTTCTTGACAGTAAGTACAACAAGGTCCTGGTCGATATGTCAGGCATTGATTGTACGTTAGGCAAAAGCACGAACGTAGTACCGAACAGCGTGCAACAGCAAACTGCCAGCGCGTTGCAAGAAGCAGCTCAACTTGGAGTCCTTCCATCAGAAAATTGTGGTAGTGACGTGGTCTGTGACCAAAGTCGAATTGCCGAGATAATCGCATATTGTAAGTGTTCTATTCATCATGCCACAAGACTTTTGTTAACAACACTACCCTCTAAGATGCTTCTCTTGATTTTGATTAAGTGTTGACCATGTGATAGACAATTCCATTATCGTCTCGGAGAATTCGGTTGATCAAATGGAAACCAAGCTTGTTGAGGGTCCACCCACGCCACTCAATCCAGAGTATACTCGGCAGTTACCCAAGTCCATCGTTAATTGTCTGCTTGGCATTTCAGTAGTACATATGGCATCGCGCAATCCGCGAAATACCGACATCGAACGACTGGCTCTTGAGACAAAAGTCAACGTACTCCAACGTCACAACCAGCTTCTCCGTATGCCCCAAAATCATTTTGAACAAAGATTAGATGTCGTCATTGCTTGCGCTGTCTTGATTTTCGCCATGGATGTAGGTTGCTTTCTAGGCGTCTTGGACACGCTAATTGTTCCTAGTTGCTTGAACACGGACTGAGTAGGTGGATGGTGCATACGCTTGGAGTGATGCACGTCATGTCATCTCTTGGTGGCATTGAAGACCTCACGATTCGCTACCCGCATATGCACATACCCTTATTGCATTGCTCTCTCTTCGAGACAGTACGTCCTAATTGGTTTTGGTAGAGACCTGGCTGATACGCGAGTAGATGTGGATAATTACCTCGCCTAGCCCATTGGAAAGAACTAAACACGCTTCTAGAAACGCTCTAGAAGCCTTAATAGATTCGCGCTACGCCAGACACAAGATATTCAGCGGATGCCCAAGTGTTTTGACGCTTGCTATCTGGGATACTGCAGCATGCGCACAGAAAATGCTCCGAGCTGGTCGCTCTATCACCTTTGCCGGTATGCACAGAAGGGAGCGCATACTTGTCGACGTACTCTCCATTCAACCCGAGGAGGGCACACAAGCTTTGAGAAAAGAGCACTCCCAAGACCATATGCCGTAAGCTCTATGCATACGCTTTCACAATATCACGCTAATCTAGTGTAGTCACGCAGGTATTCATCTTGAACATTGGAACTCAGTTGGGGCGATTTGGAAGGCAGCGATTACTATTCTGGTATTGAGATATCTATTCTTCGGAAGACGTGAGCTACTGCCAGCACCTCAGTCTTCAGATTCACCTATGAAATTCGCTCAAGAGGAGCAGTACCTCCAAGGCACCAACGACTACCTCACTGCGGGCACATATTTCGATGATCCACTTTCGAGAAGCCCCTCTGCATCGCCTATTCAATCACCTTACGCCCCTGCCGAGCCGCTAAACTTTGATCTATGGGACGCCCGCTACGACATCCACGACGAAGCCTTTACCACTCTCACATCTGTTTTGGCGACTCTCCAGCCTGACCTCGATCCTATTACCCTCCGATGTGTACTTATACCCGTCATCATATTGGCGCTTGTCAGCCGTCCGGATAGCAAGGAACGCGCCATCTGTGTAGCCTACTTTGAACGACTGGACGTATTTGTACAGCATTCTTGTAAAAGCCGGGCCGACAGCGAGAATATGAATTACTCGATCCCTTGGGACAAGCTAGATGCTTTTTCTGAAGTCGCCAAGATGCAAGTAGATCCTGAGATGGAGTCTATGAAAGGTAGTGCGCCTGAATGGAACTGGTGGGACATGCTCAAGCACATTGATTTGGACCTTTGGTGTAAGCAAACGCTCATTCCTTTCAACATCCTGGAATATAAATGATGAAACTGACAAGATCTTAGGGCCCGTCACAGCTGGTCTCTCGCACCTCGAAAGCAGTCCCGAGTTCTGGACCTTTAAGCTCATCGGTGGGGTTGCTAACGAGGAGAGCTTCAAGGTATGGATGCAGGACACAACTGCGTCCAGCTCTATGCCTTCTGCCTGATAAAACTCAGCATTCAGATTATCCCTTAACATCTATCGATATAACGCCTCCACGATCAGGTTGATGTCCTGTCTATGTCCACTAAATCTCTCAAGAAAAGGACTTCACTACTTCCAACAACCTGCTTTCTCTCTCTATGTTTTTTTCCTGGCAGGAGGCATTAGCATGGCGTTTGATGGACTTCGTATAGCTAAAGTAGCATCTGTAGCATCTAAATAAACCGGCACCCTACGCGAGACATCAACTCGTTCTCAAACTATACATTTCTTTCTCATTCCCATTTCCCACACCCACACCCAGTCTCGAAATCGTCTCGGTAATCCAGCCTCGACGCCCATCCCCCCCAGCGCGACTCCTTCCAGATCCACTCGCCTCCTCATCACAATGTTACTACACCTCCCACCCGCATATCCCCGCCGTTCCTTCCCCCGCCAAGCGCCCGGGACCTCAGTACACCAGCTTACCTCACTCGCCTCACCCCACCCCTCACCACGCAGCCTCGTTGCCACCCGCCACCCGCACGCCGGGTTCGCCGCGCCCACAACGCCGGGGCCCGCCCCACTCGTCTACTCTGGTAACTTGAACCACACGAGACGGCGAGTCTGACCTCACACCCTCAGGCCTCGCCCGAAAGCCATCGGCCCCGCCTGTGTGTATAGTGCTCTTACGTGTACCACATTGTATGCCGGATGGGGCTAGGTGCGTGGCACAATTCTCACATAGACACACCTTGTTGACGCGTCGGCAAAGTCCTTGCGCACGAGTCGTTTAGCAGGAGCGCATGTGTGGAGGCGCGGCAGACACGGGGCGGGAAGAAACGCGCTGGCCCCCATCCCAGCTCACCTCGTACTCTACCTGTTCGGACCGGGGAAAGAGGTACGTCTGAGTCACGCGCTAATGTGTACATTGGAGGTTCGCACGAGCGGGGAGGTGGGCTGTGACTAGAGTGTAGCGAACTATTCTGAGAGAAGTCGTGGGCCTGGATATGTCGTACAGTCGTTGAGGGCAAGCAGTTGGGTAGTAGTCAACGGACATGGACAGACATAGATATTACATTCCGTGGGAGCTGTTCCGCGGGATATTCAATCCGGCAAAACCACACACATACTCATACAAGAACAGCCGTTGAAGGTATGGGATGGGCATATCATGCCGCGTCTACTCTTTCCTTCATTCAAAAGCCATATCTAACAACACCGTATCTCGTGATAACGCCTTTGAATCCCATACAATAACAGATCACGGCTTCGCCATGACATCGACATACCGCCCGCCCTTCTTCTTCCCCTTCGCTGCACCCTTCCTCGCCTGCGGCGCACCCAGCAGATCGTCGATGCTGCTCGCCGTGCTCATGCCTGTGCCCGGCCTACTTGGCGGACCAGTTGGCATACTGGGTCGCGTCAATGCTGGCGGTCTCGGACCCTCGTTGTCGGATGGTAAGCCGGGTGTGCTCGCCCTTGAGCCGGGAAGACCCATAGGCGGCGGCATGGAGGAACTCCTCTGCCCGAGCCCGGGATTCGACGTCGGCGGAAGGGGCAGGCCATTCGCATTGGGTAGAGAGTTGGGAGGCCCCATGGCGCTTTGCGTTGAGACAGCCCTGCTGGGCGGACCGCTGCGTGGTGGAGGTGGAGTCGCCATGGGTTTGGCAGCTTCCGCCGCGCCACCCTTGGTGTTGACCCACTTCTTGAGCTCAGGGTCGTATTTGAAGCTGTTCTCCTCTCCAAGCTTCGCTTTGATGGGCTTATTCGTCGGCATAGCATTGTCCTTCTTGGCACCGCCGCCGAACCAGCCGCCAAGCCAGCTGCCGGACTTCTTCTGCGCAGCGGCCTCCTTGTCGCGCTTTGCGTCTTCTTCCGCGGCTTTGCGGAACGCTTCATCTGCGAGGCGGTCGTTCTCTGACTTGGAATTGGATGAACCTGAGATTTTGAGAGCTGCAGCACGGGTAGCGAGGTCATCGTCATCGTCATCATCCATGAAAGACTTCTTGGGCCTGAGTGATTGCTCCGCAGAGTCTTCTTCGGATGGCTGGTAAGGTTGATACGACGACTCGAAAGAGCTGCTTGGAGGTTGGAAGCCGCTCGATAGAGTGGGCGAGTCATCGAAGCTGGCTTGAAGCGGCTGGAAACCTCCATACGATGGAGTAGGTTCTGCTGCGGCCGCCGCAGGCGTGGGTTGGTAAGGGCTGCCATAAGACGGCTCGGAAGCGTTGTACTCTGTTCGGAGAGGGGAGTAGGAATGCGCTTTGGAGAGGGATGGTACATGGGGGCTAAGCTGGGCTTGTTGCGGTGAGGCAAAGGAGTTGGGAATCTGGGGCGACGGAATGTAAGAGTCGGAGACTGCGCGCATTCCTACGCTGCTGTCGTTGGACTCTAACGAGGGACGACCCTGGGGCTCGTACTTGGATCGGGTGGACTCCATCGATGTCCTGGGCGCGTGGGCATTCGAGGGTGCATACCTAGAGTTTCCTGGGGCAGATGGCGCAGTGGGAGCAATTCCAAAGCCGGAATACGCTCCGTAAAGGTCCGCGCTGGACTGAGTCGGGCTTAAGGTTGGTGTGCCACCAGCAATCTTCCCAAAAGGACCGGCTTCTCCAGCTGAGGCATTGGAAGCGGCATCCTCGTCATCGCCCGCAACGAAATTCGTGAACTTCGAGAACAGCGAGCTTGTTAGCTTGTCCGTGTTTGTTATTGTGCGCCAGGTTGAGCCATCCTTAGGAGAATGCGATAGGCGCTTACTGAGATCATCGAGCATTGCCACGAAGCTACCATTGAAGTAAGGCGAGATTTTTGTAGTGGCTTTCATGGATGCTGTAATGGCGTCGCAGTAGGCCTGAGCATCGGTCCGGTGGCCGTACTCTGCTAGTTGATATGCGTGAGCAAGCTTGTAGTTTTGCAGGTGTGGGATTATGAAAGAGCCTCCTGGGGCAGACAAGGACAAGCCAAACTCATACACTTCGGTCAGCAACACCGGGTCCAAGTCGATGCCCAGGTCCAAGGGATTCTTCTTGTGATCAGCACCAATAAGCACAATGTTAGCCTCGGGATCATCCACGCCGTTGATGTGAGCTCTGCTCCGCGCAAAGATGAAGCAGATGTGCGCTGCTTCAACACGACCATAGCCTGCAAGCAGTTTTCCAAGGGAGACTAAAGCCGCTGGGTCACCTTCACTTCGGTTGTTCAAGACGAGTGTGAGAGTCTCGCGCCATCTGTCGAGACCTTGGAGAGCATTCTCGGCGGTACCAGCACCATCCGTACTCATCATCTGGAAGCCAGCTCGGGCAGAAGCAGGGACTAGTTCGTCAATGCAATCGTCGTGATTTCCGGCGAATATTTCGTAGAGCACAGCAAGAGCTTGGTTGTTTCGGCCCAACTTCTTAACCTCTTTCTGTACAAATTCTTGCACGACTTGCTTCCAGATGTCTTTGTTTAGTGTCGAAGACAGAAGCATGGCGTGTGCCCATAGTCGCTGGTCCACCGCATGCCAGACAGCCTTTTCACGGTCGCCTTTCGTGAGGAGTGTCCTCAATTCCTCAACAGCTTTGGGATCCACAGGATCAGCCTGCACGCCGGTAGTGTTTGACCTCGGTCTGCCCACTAGTTCAGCCGCCGTGGTGAACGATCCCTCGCCATCAGCAGAAGCGTCCGCGTCGGCTGCAAATATCTTCCTCACAGCCGCGTCGGCTACCGTGTTACCATCCAGTACACCGTCATTGTCAATAAAGACCTGCAAGACTTTCCAAAGCAGGATCTTTTCTTCGAGTCGCTTCAGCTCATCCGCGCTATGTGACAAATCCAGTCCTGGACTTTGTTGATGCGCTTCAAGCGCTCCTATCCGTTGAGCGAGCCATGCCGACACGTCCTTCTTCTTGCTTTTTGCCTTTAGCGGGCCCGGGAACTTTGTGATATCTTCCGACAATGGGAGAACTTCTTTGACGCTTTGAGTCCGAATTTCACCGGGGCTGCATTTCACCATCGGTGCTGATGCGCCACCCCCATAGCGAGGTACCTGCTTTGGGAATGTTGTCACTGCCATTCCACCCAAGCCCCACTTGAAGATTGGGTAGCCTCTCCATCGCTCCAGCGGGTCAGCTGCACGTTCATCTGTAGGTGCGATGCAATCGTATTGGAGCGCAGGCTGGCGACGCGGAGGTATGGTGTTCACATCCTGTGAGCCAGGTGCGGCATATGTCGGTTGAAGCGGTCCACCAAAAGCAGCAGCTGATGGTTCCATGTTCGAGAAGCTTCGCACAGGCGGCAACTCTGTTTGCGAAGGTGCTGGGGCCGTGGATGCGTCCATTGGCTGATACTGAGGAGTGTAGTTGCCCTTCTTTCTCGGCGAACTCACAACAGACGAGGGCGTGCTTCGTATCGGTGGTGTGGCCGTTCTCGCAGATAGAGGAGGGCCAGCTTGCTGTTGTGGTTCTTCTGTCACGCCTTCCAAGGAACTCCGAGACACATCTGGTGTGTGTTGCTGTGCATTTACCGCTGATTCTTGTTGCTGTCGCGAGGTGTGGTAAGCGAGCGGGCTAGATGTACGAGGCAGATAGTTTTGGGATGGCGGTCGAGGAGGTCCTCCTAGTGGAGGGGTAGTGTGTTGATTCAGGGCCTGGGTAACCGACCCTTGTGGTGGTGGAGCAGGCGAGTACCTCGCGTTTGCAGCTGGAGCAGATGGGGGAGCGGGAGAATATCTTGCGTTGGCCGGGGGCGCCGAAGGTGCTTGCGATGGTGCTGGCGAATATCTGTTCGAGGGAGGTGCTGGAGCAGGCTGTGGTACAGGCAGACTGTTGGCCCGCACAGGCGCCGTGGGCTGCTCTGGGAAGACTGGCAAACGGTCTGGCTGCTGCAGTTGGGATATGTAATTGTCGGCATCTGGTTTGAACTCATTCCTCAAAGAGGACCACGATGCCGTGCGCTCTTTGGGAGGAAACCCAGGGGCAGGGGGTTGTTGCGGTGCGGCAGGCTGTGGAGTGTATCTTCCAGAGGGTTTCGGCTTCGAGGTAATTGGAAGCTCAGCAAAGAAGTCACTTGATGGTGATTTCGCCGGAGCTGCAGGCTTTGGTGGTACGTTTGGTGGTAAGCCCGTCATCTGAGGCTGATACGAGTGTCCGGATGAGGGAGGAGAGAAGCTAGAGGCTGACAAGTTCGAAGGCGGTAGGGGCTGAGGCGCGCCAGTATTCGACATACTGCTGGATCGTGGGGGTGCCGAAGGGGGTGCCGAGGGGATTGAAGCTGTGCGTGGCGCAGGTCGTCGTCGCGTGGTGACAATGTCCTCTGGGAGGTCATACGGCGAATGGTAGCCTTCTCGCGCTTTCGCGGCGAAGCTCTCCGCAGAACCAGGCATTCCGGGTCTAGATGCCGTTTGCTGAATTGGTGCAGGCTGACCATAGGCGCCGTAAAGAGCCGTTGGGGTAGGAATACCTGCCGTTAGACCAGGTTGCGCTAGGTTTGTGAGCTGCGGAGTGGGTGCCCCGTAAGTGTTTGCAGTTGGCTGCGGTGCTTGTGCGGCCGCAGGTGCATATCGAGTTGCAGCGGGAGCAGAGAGGGGTTGTGCAGGCTGTTCCGTTGTCTCGGTGGGTTCGTCGTCCAGAAAACCTTCATCGTCGTCCAGTTCGAATACGGGCCCTGCATCTTCTGTCTCCTCCAAGAAATCATCATCCAATTCCAGATCCCATGCGGAACCACCAGCTGCGAGCTCGCTGTCTTCCGCTTTGTGCACATGCGCGCTGGAGCTCTCCTCAGCGCCAGATTGCGTCGGTCCTGCAACCTGGGGAGCGGCGGCCCCAGCGAAAAAGTCATCACCATCGCCGTTGCCCCAGTCGTCAGTGACCTCGCCTGTGTTTCCGCCGACACTCGTATTTCCAATGAAATCGTCCCCGACAGTTGTGCCGCCCGCTTCGGGTCGCGGAGTGTGGAGGAGTGCTTGTAGGGGGGTCTCGAGTGCGTCCTGCGACGCCCCTCCCAGATCGAAATCCTCGCCAGAAGCTCCCCAGTCATCGCTTGCGGGCTCCGCGTCTGCAACCAGCGGCGCCTTCTCGCTTTCAGCCACCGCTTCTTCCAGTAGCGTAGTTTCGCCTTGATGCTCGTATTGGGCTTCGGGGTGCTCTACTTCTTCTTCCGAGGATTCCGCTTCCGACTCCTCCTCGGATTCCTCTTCCGAATTGTCGGAGGGAGGAGCTGGTGCGCCCTGGGTAGCTCCAACCGGTTCTTTTGCTGTCGCATCCTCCAGACTGAGAGACTCTGTCGCAGCTGCGAGGGCGCTCCCTTGAACATGAGCTTCATCAGCCTCCTCATCCTCCTCGCTCTCATCCTCATCCTCGCCTTCTTCCTCCTCCTCTCCCTCCTCGCTCGACGAGGGATCCTCGCTCTCGGGATCCTCGGCCTGCTGCTGGCGACTGAAGAAGTCCTCTCCCGACGGTCTCTCATGGCCAGGGACACCATTGCTCAGAGGCGCAGGTGTCGTCTCCACTTCGGGTATGGAAGGCACGTCATCCTCACTGTCCTCCTGGCCATCTTCCAGCGACGGTTTCGACTGAGGTATGATCTGCGGAGAAGGCTGCAGCTTGGCCGACTGTTCTTGGGCGGATTCGTTTTCGGGGCGCAATGCGGGATTCCACGACTGGGTGGCAGGCGTTGAGGAGCCGGCGTAGGCGTAGGAGAAGTTTGGCGCGTCGTCGTCCATTATGCGCGTCTATGTCGGTATGTAAAAGGGGTATATGCAAATACTATGCCGGTAAATCAGCGCCAGAAGAGACCCAACGCGGCACGGACGGTCGGGGTGGCGCGAGCATTGACAGAGGGTATCTAATCGTCGCGACAGGTAATATCTATGTTTCCGAGGCGACTAGCAGCGGCGTTGGTTGCACGGCTGAGGCAGCTACCCGTGCCTGGAGTTGGTTGACAGGAGGGCAGGCGCGGCCCAGAAAGGAGCAGGAAGGAGGGTCCCCTTTCCGCGACTCGACGCGAATGGACGTACTCGCGGAATCAAGACGTACCTGTACAACAGAAGTGAAGAGCCTGGTGCGTGTGCGCACAGATATGGCGCTCGCGGCAAAAGACACGCGCAACAATTATGAAAAGGCCACGATGCACGGCTGCATTGCCCGTCGAGTATAGTGAAGTAATGCAGGCTGTCTAGAGCCGACGAACACATGGCCTCTCCGCCGAGCTCCCGCTCAGCCACAGTGTGGCGCTCACTGATGGGCGGGCCTACGCAGCGACACGCAACCTGGGAAGCCCCCGTATCTGCGCGTCTTTCGCAACTACACGTCTTCCGCTCGTCTGTCCTCGTCTTGTCGCCTACGCTGCCCGAGCAGCCAAGCACGTCTGTGTGCACCGCCAGCAGAGCCGCATCCCCGAGACGCAACCTGGCCGCCTGGCGCTCCCCCATCAGGACACACGGCATTCCCGCGGACCCCCGACGCGCAACCATACGCCCACGAGTCGCTCCGAGCACGATTACCAAAGTCTGTCTGTAGAAAGGGCACCCAAATATCCCAAGATATAGTTTTAGCGACCTGTCGCCAGCTGGTTGCCTACGACACACCGCCCTGCCATCGTAACCACGTCCCTACGCCGCTGCGCCAAAGCCCAAGTACCGCGTGCGGCTTCAGGGCAGGCTTTACCACGATCAACGCTTCCCGTCGACCGCTCCGCGCCATATGAGCCATGGCAGCTCCACACCAATACCACCAGCCGAATGCGCCAGACGACGCTGATTCCGACCTCGAGCTGGATCTCGAAGAACTCGACCCGCTCGCCGGTAGATCTTCTGCCTCACCCGCGCGAACGACCTCGAGTGCGCCCAAGAAGCCCTACCATGAACTGGGCGCAAGGATACCACTGAGGAATCTGAGGGTGGGCAGGCTGCGCGGGAACAGGCCAAGGCAGGAGCCTGAGGAGGATCTACGAGGGTTGATAGAAGATGGAAACCGGCACTCCGACAGTAGTCACGGGCAGTCAGGCGACGAAGACTCGGCATTGCTATCCTCCCGCAACGATGCCCGCCCGAGACACAAGCGGAAGCCGAGTGCTCTGTCGCGATTCCAATCCAACATTCGCCTCCCCAGCTTCCTCTCCGCCGCGAGCCCAAATCGACAAGCCATACAATTAGGCCAGAATCTATCCGACCAAGACGACGCGGAAGAAGAGCACGACCCCACCACCCAGCGTACCATCGCCGTCGGCCAGGCCCAAGTTGCCCGATTTCCTGCAAACGCCGTTTCCAACGCCAAATATACCCCCTGGAGCTTTCTTCCACGCACCTTGTATAATGAGTTCTCTTTTTTCATCAACATGTATTTCTTGCTTGTTGCAATGTCTCAGATAATACCCGCTCTGAGAATTGGATACCTTTCAACATATGTTGTACCACTGGGTTTTGTCATTTCAGTCACCCTAGGAAAGGAGGCTTTTGACGATATTGCGAGAAGAAGAAGAGACGCAGAGGCGAATTCGGAACCGTACACAGTACTTAAATTCGAGGAAACTAGCGGAAATGGAGTTGCGCCGGGCAGGGATTCGAGCAGGAGGCGGAGACTGCGTAGAGGGAAAAAGGCAAGCGGCGGGCGCGTAACTGATATTGAGGACGAGGAGCAACGAATAGCCACGACTGGTGGTCTTCCCACTGCCAGGTAAGTTTCGCTCACAATGCAACATGCCCTTTTCGATACATCCAAGCTGATGAACATTCCAGTTATTGGGAACTTGTCAAACCTTCTCGGAGCTTGAAGGTTGGTGACGTAGTCAAGCTAGGGAAGGATCAGCGTGTCCCTGCCGACATGGTGATCCTGAAAAGTTACTCAGCAGATTCCGAAACGGCCACTCACTCTGCAGAAACACCGGCAGATGCTGGTGCCTCTGGAGAAGCGTTCATTCGTACAGATCAACTTGACGGCGAGACCGACTGGAAGCTTCGTCTCACATCTCCGCTTACGCAAAACCTGGACGTTGGAGAGTACACCCGACTACGCGTGACCGCAGGAAAGCCCGACAGGAAAGTGAACGAGTTCTACGGCACAGTCGAGCTCCAACACAAACGGTCACGCGATTACGATCCTCACGAACAGCAACCCCCCGCAAACGAAGAAGCCCAATCCTCACCACTAGGCATCGATAACACGATATGGGCGAACACGGTACTCGCCTCCAGCTGCAACGTACTCGCTGTGGTGATTTACACGGGACCCCAAACACGGCAAGCTCTTTCTACGTCCGCATCTCGGTCAAAGACCGGTCTACTGGAACTGGAGATCAACGTTCTCACCAAATTCTTGTGTATCTTTACACTCTCTCTGTCTTTTGTCCTGGTTGCTCTCAACCGGTTCCAGGACATTAATGGCCAGAAATGGTACGTGTCGATGATGCGATTCTTGATTCTCTTCTCTACAATTGTTCCCGTTGGGTTGCGTGTCAACCTGGACATGGGTAAATCAGTCTACGCATGGTTTATCGAACATGACAAGAGCATCCCAGGAACCGTCGTACGAACAAGTACTATTCCAGAAGATCTAGGCCGAGTGGAGTACCTGTTGAGCGATAAAACGGGCACTTTGACTCAGAATGGTAATAGATACAAACTCACTGTACGGAATGTAGCTAATCGAACACAGAAATGGAGATGAAGAAGATTCACGTCGGGACGGTCTCGTACGCCAATGAAGCCATGGACGAAGTCGCAACATATGTCCAGCAAAGCTTCTCGACTCCAGCCGGCGAAGCGCCTTCACTCGTAACACCGTCGTCAACATACGTCGCCCCCCTCACATCTGCAACGCGAACTCGCCGCGAGATCGGCTCGCGTGTTCGCGATGTAGTACTAGCTCTTGCTCTGTGCCACAATGTCACTCCCATCACAGAAGAAGAGGATGGGCATATGGTCACCAGCTACCAGGCATCTTCACCGGATGAGATTGCCATCATTCGATGGACCGAAGCGGTTGGGCTTCGACTCGTACAACGCGACCGAGAGTCAATGACACTTCAGTCCTGCGACAATGGCAACACTGTCGTTCGCGTACGCATTCTTAATGTCTTCCCTTTCACGTCCGAGAGCAAGAGAATGGGTATTGTCGTCAAGTTCTGGCAGGGACCTATCGATTCACCTTCGAATGAGGATGGAGAGACCTGGTTTTACCAAAAGGGAGCCGACACAGTCATGACCTCTATCGTAGCTGCAAACGACTGGTTGGATGAAGAGACTGCCAATATGGCTCGTGAAGGTCTCCGGACGCTAGTAGTGGGTCGCAAGAAGCTTTCAGCGCAGGCATACCAGGACTTCTCGAGCAAGCTTGCACAGGCGTCGCTCGCACTCCACAACCGTGACAATGCAGTCGCAGACGTCGTTAAAGAATACCTCGAGAACGACCTTGAGCTTCTGGGTGTCACTGGTGTCGAAGACAAGCTCCAAAAAGATGTCAAGCCATCCCTAGAACTCCTTCGCAATGCAGGAATCAAAATCTGGATGTTGACGGGTGACAAAGTCGAGACAGCACGTTGCGTAGCTGTAAGCTCCAAATTAGTCGCACGCGGGCAGTATGTGCACACCATCGCAAAGAGTAGGTCCACATACTTGGCATTTGCTGAATGGAGGTCTAACAGTTACCAGTGAAACGCAAAGACCTCGCTCACTCGTCCCTCGACTTCCTCCGCGGCAAGACCGATGCCTGTCTCCTCATTGACGGCGAGTCCCTCGCCTTGATGCTCAACCACTACCGTCAAGAGTTCATATCCATTGCCGTTCAGCTCCCTGCAGTCGTAGCCTGTCGCTGCTCGCCTACTCAAAAGGCTGACGTCGCGTATCTCATCCGTGACTACACCAAGAAGCGCGTCTGCTGCATCGGCGACGGCGGCAACGACGTGTCCATGATCCAAGCCGCCGACGTGGGCGTTGGCATTGTCGGCAAAGAAGGCAAACAAGCCTCCCTCGCCGCCGACTTCTCCATCGAGCAGTTCTGCTACCTCGTCAAACTCCTCGTCTGGCACGGCCGCAACTCGTACAAGCGCAGCGCTAAACTCTCACAATTCGTCATCCACCGCGGCCTCATCATCAGCATCTGCCAAACCGTCTACTCCCTCGCCTCCTCCTTCGAACCCAACGCCCTCTACCGCGACTGGCTCCTCGTCGGCTACTCAACGATCTACACAATGATGCCTGTCTTCTCGCTCGTGCTCGACCGTGACGTCGACGAGTCCGTCGCAAACCTCTACCCGGAGCTCTACGCCGAGCTCAAGCTCGGCCGCTCCCTCTCCACCAAATCCTTCCTCATCTGGGTCGCCGTGAGCATCTACCAAGGCAGCATGATCCAGGGTCTCTCGCAGCTGCTCGTCGGCGTCGGCAAGCCGTCCACCCCGGAATTCGGCCGCATGGTTGCAGTCTCCTTCTCTGTACTCGTTGTCAACGAGCTTGTCATGGTCGCGATGGAGGTAACGACGTGGCACTGGATTATGATTGCGTCTATTTTTGGCACAGCGAGTATATATTTTGGCAGTGTGCCGTTCTTGGGCGAGTATTATGATTTGGGGTTTGTGAGTAGTCTGGGGTTCTGGTGGAAGTTTGCGGTCATTGCGGCGATTGGGTTGATTCCGCCGTATGTGGCGAAGGTGGTGGGGAGGACGTTGAAGCCGCCAAGTTATCGGAAGGTGCAGGGGGTGTAGAGATTGTTGGGCTGTGGCTGTTTTGCATAGCGTTTGTTAGGGTATAGGTCTCATGTCTTGTTCATCTTATGGAAAAAGGTCCTTGTTATACCGAAATGGTTAACATCGGTGCCTCGTGCCTTCTGTTTACAAGCGGAACAAGGGAGAGGATCTCTCGATTAGTCATTGCTTGGTTAGTCAACCCCACCGTGGAAGCGTTCTACTGTCGACATGCGTACCATAAATCCTTCCACGCGTGTCCTATCGTTTTTTTCACTGGTGCCATCTCAACGACAACAACCCATCGAATCAGACTATCGTCTACAGTCCGAGGAGACCCAGCACTCCCAAGCACACAGAAAGAACGACGTTGCTACCCCTAAGTTCGGAGTGGCACTAGAACTTGATAAAGCCGGAGCAACAGATAATTGGCAGCCTACGCTTGACTCAGCATGACTGACTCAAAAGTTTTAAGCTCGCAAGGAGTAGGCCGCTGCAGGGTCTGCTTCGATATACTCGATCTCTCGCAGATCGTGCATGACTCTGGCGGTAGAGTCGCACCGGCGCCACGTCTTCTCGGAAGCATTACGGAGGTCACGAGCATGCCATGTCCGCACTCCAAGTCAATAAAGACCTTGTGGGATAGTGGCAAGCCGTTTGGCGAGCATGCTATGAACACATGGCTCATTGATCTTTGCTACCTCTTCAATGACTTTGCATTCCGATTCTACGACCAAGAACTTCCTGAACCGAATACATTTTATAGGACATTCAATTTGATCGCGAAACCTGGTATACATGGGCACACCGGGGCTTCCAGGGTTATTCAATCGGACTGGATCCACCCTGTGATCCCCCAGTCGTGGTACACCGCATGCCTCCGGGAGCATGGCCTCAAATGCGAAGAGCCGTCGTGGATGGCTGCCCAACCTTTGTCCATCGCGACCCCAGAATGGCTCGTAGATGTCAAAACATGGTGTCTGGTACCATACAATTCTGATACTTCCAGATATTTCACTCTCTCGTACACATGGGGAAATGCGAACTGTCTCCGAACGACCGCTGCAAGTCTTGGACTGTTACAACAACCAGACTCATTACGCACGACCTATTTGGGACAATTACCTCGCACGATCCAAGACGCAATCGGAATCACTGAGTCCCTAGGTGAGACGTATCTTTGGATCGACAGCTTATGCATTGTCCAAGACGACGCTGCTTCTCTGCATAACAATCTCAATAATATGCATGATATCTATGCTCGGTCAGCGCTATGCCTTGTCGCCTTTGCTGGGGTAGACGCAAATCATGGCTTGAATGGACTCGAAGGGATTTCAGGTCCAAGAGTCGTTGATCAACTTACTTTACCCATAGCTGATGGAGAAAACATATCGTGGTACAACGCTCCTCGGGCTAGATGGGACAGCTTTGGAGAACTACCTAAGGACATCGGACGGACTTATAATGAAAGGGGTTGGACATTTCAGGAGTTTATATTCGCCAAACGACGTCTCATCTTCACCGATGGGCCTGTCCGCTGGATCTGCGCCTGTACTATTTGGGGCGAGGATAAAATCGGCGACCTGGTTATAGACAACATGACCGATATGCCTTTCACGAAATGGAAAGACCGACAACGTCCTGGTCTGGCAAACTTCTTGACCGATGTCGCATCCGAGTACAACGAACGCCACTTCTCCTTTTGGCAGGACATTTTAAACGCATTCCTAGGAATACAGAACCATCTCCATAGGACCTTCTTCGGCGGCTTGAACCATGGGCATCCGGACATGTTCTTTGACATCTCGTTATTATGGGAGCCCGAAGCGGAAATAGCGCGACGGGGTTCTTCCGAGGACGCACCAACCGAAGGAAGATATCTGCCTACCTGGTCCTGGATGGGTTGGCATGGTGCTTTTCGCTTTCTATGTGATCATGAGTACGAGTGTTATGACCGCCCTTCAAATGGAATTCTGGGACCCGTTGCGCAATGGTTCACTTTTCAACCGTCCGCGCCCACGAACAGCAAGCGCCTCATCAAATGTGATTGGTACAAGCACAAACAAAATGCTAACCAGATCCACGAGAAATGGAGGCGACACCAGGAAGGTGGATTTGAGATTGGCGATGCGCAGTTCCGCTACACTGTCCCAGTGCCCTTGTTTGTATTGCCCGTCGACCCAGTCGAACAGTCACGGTTGGTATTTGCAGCGACAACTCGAGCATACTTTACAGCACGCAAGATCGAAGTACCCAGTCGCGAAAGGCAGCTTCGCGACCCGGAGCTTTGCGTCATACTCCACACGTTTTCAGGTGAAATCGCCGGCATCTTGCGACTTCATAACAAGGCAGATGAGGCCAACATCATTCAGCGTCAGACTGTCGAGCTCGTCGCAGTGGTTAAGGGATGGACAACGGACCTCTCTGACGTTGACGATCGTCGCAGGATTGCATGTTGTTTTGCGCTATGCATCCATTGGGAGGGCGGGGTTGCGAGACGACTGGGTACCTGTAAAGTCTTCGACAACGTGTGGGAGAATGAAAAGAAGCCGGTGGACCTAATCCTGGGATAACCTTATGTACCCAGTGTTTTGATGCTCTCCGTTCGTTCGAGAGCCAGCTGGTTCATCAGAGCTGAGGTTCGGAACGCAGAAGAGTGCATACTCTGATTAACGACCATGTATCTTCGACACCTTCTTAGATGTCAACTCGATCCTCGTTATTCGCATATATGCGTAGACAATTCGCGCCTCACAGACCGGTCGGTCGAGTTAGTAGTCTAGACAAACAGCTATTTAGAGCTTTTACCAAGACGGGCACTCAAGACCTCCCAGCTCCCGAGAACTGCAAGGTTACGAGAACGCTATAGCAGGAGCTAGCTGATTGGCCCTGGGGAATATGCCCACATAATGCGAGTGAGTCCCGAAGGTTGTTTGGGAGTAGGATTGATTGATTCGAGGTGGCAATGAGGAGGTCGATGCAAGCTGGAGTACAGAACGAGGGGCGTGGTGCTGACTGTCGCACTCCGCGATGGTGGCCCCCACGCCATCCCTCTCATCTCCGTTCAGAGGCGCAACGTCAGATGTAGACCACCGCATAATTGAGTACCTGGATTTTTAGGTCCTTGAAGCTGTACATCAGCTTCTACTCGGCCGCTTCACAGTCGTACTTGAGCCTAGCAGAGCTCGAATAGACCAGATTATGCAGTGCTCCGCTCCCTGCTGTTCCCTTGGCTGGACTGGGGCATAAATCGACACGACGCATGGTTCGAGATCATGCATGCTACTCCATGGCTTGAACCCAAGTGATTGATCTTGCAATTTTGTACGGATCGAGTTGCACAAACCTTCTCGGGGATTGTACGTCTTGGAGAAAATGAGACAGATGATGGGGTGGGATGCTGATCTTCAGCTGTTGTCCGAGACGCAAGGCCACTTTTGTCGTTGCGATGGGTCCGGTCGCCTGCCCATATCGCACCCGCCCTGCGATGTGTCCAACCACCGATTCCTCCAATTGTGCTTGAAATGAGTGAGAAACTGACTCCGTCACACGTCAAAGCCTTGCGTATGTCTCGAAGTACTTTCCGCCCCGGGTCGCCTGCAGGTACCTGGTAGTCCGCTTGAGATGACCCAAAATAGACGGAAGCACTGCACTCGAAGAGGTATCAAAACTGTTCTGGTGCACGGGTGCTGTGCCTTGCTGCAGCTGAGGCAGAGCGAGTGGGCTTACATGTTCCCGGAGATATCTGTCTCTACGCCGTGGCAGAGAAGTTTGTGTTGTGAAATGTCCACTAACTTGCGTGAGTATGTGTATTGTGAATTCGCGGCAATGGTTTACATATGGGGAGCAAGTACGTCTGGCTTGCATCTAGTAGTGTAGGCATGCTAGACACTACTTTCACCGGCCTTCTCTGTTCTCGCTTGGCGTACCGGTAAGCCGATGCCCTGCGCAGGTACGACATGGGTGCTGAAACTCCGTCTTGGCGGAGGACCATCGCGGGAGTATGTATGGGCGATGCAATAGGCAGTGAAAATTGATGGATATATAGCTTGGTCTTGGGATTTTGTCCTGTGCAAACTTCAAACGCAATTATCTTCGTTATTTTAAATCACATTTATCCATATCACAGTCATGGGCCGTCTTACTACCATTGCGGCGCTTAGTTCTTTATTCGTCTTGGGAAGCAATGCCCAAGGAGACATCTGCGAGAACGTAAAGGGCTTCTACAACTATGATGCCTATGGCGACTTCGACTTTACTGGCTTCTTCTCGAACGCGGATAACATTGGTCGTAAGCCATCCTGTTTCGAAGCCCACTCAATCCCAGACATACTCACCCATACGTCTCTATAGCATGCGAATGCGGACCCTGGAAGTACTCCCAAAAAATCATAAACAATGGATCCGCCGCAGTGCAGAACTACTACCTCGACACGCAGGGCGCGACAAGCGGCACCGAGACCAACGCCGCCACGGGCGTGTGTACAGAAGGCCTTCGTGTGTTCGAGGACAACACTTATTACTTTTCTAAAGAAGTGCTGCAGCGCAGCCTCGGCGACGAGGGCGACTGCAAAGTCATGCTCGGCGAGCAGTGCGCTGACGCGCTGAAGTTGCACTTCCTGCGCGAGTCCGTGGCGTACATCCGTGCCGGAGCGTGCCCTGGCGATGGGAAGGTCAAGCAGAACAGGACTGTGCCGTTTGAGTGCGCGGGGCTTGTGGGCGGCGGTGACGAGTGGTTTGATGGGCAGATGTGGGCTGCGGGTACGTCCCATACAAGTCCCCTCTTTCTTCGCTGATTCAGACGCTGCTTGCCTTGTATGTGTGTTTGACTAACGAGAGACACAGCAACCAATCCTGTGGATTCCCTCGACAAAGTAAATACAGACAATTCCTGCCCTGCAATCGAGAACCCCAACGAGCACTCAGGCATTGACGCTCACCTACTCGGCTCCGTTCCCGTGGCCCTCAACCAAGCTGTCCGCTTCCCCACGCCCACGTTCTTCACGTTTTTCCCGAACACGGAGGAGGCTAGAGCCGAGCTCGCGGCGAATGCGAGTCGTTTCGATGTTGCGGGGCTTGTTCCCTGGACGTCGAGCAGCTGGGTGCAGTTGAGCTGTATTCAGTCGAATGTGACGATGGATATTGAAGTACCGAGTGCTGAGGAGTTGCTGGGGAGGATTCCAGCGGGCGATGCACCTGTTACAGTGTCGGCAGAGGCAATTTCGACGCCTACGAAGGGGCTGAATGGGACGGTGAGTGCGACGCCTTCGTGCTCGTTGCATTGATGGTGCGCAAGTATGAGGGTGCAAACAGAGTGCTGCCCTTAGGAGAGGGCATTTTTATAGTCATTGATCGCAGCCTTTCATGTGTTTTGAATTAGTCCTAGCGTGTCACATAGCATATGTATGATCCATTTCTTACTTTTTTTTTATTGCAGAGAATAGGTCGGCGCAGTGCGCGGGTACATCTCTTGTCCAAAGGTAGGAACACGTTCTACTAGCGACGGCTCCAGGAGGGTCAAGCAAAACTACATTTCCACGAGACTCAAAGGTAGTAGTCCCTCTCTGAGAGGTCCAGACGGCGTTCCCACATCAGCTTCTTGGAATGCTGTTTTTGAGACCGCGAGAATATGTCCAACATATGAAGTCAATTCCAGGCTCGTTTTGCATTGTCCATTCTTCTTTGCACCCGAATCCGAATCTTTAAGTAGTCTCTTCGGAGCTCTAGACGGAGCTTCCACATGTCAAGGCCCTTGTAGGATTTTGAGACCAAGAGCACAAGAGAAACATATACAGCCCGCTAGTAACCGTTTTAAATATTCCACGTAGCCATGAGTCATCCCACGTAGATATGGGATAAATTGACTTCTAGGCAGCTCCCACATGCTCGGCCTGCCTGCGCTTTGACGCCCGTGGGTTGCGATACTATTCCCTTTTGGTTCCCGCGAACCAGCTGCAGGATAAGGACATTAGTCCGGTTCTTCATCATTTTAGTACCCAGTTCAACACAGAAGCTTTCATCCACTAGATATTGGCATATCTACCCCCAAGCAGTCGAGTATCAGATTGCCATCGTCAACAGACTCGTCTCCCACCATCCTTGAACTTCCTAATTTCGAACAGCTGCTGACAGTCTGCAAGCTCACCAAGACCGCCTCCAATGCCCCCGCCGCTGAAAGCTTTTGGTGCCGGAGGTCAGGCCAAGGACAAACGAAGACGTTTTCCTTTAGGTCTTGGATTACGAAGGGCCTAGTTGCGTCTGTAGAAATTTCCAGAATGGAAACCCGCTGACCATGCGGTCTTTTGAATGGATTTTGGTGTTTACGGTACAGAGCCTGAATCTCATCATGTCTCGCATGTTGCTTTTTGATTGCCCGGCGAGGAAGTCCTCGACCAGAGACATATCGGTGAACGTGTTGACGGTTTCTAGTGCCTGGTCCACCCCGCGAGGTCCGCGAGGCAGAACTCGGCAGCACATCAGCTTGCTTCACTCGAACCTGTCCTTTGCACTCGAACCATTCCCCTTAGACGCGCGGAAGCCCGCTCTCTTGAATCCAGTGTACTCTCGTTCCGAGACCCTCCGAAATTCGACAGCGCAGTGAACCATCGCAAGAGGGCGTGGATGCTTCCACTGCCCAGTCTCCTCCATGAGCAAGAGGACAGAACGCCGCCGTACATCGCGTTATCCACCCCTGGTGCCAAGTGCCAGAGGCGCGGAAGCAGGCTCTCGTGAAAGTGCTTTGCTCTCCTTCGAGACCCGCAAGAGACCACACACCATAGTGAGGACCTGCGTGCTTTTGTATGTCCAGTCCGCTCCGTGAAGCCGACGAGACAGCCCATGGGTCTTGTCCCACACCGATGGTAGTGCTGGAGCCACCTAACCGAGTCGCATGCTTCGCCTCTGGTTGCGTTTTTGGTTTTCAGGGAAGGACGCGAAGAAGCCATGTTCCATGACACGAGTGCTTTTTAGTCCGCCCATGATCCAATGGAGCGGGGACTCTGGTCCACGATACTCCCCTGTAATCATTTCTAGTGTAGTGAGTATGTCGCAGAAAGCAGGATAATCTAAGCGCTTTTATGCACAGCACCCCTCCAAAGGGGTGTGAGATACGCCTCTGGTGATGATGCCCGTCAGCAGTGGAAATGATCAAGGCTTAATCGAGGATTAAAATATACTAATGGAAGGGCGTGCTAGCCAGCAGATGCGAACGCCGTGCGATGCGAATCCAAATCGCGAAATCAGCCCTCGGGCCTGTATGTACAAGTTCTTCTTTCTCCCGTCCTCCCCGCGCCGCGGTCTAACAGCACTTTCCTCCGGCCGCCTTCCCCCTCGCATCATTCATACCCAAATTTAACTTTGCCGTGTTCCCGCCCCCGGCCCCCGGCCCTTTCACCCCCGATCTCCGGTCATTGAGATCGTACCTCCCCGCCTCAATATTCTGATATATCCTCTCGGCAACCTCCAAGAAGGCGCGCTCGACGCCCTCGCCCGATTTTGCGGACGTCTCAACGTACTGCATCACGCCGTTCGCCTTGCACCACTCCTCCGCCTCCTCTTTCGACACCTGCCGCTTGTTGTCCGCGCTCTCCTCCCCGGATACTGTGCTTGATGCCGCAAGATCCGACTTGTTCCCCACAAGCACAACGACAATGTTCTCCTCTGCGATCTGCCTCAGATCCGCGAGCCAGCTCGTCGCGCTCAGAAACGTGTTCTTGCGCGAGATGTCGAAGACCAGCAGCGCGCCACTCGCGCCGCGGAAGTAGCTCCGGGTGATGCTCTTGTAGGTTTCCTGGCCGGCGGTGTCCCACAGACTGAGCTTCATGTGTTTCTGCTCCGGGGGTTTTTGGTTCTTGGGTGCCGGCGTGGAGGGAGGGGGTTTGGCGGGTGAGTTGATGCCGAGGGCGTGGGAGGCGGGCGGGCCGACGGGGACGATGCGCGAGCCGAATTCGACGCCGATGGTAACGTCGTGGTGGGGGGAGAAGCGGCCCTCGCAGAGGCGGATGGTGAGCTGGTGGTGAGATTAGTAGGTGGGTGTGCGGAGGAGAGATGGTGGCGTACACTGGACTTGCCGCAGCCTGAGTCCCCGAGAGAGACTATCTTCGCGATGTAGTCCCACGGTTGCGTCATGGCGGTGGTTTGCGCCCGAAGACAGCAGCAGCGCAGCCAGTCACCAGGAGACTGTGGGTGTCGAGCGCAAGGCTACGGGTGGATCGCGCCGACGTTGCGGAATGATCGGTCTGGAAGCTTGGTGAAGCTCGAGGCTTTGCGGATGCTCGAAGCGAAGCAGGTGTCGGCCGGCGCAGTGTCGGGTATCTTGGTACAGAGTTGCTGGTGGGCTGCATCTGGGGGAACGAGGGATGGCCGTCGAGCGAGGTGTGGCTCAAGCATCGTCATTTCTCTGGGTGTGGCGCAGCTGCCATGCCGAAGAGGGCGTGACGGCCGCACCTTCCAGAGCTCTCTCGGATGGCACCACCACGTCTGTGTATTCAGGCTTCACGCGCAAACGCGGCTTCTCGCAAAAGCGGTTTCTCGGATTGTCTGCATGTTGAGCTGAGACTCCAGAGACTGTATCAAACAAGAATTGAAGACGGGCGTGTGCCGTTCGATGCACGCGCAGCACATCGCGAAGCCTAGAGACAGGTTATGCTGCCATTCGTATCGAGAGCTGCTATCTGCACGTGGTCTGCCATGGTGCAGGGCTTCCTGGCGTCGTTTGCTTGCATACACTCGGTCGTTGACATGGCCATCCAAAGCTCGCCGCCAGCCAGGATGGCGTGAACTGCTGGCAACCGAACGAGCCGGCCGACTGCAGCCCCGACCGGCACGCTTGCCTCGACGTCACGGCGGCGGCATTGCCATGCTTGCGTGAGATGTTTGGTACGTGACAACGGCCCAGCCGTTGTCGACTGTGACGCCTCCGCATAGAGCCGCGCTAACCACCGAGCAGCGAGTAGCGCCGGTCCTCGGGCTGCATCACTGGGGTACCTGCTGGACGAGCGACATGCTCCTACGAATCTCGCTCTCCCTGGCTTCCTGCTCCGACAGCCCTCTGGTCCCCTCCACGCACATCCACACTGCAACACACGGCCCGCCACACCCCATACGCCACTTCCCTCGCTTGCCGCGGCGCGCCGCCTGCGGATGCTGCGTCATCCATCTCGCGCTGCTGCCTCTCGAGTCGCCCGCCTCACGCACGGCTGACGCGACACCCGCTCTGAGGCTGCACCCGGAATAAGATACGAGCGCTGCCTGCGAGCTCGACCCCAGGCACGCGAGCAGCCCACCCGTCACCATGTTCTCCGAGTGTGAGTGCGCCTGCGCCCATGTGACAGATCCCGCGCCTCTGTCTTGAGACGCCCGCCTCGTGTGACTGACCAGCATGCCGCAGATGCCTCCAAGTTCCTCTCGCAGTCGCAGTCCGCGTCGCGCGTGTCCCTCGGACAGCCCGAGTCGCCCTTTCTCCAGCCTCGATCAGACAGACAGCGACCGTCCTCCCGCTCACGGCCCTCGGGCAGCTACTTCCAGCGCCGCAACATGAACCCATACAACTCGCAGGCCATGTCGCGCTACCCCTTCGCGTCCCGGACCTCCAACGCGCCAGCGCCCTTGTTCTACTCCGCGACAGACGACTTCCGAGAAGAGGACGACCATGCCGAGCACGATCGCGAGATGGCAGACCACTACGCCTTGCGCCGCTCACGCGCCCAGTTCGGCGTCAGCAACCTGTCCGAGTCGGCGGAAACAGACGACGACCTGGAGCGGAAATCAGACCACACAGCAGACGGCGGCAGCATCGAGGGCGACGCCACCTACGGCCTCGGTCGGGGCATCAAGAGCTCGTGGAAGGATGACAACCCGACGCGAGGAAGATCTACCACCGTAACCAAGCTAGATCACGAAAAGAGAGATTCAAGCGTACCCTTGTCTGAGTCGAGTGCAGCACCGAGCAGCCAGAATAACGCCAAGCTTGTAGATGTCGAGTTGTCGTCTACAAATCGTGGAAGCTTGGAGGATGATGAAAGCGAGGTGTCAAGACACGTCGAGCCACCGCCATCGTACCAGCAGCTTCGCAATCCGCCCAGACGAACGCGCGGGAGGAGCCCGCTTCGAACCCAATTGCCGATCCCGCAGGAAACAGACGAAGATACGCTCCTGCAGCAGCCAGGGCCTGGGTCTGATTCGGATCCGCAACTTGTCACTGCCGAAGCCATAGTACAGCCACGGCATAACTTTTTCTGGGCAGAGATGTTTCTCCTCGCAAAATGCGCGCTCGTCGGCGTTGTCTTTTTGGCTTGGCTGCAAGATTCACCACCGGACAAGAAGCACCCATTGGGTGACACGATATACACAGTCTTGCACTCGTCGTTCCATCTGATCGGCGTTTACTCGTTGGTGTCAGTCTTGGTGGGCCTTCTCTGGCTGTCATTACTACGTTCATTTGCACGACCTCTGGTGATAGTTTTGCTGGTCGCCGTCCCCGTCATTTCCTTCTCGTTCTTCCTCTACCCGCTCATATCGAGTTTTAAGGGCACATGGCACGGAAAGAGCACGCAAGATAAAGTAATGCGGTGGCTTTCTCTAGGTCCAGCCATCTTCTGTGTAGGATGGCTTTACACAGTCGTAAAAGGGCGGCATGCTCTGGACAAGGCTACCAGAATGCTCGAGTTCTCTGGCGAGATCCTGCAAGCAAACTTCCACCTCCTCTTCATCGGCATCGCCACCCTCGCTGCTGTCGTGGTTTGGTCCTGGATCTGGGTTTTCATGTTCACCGGCCTATTCCTTGGAGGCCATGCCACCAACGCCGGCTGGGTCATCGACATGAGCACATGGTGGCTCGGCGCAGCCTTCTTCTTCGACTACTTCTGGACGCTCAGCGTCATCGCCGGCGTCCAGCGCGTCAGCACTGCTGCGACAGTCAGCCACTGGTACTTCCACCGCAACACTAACCCTACGCCGCCACGTGCCATGGTTCAGGCGTCGTTGTTCCACGCGTTCTATACCATGGCCGGCACCATATGCTTCTCAACCTTCCTCTCCCTCCTCGTTCGGCTCCCGCTCCTGGCCCTGCCGCGCCGCATCACGAGGTGGATCAGTGCATGCGTCTACCACGTCCTCCCGACCTCCATCGCCGTCCTGACGAACCCGCTCACCCTCACGTATGCGTCCATCCACAGCGTGCCCCTGGCCCAAGCCTCCCGCGGCATCAGCGAAATGACCTTCATTTCCTCGTCTTCGCCGTCGACGACTCTCGGTCCACGCTCCTTCGCGCCTTCCCAGCCGCGCCCCTCTATCGTCTCGTACCGCCTTAGCAAGACGCTGCTGCACGCTATCCGCTGGGTCATCACGCTTGCACTGGGCTTCGGCGGGTGGGTGTCCACCGCCAGGATGCTGAAGCTCGGGAACGAGACGGTGCCGTACACGGGCAGTCTGTACGCGTATGTGGTTGGGTTGATTAGCGCGGCGATTGGGTGGGGAGCGCTGGGTGCGATGGAGGGCGTGCTCGGGGGGATTCTCGATGCGGTGCTGATTTGTTGGGGTAGTGAAGTTGGGCGGGATGGCAGTGGGGATGCGAGGTTCTGCATTGAGGCGGGGAGGCTGTTTGGCAACGAGGTTAGTGGGCGAGGGAGGGGGAGGTATGAAGTTTAGCGGCCGAGGAGAATGTACGGCAGATGAGGGGTTCATGGTCAAGCATAGCACTGGCGCTGGGTTCTAGATCGTCCGTGGATTGGATTTGGGTGGGATGGGACTGGCGTTACCGCTCGCGGTTGGGGTTATTCGATACCATTGTCAGGAATTAAGTCACTTTACAGAATACATTCCCGTTAGCGTTGTACAGAAGGACATGACCAGATGATCTCGGGCTCGGCGATGGTCCAGCCGCTCACCGGCTACGCTGCACAACGCTGAAAAACGCCCGTCGCGGCATGGCCGTGGTATCCTCTTCCCAAACGCCACCGCGCAGAACACACCAGGAGAAACAAAAATTGCAGACCAGACCCGCAAGCACCACTAGCCCCCTCCAGGCCCACACTACACTCCAAACCCCTCCCCCACCACCATGGCCACCATCCCCCCCTCGCCGGCAGACTGCAGTCTTGCGCACAAGCTCAAAAACACGACCGTCTCGGTCGCCGCAAGGTAGTTGAGCGTATCCAGCAGGATCTTGAGGTGGCGCGCAAAATTGTCCTCGTACTTGGCGAGCATGTCGAACATCTTGTCGACGCGGTGGGGGTCGTAGACGTAGGGGCCTGCATTGCGGGACGCGAAGGGGTTGGCGGTGGGGGCAGACGCGGCGGCGGCGGCGTTGGCGGAGGCGACGAGGTCCGGGTCCGAGATGATGAGGTAGCGGGAGAGGGCCTGGGTGAAGGCGGCGAACATTTGGCAGGTCGATGTGATTTTGTTGTTGATCTGCGTGTGCTGCATTAGCTAGCGTCCAGCTACAGGGTAAGGGTGGGGGGAGGTGATAGAATGAAAGAAAGAAAGGGGCACACGCACCCGCAGCAGCTTGCTGTTGGTCAGCATGCACTCCTTCAGACACGTCGCGAGGAAGTCGACGTGGTCCTGCATGAGCTCGTCGACGGTGCGCTTGACACCCGCATCGCCGTCCGCACGCGGCGCCCTGGCCCGCGCGTCCGGCGCGTCCTCCTGCGTGAGGCGCGACATGAGGGCGACCCAGTTGGGCTCGATAACCTCGGCGGTGCAGTAGTACAGCAACTGCTGCGTGAAGACGAGCATGCGGGCGCGCAGGGTCCAGGCCTTGCGCTTCCAGAGCTCGATGCGCGGGTTGCGCGAACGGTGCTTCCACGTCGCCGTCTTGCCCTGCTCGCCCCAGCAATCGACGAGGCTGTTTTCAAGGTGGCGCAGGGAGAGGAGGTAGCGGAAGAGGAGCTGGTAACGGGTGAGGGTGACGCGGGAGACAACGAGGGAGAGCGGGAACGGCATCGCGTAGTCGAAGACGAGGGCGCCGTAGCCGGTGAGATTGCTGTCGTCGGTGACGGAGGCTTTGTCTGTGGTGGCGGGCGTGTAGTTTGCGATTGAGCCGGCATTGGCGGCTTCTTGGTCGAGGCCAGTTACAGTGACAATCTTCATGAGCCAGTTGGTCAGTCCGGTCTCGATGATTTGTACTTTGATGTCTTCTTTGTAGGGGTCTTCGGCCGCGACGGAGCCGGGTTGTCGGACGATGATGTCGAGGAGTGACTGCAGCTTGCCGACGTTGACGTTCTTTGCTGGTTTCTTGAGCTCTGATCCGCCTAGCTCAAGGAAATACGAGAAGAAGTCTGACCGGTCGAGGAAGAAGTAATGCTTGAGCGATCGTAACCGCGCAGGCAATTGGTGGGTCGTGAGGAGAAGTTCGAAGAGCGAAGAGTTGGCGTAGGCGTATGCAGAGTTTACATTGTCCAAGACCCGGGCGTCGTCGAAGCTCGTTGGTACATCTTGGACTTTGCCACTGATGTCGACGCCGCCGCACTCGCGGACAACGTTGAGGTACTTGCCGGCGAGCAAGACCTTGTCTTTCACACCTTCGAGCTGTGGTGGTACGAGTGCATCTCGCATCGTATAACGCTTGTCCCAATACTCGTCCGTGTAATCTTGGTCCAAGCGTTCCCGCTTGATGCTCTTCGACTCTTTTATCATGAATTCCGCATGTGGATCTCGAATGCCGCCGTGATGCAGCCACTCGTTCAGCATCGCCATGTATGGTTTGCTTGCTTCTCGTAACAGCGTAGTGAGGAGCTCTCGTGCTGCAGGGTCGCCTGACATGGAAGCAAGCCGCCGTGTTATAAGTCCTAGCACGCTTCCTCCCTTGCATATTTTCTTCGTTCCCAACTGAACATTTCCACCCTCCCGTACTGACTCCAGTATTGCCTCGAAGTTCTCTGTGTCGTCCTCAGAGTCGGATTCTTTGTCGTCCTCCAATATCCCATTCGCCTTCAGCAGCTCGATCCCTGTAGTATATAGCTGGAACAGCATGTGGCTTGTCTGCTTGGTATGCAGATTAAGTACATGTAGAGTGAATGACTGATTCGTCAGCATTTGGTGTTCCAGTTGCGCCATCAGCGTCAGATAGTCCTTCAGCAGCCGTCTTACAGCCGCGCAAAGTGAGTGATTGACCGAGCCGTACTCTTCCCTGCTTAGCACCTCGACGCAAGTTTCCACCGCAATGTAATGCGTCGCCATTTTCAACATTGACTTTGTCAGGTCCCTCAGACTCGGATCTAGGCCAGGCAGTATGCGGAAGTGCGGCCCAACGAGGCGTTCCTTCTCTTCGTGTGGGTTGTATGAATCGGTGAATCGAATGTACTGCCCCTCAAACCCCATGAAGACAAAGAGCAGGTCCTCTATTATAGCACTCTCCTGCTGGCCAAGTGATAATTGCGCGAGTGGCGTAGGCTGCAGCGTTGCCGGCGCCGTCGAAGCAAGCGGAGGTATCGAAATGCGTGTCGCAAGCGGGGCGGTCGTATGCGGAATGAGACTGGCTCGAGGATCCCATGGCTTCTCCGGTTCCGACTTCGTCCTTGCGTGCTCTGCCGTCCGTGGTCGTTCCCTCTCTTCCCGCGCCGGCTTCTCTGTCCTTGTTCGCGCATTGACTCGGCTCTCCGACGTGTGCTTGAGCGGGCTCCTCGTCCGGCGCACTTCGATCTCTCTTTCTCTGACCTCGCGCCTTTCTACGCGCCGCTCGCCCAGGCCGGATCCAGACTGTTTGCGTGTCTGTGACGTCGAGGTGCGCCTCTCGTCTGGGGTGTCTGTACTCAGACTTCGGGAAGGCACGCGGGGCCTCTGTGTTGACGCTGCATGGTTGGCGGACCGTCGCTCAGCAGCAGTCGAATTTCTGGCATTGGGATTGCGTGTGGACATGGATGCGACGGGCGCGCGCTTGCGTCATGGGTGGTCGGCAATGTTTACTGGCGTGTTTATGCGCTCGCCGTGCTCTTGGGCTTCGGTGAGCTCGACGTGTTTTCCCCGCGTTCAATGTTCGCGCGTTGGGCAGGGATCGCACGAGCCAACTACAACTACGGATATGACTTACGAACGCCCTTGACGTACCTGTACATGACCGTGGGTGAGATGGCTCCAGTCCTTTGTTCATAGTCGAAATTAGAGGGCAGTCTCTATAATCTTTTCGCGGTTAAGCTAGCGATATCACGCCACGGATAAAGTAGGCAGAGGCAGGGCATTATCCAGCAGCGCACAGTGCTCGAAAGCTCGTTTGAACTCATACCGTAGCTAAATGTCTCAGTCATATCGTACGATGAGGCTATACCCAGCGACCCTCTCCCCATGAGTGTTTCCTGAGTAGGCCTGAGTTTAGGATTGGCTTGGGGAAGCCAAAAAGCAGAAGCTATCGCGGCGTCCTCGTGCTGTCAGTAGCTCTGCTAGTGATGAAGTGAACGGCCACGAGGAAGAGGTAGTCATTGAGCCTGACAGAGTGGCTCGGTAAGTACCGAAGATTTTGCGCAAAGGTAGATCATGGATTGCAGCCTACTTCGTCAGTGATTGATCCGCGTACTAAAATTACGTGGAAATCCCTTCGGTGTCATTCGATGCATTGGTCCAAGGAATGAGAGTCCTGCTACATCTCAGTATAAAATTCTATTCTGCAGTTCTATTAATTATGTCTAATTCGTGAGTCTCACACTTTACTTTTAATGATTCGCATACTCCCTCGCGTTTGTCATGTACATACTTATCGCGAGTCTTTATTCATTCTCACAGTACTCGCACTAGACGATACCTTACCTCACCTATCTCTAATCGAGAGCGTTTCCGTGTTGCTATCGAAAGGCGATGTAAGTGATATGCGAAGCTTCTTGAGGTCTTCCTACCACGCATGTATGTGGGAGATCATTACGGAAAACAATTCTGAGTGGAAAAGCATAGATGAAGCTAGGTAAATGTCAGAGGATAGGTAGAGGTAAGCAAGAATCCATTATACTAAATGCACCCGATGTTTAAGAGAGGGACCACCTACCTGTCGAGGCACTCGCAGGTTGGGGACATCCTGATATTCGGATTTATGATTTTCAATCCAAAACAATATATAGGACGGTGGGGGTGGCATTCCCAACTTTGGAAGTGGTCTAAGATAACATTGCTTTAGCTGTGATTGAAGATGGGGCCTTCTAGGCGTCAAAGTATGGGGCATCAGAGGCAGGTTATCGCGTTCCCCGCTTTAAGTCATTGAATTGTTTGCATAGGCGTACCCAGCATTTATTTCCGATTTATGAGAACTTGTGTGGTTGAATGAGGGTTGCTATCAAGTTGCCACAACTAAGTCGAGTACACGCAAGGGTCGATAAGTACTTATGGTATCTTAAAGAGCTGTACAGCCCAGCATCATCGATTTCACCAAGAAGATGTGAGGACAAAAACGCGCATTTACTTTCCGCCACCCGCTCAAGCCCGTTATTATAGAAACAACTCTAAATGCTTAATTCTGTTTATGCCTGTATATGAGTATCTCGTCTGCGAGATTCGGAATGCATGTGTCTTGCTCATGTTCCAATTCGAACAGAACGTGACCATTCGGGCCTCTGTCACTTAGCCTCGGTTCTGCCCCCCCTAAGAAGTACGACTACCGCTGACAAAGCCTGATTTTTGGCATATCAAACACTTAGGCGGTTTTTTGCTACGTCTCTCATGGCCATGATCCTCATGACACGACGAGCACCCGAACCTCGACGCCCGCACTCTTGTTCCTCTAAGACGTATCGATCGAAAGCAAGTCCTGGATGACTAACTCTTGCGGAGGCCAAAGCAAGTTTCATTTGGTCGTTCCTGTCCCTGCCTATATAATTTCGTTGTTGTTGTCGTTGTTGTAGACGCGAGCGTCGCGTTTGGTGAAGTCTTTGAGGGCCTGCAGTCCAGTCTCCAAAAGATAGCTTGTGTATGTGTTACTCTCATCAGATATCGAGTCATGTCTGGCCTTGTCCCACACAGTCACTTCATCTTAAGTAGGCCATTTCTTGCTTGATCATACCAATTGCGAGCATTACGATTGCCGCGTTGCAATTGCCCACCAGTTGTCCTTGTCATACCCCGCCTCGACCACTTCCCCACCTGCCTCTCCAATGATTTGCTCCAGCTCGCCCTTTCGATACAAGTGGTAGTAGCGCAAAAAGGTCTTGTCCTGGGGCTGCTCCAACGGTTGGTCAGCCTCATTGGAAAGTTCAGTTGCCTTCTGGTCCTTGCCCTTTCCCTTCTTCCCTTCCTTCTCTTTCTTCGCCCTCATGACCCACGGCACCATGACGTCCTGCTCGTTTCCCTCGTCCCAGCCCCTTCGGCTGTCCTTCTGCTCCAACGCCCAGACATAGATCAGCGCTCGTCCTCCGCTCCCAGGTTTTTCTGCTGAAGGCGGTCGAAGGAGCTCCAGGATGGCCTTCACGGCTTCTATCCTCCGCTCCGGGGTGGAGATATGATGGATGACTGCTATTGAAATGGCAAAGTCGAAGCTGTGCTTTGGATGTGGGAGATTCATAATATCTGCTACTATACTGTCATGGGGCTGGTGTTGTTTTGCGATCTTGACAAGGTTTGTTGAACTGATAGCGTGTTATGTTGCATGTACACAGATGCGACGTGTGTCGACGTACCGATCCGAGGCCACCATGAAGACCCGAGGGTTGACAGTGAGGTATTTGCCATTTCCGCAGCCGACATCAGCGCCTACAGCTCCATCAGGCAACTCTTTGAGGAACCGCTCAATGATCGGCCATGGCTGGTCCATATTAGTCATGTGCGAGGGGCAGGCCGGATGACGCACACCTTATAGCGGGTAGCCGAGAAATGTGAGGCTATCTGTTCGTAGACGGCGTGTACATGTTCTTCTTCGTATGCTGCTCCTTGTTGCTCCGCGTCGGTCATTTTTGTTGTATTCACATGGGTGAAGACGCGATGCAGAGGATGAAAGAGAATTGGGGTGGGCCAATTGGCGTTGGTGCCAAGACGCTAGATCGGGATAAGGTGAACTTCAGAGGCTGCGAAACGGAGTCTCACCCTTACACCGAACTTCTGTCCAAGTACTAGTACATTAAAAACTACACTAATCGATACAAGACACTGCTTGAATGACAAAGACCAGTCAACTACTCAGAAGACGCCCTGCTCAGGTATGGCTTGGGCTTCTCATCGAAGAAGAACACGTCGTAGACATCGTTTGCATCCTCCACGGTGCATTTTCTAAGATACGATCAGCTGCGGACGGACTGGCAAGACCTGACAGACCAGCTTATCATCTCTTTTGGGTTGTTGCAAATGGGGACGGCATCCGTCGTCAAAGGAGAGTCTTGCCCCTAACAACTCGTCGTTCAGAGCGGATCATCAGAAGGAAGGTACTCTGATAAATGATGCGTGTTTTTCTTTCTTTTCAAATGCACTGTTGGATATTTTTGGATTGGATGAAAGAACCCTAAGGGCAAAATCAAGGAATGCCGGCCTTTCATTGTTACAGCTTACCCTTTTCGTCTTGTGTCTAATCGTTGGCGAGGCTTCTCCAATTCACCTCTCCGCGTGTAATCCTGTTGGTGGAAGCAATAACGGGCACGCTATTCTTACTATCATGTTGTACTCACGCTTGGCGGGTGAGTGGAGTATGTCACGCAGGGAAACCAACACACAGCACATAATATTCAAACCTTCAATTTGGTAGTGAAGCATTTTGTATACGTTGCTGCGCTGTACTCTACATCTTCTACTTTATTCTACCAAACCTAGTCAGGTGCATGTCTGCACAGCGCTGCATGATCTTGAGACGTATAGCTTAAATTTCTCTATAGCCCTCGCGGTATGGATCAAGCCGTTCGCTCTCTCAATCAAGACTAGGCATGTAGATATGGCAACTGGAAATATGAGATCATGCTAATCCGCTTGGTACAACGAGGGAACAAAAGTGAGTGGATATCTGCGTGCAGACGGCCCATGTATGGGGTACGATCGGGAACCTGGACATCAGAAGAGACAACTTATGCAGCGCTCTACCTGGGACTTCGTATTATATGAGTTCTTTGAATTACATGAATGATCTATCGACATGTCTTGCACAACTCTATTGACTGAATCAAACTAAGAAAATGTGAAATGCTACAATACAGCACATTACCTTCTCCCCCACCCTCCTCCAACAGTGGGCTACGATCAAGCTTCAAGATGCCAACCGCGCTCTTTCCCTCGCCCCGACCCCGAGAAAGCGCTCGACTGGCGCTTCATCCATGATGTACGTCAACATATAAGCCTGAAATCCCTGCATAGTACGCACCCCTGGGGGTCTCTGCGGATTCGCTCGAAACTCTGCGGGGTTGATGGACAACACTCGATGGTCGTTGATATTGAAAAAAGGACTGGCGCCCTGGCTCCGCACACTGGCAACGTAATGTCCGGCGTTCGCGGTATTTCCACTGTGTGAGACGACGGTGGACAGTCTGTATTTCAGGGGAACAACCTTCACCTCCTGGTACCGCGTGAGATCAAGCTCTTCCCCGATCTCAACCGCGTGCAGCTTTTTGATCGGGGTATCCTCCTGGTAGTCAAAAACAACTAACGTTATGGTGAGGATGCGAGGTGCTGCTCTGATTATCCAGACTTGTAGCTTGTCGGTGTTGGCACCTCCGCAGGTCGCAGACTCGCACTTAGATTCTGGTCCGGGGTATTTCTCGAACTTGTCGTGGATGGCACTTGCGACGGTGTTGTGCGTCTGCTTATCGAAGGTGACCAGAAGATTAGCGTCGGTCTGTACGACTGCTTCTTTGTGTTTCCCGCAGTCGGTGCAGGTGTGCATTGGGACAAGGCATAGCCTGAACATTGCGTCGAATTGGTCTGTGCGAGTGTCGTAGTCGTTGAGCACATTTTGAAGGAAGACCAAAGCTTCTTGTGCATCTTCTTGTTGCTCGCGAACAAATCTTGCTTCAGTTTCTAGTGAGAAACCGGTGTCGAAGTTCTGGAATGCAATTCTTTTGATCGCTTCTAGAGAGGCAGAAGTCCAACGGATTGGACGGGTCAATGGATCTGTGGGGCCCCAATATTCCTCTACCAAAGCCTTCATGCTGCAGCATATACATGGCCCGTGTGTGTATATACGTTCATCAGGTCGGGTACCAGGGTCCTCAGGCTCCCAGTGTGGGGTACAGTTCTGTGTAACTACATGGCCGCGAATCCAGTGAAGAAACTGAGGCATATGCATGAAAGCTTGGAGTATTGAGTTCAAATAACAATGGTTGCCAGGGTTCTCGATGCCGCGAGGCCTAAGGTTGGGGCGGGGCATTTTATTGATATTGGCTCTGAGATTCGCTGGTAGCCAGTCTTTTGGCATGTCGTTCGAAATATTATCGTACTCAGTTTGCATATCAGTGCGCCCTGTGCCGGTTGTTGGGAACAAGAATCGACTCCCTGTACTGCGTGTAGACCGGCCAGTCACGGCGGCACGGGTAGCCCTGGCTTTGGGGGTAGCTGCTTTTCTTCTATCTGCGTTACGTTTGTCTCGCTTTTCTTTATCTTTTCTTCGCTTTTCCTCTTTTGTTGCTCTTCTGAATTCATTCATTGCTCGTATGGCTTCATTTCGATCAGCCATAGTTTTGTAACTTCCGCCTCGCCATCGTGCCATTGTAATGAGACTTGAATAAGTAATTGGTGGAAGATCTCGAAGAGGTGGTACAAGAAGATTTACGAGACGCTTTACGATGCTGCGTTTGTAGAAGGATAGATTATGGGAAACAACCTTGCGATGCCTTGGGATGTTGTCTTCCGTCCGCCCTCCCATAGCTTCTTATGCAGAAATCACGCTTCAAAGGTCTCCAGTGGACAGCACTGGGTGAACAAAGAAGAATGTCTGGCAAAGAATGCATTGTTCAAGCCATCAAATGACATTTCAACGTCTATCTTTGGATCAGATCAAAACAGGTCGCAGAACATTTTTTTAGTGTCTTTGTATTAGAATCTTCCTTGTAACCTTGTGCCAAAACGCAACTGAGCATTGCCATTGTTCTCAGCAGGAGAGAGGAACTGTTCACCAGATCACGTTCTGACTAGACTTTTCGAATAGCTAGACAAATAACGCGGTGCAAACTTCGTGGTCTGGCGATGGACCCGTATTACAGAGAGCGGTCTGCTCAGCCAGCCCACTATAGTACGCGTGCTTAAACATACCAGCACATTATGTGAATCTCATGTTACGGCATCCAGCGAGCAATAACTAATAGTAAGGCATATATAGACATAATCAGTGGCCTCCAAACCTGCAGATCCGAAAGGTGTACCCTGGATGGGACAGGAGAACGGCAAGCGACAATATTAAAATGGCACCTTGTCTCCCCCATCCGTAATAGCTGGAACAGCACCTTCTCCTGTAGCAATTCAGTTTACAACACGTTCGTCAAGTTACAACAGGACATTCCATCTCAAGCCCCTCAGGTAGAACGCGATGAACCCCACTGATCGCAATGCCCATATGAACACTCACGACATAATGTCATATAAGAGCTCTAAGTTACACTTGTATGATAGACCGAGTTGCAGCATCCCCAGGCACGTACATCAGGTCCCGCGACTGCGCCTTCCGGCCGCCGCAACCCAGAATGTACTCCCCGGCCCTGCAGCCGCCCTGATCAGCGCAAGCACCTGCGTCCTCACCGCCTTCTCAAACACAAACCTCATGCCGCTCGCCGCAGTCAAAGCAGGTATGTCGGCCACGCATGTTCACAGTGTTCTTCAGCACAGCATCTTGTTGAGTGTTGGCGCGGGAGATGGTGCAGCTATGGCGTGTCCTACTCTCTCATGTAGATTTGGCGTTTTATCTTGCTGTAATACTACGAATGTGGTCCGTCGAACCTTTGCACGCATCTAGTATTCGGCAAGGAAGGGTGTAACTTGAGGAGGAAATATGCCGACATGGGATGCTTCTACCATGAGATGTTCGACAAGTCGCCAGGAAAGTGGAGAACAGCCAAGCCTATAACAACTCTCTCATCTTGATTCCATGAACGAACGCTACATGTTGTAGTTAGCAACCTACTACAGGTCTATCCCTTCTTCGGAGCACCAGGCAAGGCGTGCGAGCTCTCCGTCAGCGGAAACAGCTGCCAGTAGAATCCCACAGCGCCCACAACTAGAAGCACGTAGTATGCCAGAGTCCACGCCGGCCCGTGGACATGCTCACCGCGAGCTTGCTCGTCGCTCTTACCCGGTGGCCCAATCGGCTCACCAGGCTGCACGCCCACCCTGCCGTATAAGCGCGGCAGACCCATCCAGTTGCAGAAGGTGTGGGCGAGAATGACTGAGTACACATTGCCCGTGCGTATGAAGACGAAAGCGGCAAAGAAGCCAAACAGCGATGTGTAGGTGAATTGGAAGAGCGAGCGGAGCACGGCAAGGAGCAGCGGGGTTTGCGGATGGGTCAGACGGAACTCGTAGAGGTGGTGGACGTGGGCAATGCCAAAGTAGAGTGGGGTGAGGAAGATGATCTTGTTTGCGGAGAAGCCTGCGAGGATGTGGAGCGGGATGATCAATGCGCGCCAGATGAGCTCTTCGCTGACAGGGCCCTGCGTTGGTCAGTATGCGTCTCTTTGGTGGTGTAGGAGATATTGACGCACCACGACATAATTCCTGTAACCAATCCAGCTGCTGAGCGTTTGAATCACATCTCTGCCTCTCACCCAGTCTTTGAGCTGGCCGTCTACTATTCCATATTCGAACAGAGGCCCCGCAAACAAGATGGCTACGAGCAGTATGGTTTTGGCGGAGTCGACTGGTGAAACAGGCCACACGCCGAGGAGGCGGAGAATATCCGCGGCGGCGAGATCGCCGGATCGATGCAGCACGAAGACAGTCAAGCCTGCACTAAGAATACTCGAGGAGGTGACGGCTCGGATCCTCGCGCGGATGGAAGAGGGCGCATCGCGCGTCAGCTGCGGGGATGGGCGCGTAGCAGAGGACAGGTAGAAGGGCAACACGTAGACGACGGTGAAGAGGACCTGCAACTAGTCGTCAGTCGTGTGTGACGATAGGCGGACGGGTATAGACATGGTGGGCGGGACGCACAGACAAGAGAGCCGCGGCGGTGGGAGAAACGGCGGGAGGCTTGGGAGCTGGCCACACGTCAGACATGCTCGAGCAGTTGTTGCAGAATCTGAGGTTCTAGCGGAGATGGTGGAGCGGGTGTGCATCGCGCGGGCGTCTAATCCGCGGGTGGAGCTGAAACGGGCGCGCGCCGGCCAATGGATGGCTACTCACCGCCTTTGAAGTGCTTCTCGTACATCTTCTCGAGCGCGCCGAAGCGGTCCTTCCAGGACTTGGGCGGCGGCGGCATTTTGAGGCTGGCCGACAAGGCGCGGGGGAGAGTGCTGCGGGTTCGTGGCCATGGGCTTTAAGGGAGCAGCAACCCCGCGTCTTGCTATTGTTCAGCCGGCCAACACGAGCGCAGTCGACAGCCGCCCGCCCGCCTGCAGACGCCGCAAACACGAGCGAACGCCCGCTGGACAATCGATAATCCATTCCACCGCCGATCCGCCATCCCGGCCCCGGAGCGGCAGGCCACGAGCAACGCTCCCCCTGCATTGGCTCCGCGCACGGGCCCCGTCGCGTCTCGCAGGCCGCGCCCGGCCCAGTGCGCCAGACGTCAGTGGTCCTCCCGTTTGATTGCACTCACGATCCACCATCGCGTCGAGAGGCGCTCCTCGATTCGGGCGCGACAGGGGCGCATAGCTGGGGGCGAGGGGACTCCTGGGTCAAATCACCACGCCGAACGGTGTTCAGACCGCCCTGCGCAGCCCCTCCGCAAGCCAGAAGGGAGATCCTAAGACAGCCATTGCAATACGGCGTCGCCAGGCCGAGAGAGTCGCCTCCACATCCGTGCCCTGCCTTGGTCGACGTGCGCTGGCATTATTGGAAGGCACGCACTGAAGCGAGCTGCGCACCTGCAGCAGCTACGAGGCCGCGCCCTCCCTGATCTGATTTTAGCAGGCGCTGCCCACTCCGTGGCCTTGCCCTCTGAATTTCCCAAACCTTTAATGCCATCACGGCCCTCGTTTGTCGCTCTTTTGGATTTTGGGCATGTCTGTATAGCTTCCCGTCGCTCGTTGACGCGCTCTTTCCTCTCCGTTCCTTGTTTCTCATTGTCATCATTTTTCCTACGCGTCTTAATGACTTGTCTCGCTTCGACATTTGAAAAACGCGCCGACTCTTCCCATACTGGAATTCCCCAGGCCACGCTGCTGCCAGCTGCTGAAGCATGTCGGCCTCGGCTCGCCGGCGCTCCTCTGCTTCAGACTCGCCCGTTTCGTCTCCACTTGCGCGCGCTCCCAGGTTCTCACCACCCTCTTCCAGGACCGTCTCTCCCATCCGCAAGCCTTTGCACCAACGCTCAGATTCGCAATCCAACCAGTATGCCGGGCCCACCATCCGCATAGTTGAGGAACAGGGACCAGATGTCTATTCAAAGAACCCATTTCCCAGTCAGGCCTCGCAAATATTACCGCCTCGTAAGAAGCCAGGGTACACGTTCGAGCGCAAGGGGTCTCGTGTTTCAGAGACGGTCGCAAAGTTCGAAGCAAGCCAGCAGGCACGCCCGACCCTGGTCCCCAAGCCATTGGACTCCAAGAAAGCCAGACACTCGACGTCCACTAACACGTCAGACGCCGACACGACCGTGGTCTCTTCATTTTCGCCGTTGTCCAGTCGCTTCTCCCAGGGCAGCACAGCCCGGTCGTCGCCCACGTCTGACTCCCTGTTCAGGAACGAAAAGGATTTCGAGGTACTTCAGGAAGTTCCCTCCTCTCCGCTCAGGTCTACCATCCGGGCTGTCTCTCCTTCTCCCTCGCCTCCGTCCAGCGCCGAAGCGCCGTCCGACAACCACGCATTAACACCACGCGCATCTGCAGCATCGCTTGCTTCGACCAACAGCGAAGAATCATTGGTTCACCACAACGCAAATCGCAATAGAGTTTCATCCATTGTCAGTGTCAGCACTCTGCCAGGAAATCGTCACAAACACACTCCCTCGTCTGGATCCAACCATCAGAAGCAGGCTTCAACTAGCGCTACTACAGCAGCACAGCGGCCCATTTCAAAGGCCTCTGCACACTCTTTCACTTATACAGACTATTCTTACGACAGCGAACGTCCGCGTTCCGCATCACAACCTGCGTCGACTATTCATGAAGCGCAAACAGCAACCGTCGCTTCCGGAGTACGAGTCAACTACCCAACTGTGCGCGCGGCTTCAGCCAGCAGCTTATGGGCTTCGTCGCAAGAACAACTTCCGACCATCACGTCACGAATGAACCATCCTCGCACACAGGTACACCAGTGGAGCTCACAGCTTTCGACAATCGCATCCGAATCTGAGCGCGGTTCTCGTTCAATCGAGCGAGCTTCACGGTCCCTCAGCGCGCGGTCACAATCGGTCTCTCAAGATGATTATCCGTCAACGGGCAGATCGGTCGTACCGCGGAGGAGGCAGACAGTTTCCAGCGTCTCTTCTTCGGACAACGTTTCGAATTCGAACTTCACAGAATCATCGGTTGCCGTACCGTTGCCGCTGTTCTCCCCCATCACCGGACCTTCAGACCACCGTCCCGGCTCCGAGTCCGATTTTGAAGAGCGCAATGACACCATCTCGCCTCTACAATCACCGCCGCTCAGGATGAAGACATCCTTCATACGGAGATATAGCGATTCGCGGTCGCCTTCCTCCTCCAGACCAAGCTCGTCGCAGTCTGATCTGGCGACGTACATCGCGAGCACGATCCCAGCGTGGGCCAGGTATGAAACCGTCACGGCATGCCCTTGTGCCAATGCTAACCGAAACACAGAGTATACTACCGAAAAGGCGAACGCACGTCGTTGGGCGCACCAGATTCGATCTCGGAATCAGCTCCCAGTTCACGGCTACAGACATCGCACAGCGGAAGGACCAATACCCCGTCTGATGGAAACCTTCCGTTCAGCATATACAACCCCCGCAGGCGACCACACCAGCGAGCGTCGGGCGCAGACAGTGTGTCTATGATGTCCGAAGGCCCTATCGAGCAGGATGTCTACGCGGTCGGCGGCCCCCGACGGCATGTCCTTGAACAGTTCACCCCTCGTCTACGACCCGACCATCGCAGCCAGGCCCAGCTAAGCGCGTGGAAAGCCCCATCCTTCGACGAGAACTTCGGTGCGGCGCTGTTTAGCCGTCAGAACAGGCAAATCGTGTTCTTCTGTCTGGGATTCATTTTCCCGTTTGGTAAGCTCGTCCCTAAACATGGTTCGCATGGACGCGTTGTGCTAATACATGGAACAGCCTGGATGATAGCATCGCTCCTACCTCTGCCGCCCGACCCCAAAACCATTCAAGAAACCACAGCGAGCGAGCTAGATTTCGAGCAGCGCTTCGGTGATCAATTCGGCCCTGTTGTCGATAAATCCTTCCAAAAGGCCAATTGGTGGCGCAACCTCAACCGAATCATGTCCGGAGTCGGCACGCTCCTAATCGGCGCGATAATAGCACTCGCCATACTCGCATCCAGGATGTCCTAAACCCTAATACCACGGCCTTTCAACGCCACCTCCGCCGACCTCTCACCCTCTCACCAGCTTGCTTTACGCGCGCTCCAACGTCTACACGACACTTTCACATAATGCCTATTCACGACTACATCTACGCCACTTACGTTTGTTTTAATCACGTTTTCCTACCATGCTACATGTCACGACATGACGCTATCTCAGTTGTCTCAAGTCTACTGCGTAGCTCATGTACATATCCCCACCACCACACCCTTTCCGTTCGTATATAGACCCCCTCCAGTGGCTTCTGCGTTCTAGCGACTTGATTGTTTGTTCCGGAGTGCATTGCATACCCAGCGGGTTTCGTTATTGTTGTTTTCTTGATTGTCTGCTTTCTAGAAGAGAGTTTGCACTGCACTATTACCCTATCGTTTTGTACAAGAGCTGGTTTTTGGAATGTTTGGAACTCGATTGGAGAGATGAGGGAAGAGGTGATCTAATGTCTGAATTGAATCGATACACCGATGTTGGACCGATCTGAAGGTGGTGGACTTGACCATTACGAATCTTGTAACTGTAGGGATGGCGCGTTGCGCGCGCGTGCTTGGGCGGACGCGATGGCGACGACTCGGGCTGCACAGCACAACATAGCATAGCACAGTGCGAATGAAATTTGTGCTGAAGATGAATGATTGCTTGCCTTGCCCTATACTAGCTGGGTGATATCGCCGTGAAGCGCCTCGGCTGCTGCGACGTGCACGGCGCGCGCCGCGCAGCCATGTTCCAAGTCACAATCTTGACCGTCTGTGACGGCGTCAGGTGCGACTCAGGCCAAGCAAGCCTCGCCGGCCCGTGCGTAAGGCTGCGACGCTCACAGGGGAATCCTGGGTATCAGATCGCGACCGCGAGTCGCACTCGGGCCCGTTGGCTGTCGGTGCCGTGCGAGTCAGTGGGCGCGATCGGATGGCATGGGCAGTTGAACGACATTTGGCAGTCGGGACTTGATGAAGTCGCCGTGCGGGTGGCCTGGCGGTCGTGACGTCGAAGGTGGGAGAAAGTCTGGTAGCGAGGGTGGAGGGCTGGGTGGGGTGGGATGGGATGGGCGAATTGGTCGGGGGGAGGTCGGCGGCGAGAAGGTGTGGGACACTGGGGAGGCATGGCTAAGTGGACGTGAAGGTGAAGGTGATCACTGGCGGTATAGCCCGAGGGTGAGAGGAGATGGGCGGGGTTGTGGTCGTACAGCCACATCTAGGACTGCGTATAGGAGATCTATCAGTGAAGATTCGGGTTGTGTTGGATCAGGTATCTCGGTGAATGTGTAACAGCCCACATTGAGCATGTTGTTCTGTTCGAACCACCAAGTATTGCTGATGTGTTCGGAGTGTAGAGAGAGACCCTTTGGTGGGTGCATTTGCATGTTTACGTAGGATGTTTTGTGGCGTGGTGCGATGCTGCTGGGTCACTGAGCAGTGTGTGATCCAAGGAAAGCGTAGGCTGCGGGATCTGCCTCGGGGATACGTAGATCTGGATCTACAGCCTCTCGAAAATAGGTTGAGTGTGCTGCGTTGTTTAGCCCGAGAGAGCAGTGCGTGACCTTGACAAGCTACAGGTAGGGGGTTCTGCTGCTGGTATGAGCAGATGCAGATCTGTGGCACCTTGATAAGAGTATGAGCGTGTTGTATTTCCTTTACCCGGAAACTGCGGGATCCGTACCTTGAGTGAAGCCATGAGTAGACGATGTGCATACTGGACGTACCGGTACTATTCGAAAACAAAGTTGAATGCTTGCTATGAATTTGGAGTATCCTGCAGAACGTAAGATGGCTATGGAGCAGCTGGCTATGGAGCAGCTGGCTATGGAGCAGAGCGTTGAAAATGTATGTACGACCCAGGAGAGTTTGGTAGCAGGTGCCCATCAACATTCACCCGCGGCACTAGCATGGTTTCCGTACGTATATCAAGATGTTAGTCTCTTACATCACGCTTCGCATGATCCCCCGTGTCGACAGCTCAACTCCAATCAATTTGATTCCACGGCCGGTGCTTCAGCGGCTCACTCACGTTCACAGTGGCTGACAGTAAAGATTGGACTTTTGTAGCAGTAAGATTTCAGGATAGATTATCGTACGATAGTTCTACGGCTGTACCATATAGTGAGTTCCTACAGGATGAGGTGTGCTCCTGAAGTCTAGTACTCCGTGTCACTTACGAACAGGATGGGAGAGGGCAGGTGCCATAGCATTCGCACGCAACACCAGCGTCATCTCCCCATTCATAGAGAGACTTCGATCTCTTCGCATCCCACTGGTGTCGACATCTTAATTCCAGTTAGCCTCGAGCACGCCGAAGAGTTTCAAGCATCCAACCCGAAGTTTGGTTTTTACTTCGCCATCTACGGTTGTTGGAATCTTGGTAACACCTTGTAGTCGATCACGACTATGGTACAACATCCGTTATGGTAAATTGGATGATTTTGAAATATTTGAAATATCTCTGTTTTGGCATGCTTCTGAGTTCACGTACTGGATTGTGCCGCGACTTGCGAAGAAAGAACCCAAATCAAACATAATGGATAACATCTGCGACTTCCTCCTAGAGAAGTGAGAGAGGGCGAAAGCTAATGCCGACTTCGACTAGAATTGGGAGTTGCTGGAGGAGAGCTGGGAGCTGGGGCCGAAGGCTGACGCTCGCTTACTTCTGGAAATTGTTGAGAGGTAGATGCGACGATTTGACATCTCTACAACTAAATCGCTGACGTGGAGGCAGATTTTGGCCTCTACCAAGGCTCGAGATGCACATGGGATGATGCAAAAAGTTGGAGTTCAGGAGCACATTTACTGTTGTACCTCGTTCTATAATACGGCGGCCGAACTATGGCCTATTAGAGTATCCCGAGCTCTCATGCATGTAGCTACAGCACGTTCAGTTCTTATCGTCGGCCACTGCGATGGTGTCTCTTATGTGTCTTGTTTGGGCGAGTGGCCTGTTGCTCAAAACGTTTGGCGTAAGCCAGCTTGTGGTTAGAAGTGGATCAATTGTTCCTACAACAGATACAACGATCATGCGTACGGAGGACGGGTTGGGCAAAGGATGTACTAATTATAGCCGCGAGGTAGATATTCAAACACAGTTTTGCTTCACAAGGCCTATTTCTGATGTTGACAAATGTTCTATGCCTTTGTCGTGACGCTGTATAATTCGTGAAATACCCTGTCTCTTGATGTCAATACTATATTTTCCAGGCAGTCCTTTGGCGCATAAAATCAGCAATATCTCTTTACGTATGCCTTCACAGTCAACATTGCAGTTTACATTGCTTCGTTGGGAGATTGGCTGGACTGCATTACCCCAAGAAAAGTGATGCAGTACATACTTCGGGCCACCTCTGGGGCAACGAACGAAGCGCCAATCCATCGTGAATCGGTAAGATCAATTTGTATCACGACTGCGGCAGGGCGGTCAGGATTGGAGTCATCGCAGAACAGAGTCACCGTATTTTTAGTGGCACAGACAACGCTCAGAATGAATCATAGGCGCTAAGCCGGTTGCGGGCATGAGGGGCGTTTGCGCGCCCCTCCCGAAGTCATTTGAAAAGCAAGCCTTCACACGACATTTTGCGCACATCGAGCTCTACAGCTTCCACCGCGACAACACCTCCGCTTCTCTTACATTACTACCTCTACGATCCCTCTAGCACCGAACTACAACTACCAAACAGGAAATTGAGCAATATGGCGGTCCGCGCTCAGTTTGAGAATTCCAACGAGTTGGTTGCCCCGCTGCATATGGCGCACCGCGACGACATGGGCGCAGATGGCACGCAGAGCTTATGCTAACGGTTTTGTGCAGGGTTGGCGTGTTTTCCACACTTACAAATGCGTATGCGATTGTGGCTGTCGGAGCTTCAGAGAACTTCTACAGGTGCGTCGAAGCGCCTGCAGCGGCCAGACTATGTGCATAGTTGGTCGCGAGGGAAGAGTCAAGGCGGCGGGCAAATACTAAACGCGCACGACAGTGTCTTCGAAGCCGAACTCCAAGACGTCATACCCATCTGTCATGCTACCATTGCAGGCACAAGGATAGTCGGTCGTTTGACCGCAGGGTGCGCTCTCCCACCAAGTCCTTCACGCGCATTAACTAACCTTCTTTCAGCAACAAGAAGGGTCTCCTCGTTCCCACCACTACCACCGACCAAGAACTTCAGCATCTCCGTAATTCGATCCCCGACAGTGTCAAGATCCAAAGAATAGAAGAGCGACTCTCCGCGCTTGGAAACGTCATTTGCTGCAACGACCACGTCGCACTCGTACACCCAGATATCGAGCGTGAGACCGAGGAGATAATAGCGGATGTGTTGGGTGTGGAGGTGTTTAGGCAGACGATCGCGGACAACGTGTTGACGGGCAGCTACATGGCGCTGAGCAACCAGGGTGGCATTGTGCACCCAAAGACGAGCATTCAGGACCAGGATGAGCTGAGCAGCTTGCTGCAGGTGCCGCTTGTGGCAGGCAGTGTGAACCGTGGTAGCGCAGTCGTTGGCGCCGGTATGGTGGTCAACGACTGGATGGCAGTGACTGGTGAGTTTGTTCTGGGAAATATGTTTAGAATGGGATGCTAATGCGGATCAAGGACTTGACACCACGGCTACGGAGCTCTCAGTTGTCGAATCCGTCTTCAGGCTGGGCGAGGGCAACGGCCCTAGCGCGATCAACACCACACACAAGGATGCGATGGTGGAGTCTTTCTACTGAGCCATTTCTTGGGATGCTAGAGACCCCGGCTGGTCTGTGCAAGGTCCACACTCTGCTTTGGGGGGGTTTGCGGTACGTAGTGAGGCACGGCACTTGGCGTTCGGAGAAAGAGAGGGATACGATTGAGGCTTGTTATGCCTCCACGCCCTCATGGTCTATAAAATGCAATGATACCACGCTGCCATTGAAGACTGGATAATATGACTGAGCTCAGCTCGTGCGCAAATGTGTGAACCGCTATTAAGTGCTCAAGATCCACGCTTACGCAGGTAGCTCGTACACATGTGCGCCCCCGCCATGCATGTGTGTCGTAGGGCTGAAGGCGGTGGAAGCGATCGCCGAAGCTTGGCGTTGACGCCTGACGCCAAACTTCCTCAATCACGTTGCGCCTGCACAACTGACACTCTCAACGTCGATAGTCACGACTCCTCCTCTGAATTCGCCCCTTTCGTAACAGAACTCTCCTTCATGGATCTACTACTCCCGTAGAACTCCACACGCTGCGCCTGTAACAGGCATACGACGCCACGATCACGACTCCCCGCCGCACTCCCACCATGTCTCAACCACAGTCGAAAGCGCTCACCAAGCGCGATGTGTCGACCGCTCTCATGCCACCGCCTCCCGCACCAAAACGAATAAAGCGACCTTCTATCGTTCTCGACGAAGACACTTACACGTCCGCCATCTCCCACATCATCCGCCGCGACTACTTTCCTGGTCTGGCGGAAACAGATGCACAGCGCGACTACCTGAGCGCATTGGATAGCAAGGACAAAGGATGGATCAGAGAAGCAGGCAAGAAGCTGACCGAGGTCATGACGCCTGTTCCCAGCAGAAGGGCGAGGGCAACCAGGTTCGAGAGCAAAGGTGCGGACGGCGGGCGGACACCAAGCGTATGGGGCGCAGACACCCCGCGGACGCAAGCTGGCGAAGAAGAAAAAGATGACGGCGAAGAAGGCTTGGGAAAGTTGGACCATGTAGACCTGGACATGGGCCTCGGAGCCTTCCAGGCAAAGTACACCTCTGAAGACCAAGAAAGCTTCAACCAGATCCTCGACCGCGCAAACAGAAAGCGCTTCGAAAAAAAAGCCTGGCTTCACGACGGCAACAAGTACGCCTCCAAGCAGCGCCTCGCCCAGCAAAGAGTCTTGGAAGCCTGCACCCCCTCAACAGCTACAGACCTCGTCGTCCGCCCCTCCCAGGACCTCGACGTCGACCGCCCTGCCGCCCCAAACACCCACAAACACACCGCCTTCAACACCCTCATGTTCCGCCCAGACAGCGTAGAAGCCTGGGCCCCGACCCGCGCTCAGCACGCCGAAGACGCCTCCCTCGCACCACCGAAGCGAGTCCTCCACCATAACACCCGCCTCCCTGTCCACGACGCAGCGCCCGCGCGCCCACCCAGCCCCACGCTGTCCGCCGTCCGCGACGCCATTGCCGGCCGACCGCGTCTGTCAGCCAGCGAGGGCGGATACACTGGCAATGAGACGCCGCGCGTGAACGGGTACGCGTTCGTAGATGCGCACCCGCCGTCCGACGACGACGAGGACGACGCACCGACGGATCTGCTCGAGCGGTTCGGGGCAACAGGCAGCACTGCTACGCCATTCACTATGCACGACGCTGCGCCCCGGGAGCAAATGCACCACAGGATGGTCGACAAGATAGCCTCCTCGCGGCGGCCTGAGTCTGCTTCCGCTTTCGCAGCGAGCACGAGTACGAGCAGCTTGGGACATGGTCTGGGCATCTTCAAGGGCGAGGCGAAGACGCCGCGGTTCGTATCGGCCCCTACGCCGGCGATGAGGGCCGCGATGACGCCTGGGGCGCGGAACGCGGGGGCTTTGACGCCCGCGGCGCAGAGGCTGTTTGATAGGATGGGGAGTACGCCGAGGGTAGGGTCGAGAGGTGGGTTTGAGGGCGGGGGCGGGGGTGGCAGGCAGTGGGCTACGCCGACGCCGAAGGTGAAAAGGCGGGTGTGAGGGCAGGTGGAGGGATGGTGGCTCGATTGTTCTTCCTTTGAATTGATACCCCGTAGATTCACGACTTGAAATGAATGAAGAGGCGCTTCCAAGGAATTGAGTTGCCTTGGCCTTCTTGAGCACGTCCACTCCGTTCTCGCCAGCACGGCATCACACCTCAGACGACTGACACATGCATGCAATCCTTGAACAATAACATTATACAATCGCCCTACAAGGCTACACCGCACTATCAGGAGACCAATGCCAGAGCTCCCCTTCGATTGTGGTATTTACCTCCGCCAGACCACACCAAAAAACACCGACAGAACAAATGACAAGCAAGAAAGCAGGCGCGCGCTGTAACTATCCTAGCCAAAGCCACTATGCAAACGCCATGCTGGAAAGTCGGATTAACGAGGACAAGGAAAAGGAGAGGCAGACAAACGTCTGCCCACGTATACGGAGGATGTGCCGTGCAGGCATGCAGGCAATCCACAGACACAAGCCCAGCCAATTCAATCTACACTACACTCCGTCAAAGATACGAGCAAACTACCCGCCCCGTCGCCGCGACGAATCCGGTCCCGTATACGGCCGGAACTGCGACCCAGGCGCGTGGTACGACCTATACGGCCTCCGTGGCTGTCTCACAGGGCCGGACCCAGGCTCAGCCGCCCGCTCGGCTGGCTGATCTCTCGGGGCATTCGCGTCGTACGGTGTATTCAGTTGCTGCTGCTGGTGCGGAGCCGCGTGGTGCTGTGGCGGAGAGTACGCGGACTGCTGCGCCGCTTGGCCTATGAATGTCATGCTGGGCGGCTGCGTGTGTGGAGGCGGCGGTGCCATGTTTGCGGGAAGGATGGGCTGGCCGCCATATTGGTGGATCTTCAGTGGCGGATACGGGGTAGAGGCGTTGGTCGATGTGGTTGGAGGAGGCGGTGCTTGGAAACTGCCTGGCGGTGGGACGTAGCCTCCTTGGTGGGACGGGCCATTGTGGCCGTTGTAGCTGGGTGTATATTGTGTTTGGGGCGGTGGCGCTGGAGGTGGTGCTTGGGATGCTTGTGGGTAGCCTGATTGAGGGTTGTGATTTTGATATGGCCTTGGTGGCACGGGATCATAGTGCGCGAAGCGAAAGTTCATAGGAGGGTTTGACTGCCTATCGGAAGATTTCGAAGGGAGAGTTTGGCTGATGGAGGGAAGCTGAGTCGGAGCCGGCGCGGGGGCACTGGGTGCCGAGAAGGGACTCTGGTGCGGAGGTACTGGTTTGCTTTGTGGACTAGCTGAAAAAGGCTGTGTTGGAGGTTGCTGGGCTTGGGAGCCGCTCAACCGCCTATCACGCTCCCAATGTGATGATCCTGGATCTTGAGAGCTTTGTCGCGGGAGATATGCGGGTGCTGCACTAGGCGACTGTTGGTACGATAGGGGCGCTGTCGATGGTGACGCATTGTATGCGCTCGAAGCCCTGCGTGTCTCCTTTGATTGGTCTGCTTTCTCAGCTGTACCCGAGGGACTGAACGGCCTTGAGAGTAGAGGTGGAGCTGTCATCTGGGCCCGCTCTCGGGGAGCGAATATTGAGCTCTCTGGACGGTGACTCGCAACATGCTTCTCATTAGGCTTACTCTTGGAGCTGAGCATGTCGCGGAGCATATGCAGAGGATCTCGTCTACGTAGCTCTTCGAGGCTCATCTGTCGTATGGAGCCGGACCTTTTTGAGGGCAGGTCAGGGTACCCTCGCATCGATGCAGGGGAAGAATATGCCTCTCGTGAAGGCATCGTTTCTCTTGGGGCTGTCGGGGTTGATCGCTCTTGTTGTACATCGTGTTGGTGCATAATCGAAGACAGTCCGAACAATCCACTTCGTGAGGGCGTAGGACCTTGACTTGCGCTTATGCGGTGCAAGGTCACATCAGCAGGTGTCTGTTCTACTGAGGCTGCTGGTGGAAAACGCGAGGTTGCAGGCGGGATGTCTGAATCATTATTGAGCATGTCCATAATGCGATGGGTTGATCGAGCTGGCGGCTGTTTTGCTGGCGCAATTTGGTCTTTTACAGGCTGGATGGCATATTGTATGGCGTCCGTGACCCCGGCAGGTTTCCGCTGTGCTACAACATCCGCCTTCTTGGACACAGGGTTCAAGACTGCAGCAAACGGCCCAGCAGGCTGCTTCACTGGCAACATTGCTTGGGCTGCCCCAATTGAAGCTGCTTGTTGACTGACCGTAGCGACCGGAGCCTCGCGGTCGGGTTGTTGCGCTTTCTCTTCGATAGTGCTGCGGGATGCATCTGCTGATAGCGACGCAAGCATGAACAAAGCATCGGCCTGTTCGTTGGGAATGACCGCAGGTGCCGGGGGCGCAACTGGTGTGTTCTCAATATCATTGGCTGCATCAATTAGATCTTTGATCTTTTGATGAGCAATGGCTTCAGCTCTATCTGGACCAGTGAAAGTTGCAAAGCCAACAGGAGTAGGAGCTTCGAGTATGGAATCGTCTGCATCCTCATCCTCAAGAATGAAATCTCTCAGTGAGCCACCAAATTGCGCGCGACGAAGTTCTTCGTCAAGAAGGTGTTCGGACTCAACATAAGCTCTGCTACGGGAAGCAAACTTCGACCCAACACGATCATCTCTATGCAATGGCGGGAAAGCGAAACGAGCAGGTGGAAGAACATTGTCTTCGTCCTCGGTGCCTGCTCCATCTTGGCTCTTTCTAGACTCTCTTTGCAGTTGTTTCGCTCGATGAAAACATTGTAGAAGCAGATCTTCTTGGAGGTCGTAGAATCGTTGGATGTACTTCTCTTTCGCAATATGCCTTTCGGCTTCGACCACGCGTTCGAGCTGTGCAAGCTTCTCTCTCCGCAGCGCATGAACCGAATCGAGCCGGCTTTGCTTGTACTGGTCGAGAGAGGCCATAAGAGGCTCATATTCAGGACATTGCTTGTGGAATTGAGGGTCGTCATCCAGTGACGTGGTTGTGCGGTTTGAAAGCTCATCTAGGATGTTCTTCTGGATCTTAGCAAGGCTGCGGTAGCTCATCTTTAGATTGAGTTGACGTCGCAGGTCTACTTCGACGTTGATGTCGGGATGAGGTGCACGTCGACGTCCAGGCAGTCGCCTTCCCATCTTAACAGGTGCATCGCCATTTGTGGGCAGGACATGATGCAGATTCTGGCTGTTCTCGACTTCTGGAATCTGCTCGGGTGAATTCGGCGCAGTAGATGCATCTGTCAATTCAGGTAGTTGGTCTGTCTCCGCGGGCGTCTGAGTGGTAGTTCTTCGTTTCTTCCTGCGCGGTTGCTGTTCGGAAGTGTCGCTCTGGGTCCGGGTAAGAACACCATTTGCGCGTGATTTGCCTGACTCGAAGGACGCATCCGATGCGCGCCTCTTCTTGGGCGAAACTTTAGAGCCATCAGTCGCATCGCGCGCAGTTGACATGGAAGAATCGGGCGCATTAGCGTTAATTGCATTCAGCGCGCCATCGACTTGATCTGCAAAGGAGTCTGTAACTGAATCGGTTGAAAGTCGGTTGCGCTTGGTTGGACGCTCATCCTCGATCTCCGAGTGGCCATCTTCGGAACGCGACAAGTCGTTAAGTGAGCTCCGTCGACTGCTGGAGCTAGCGATTGATGGAGCACCAGAGCTATCTTGGTTTGAAGCCGTTTTGACAGCTCGTCGGGTTTTCATATGGAGAGGTTCTGAAGGATGAAGACGCGACATCTTCTGTCCAGGGAAACCTGCACTATTTCTTCGCTTAGGGGAACTAGCCGTATTGGCTGCGCCAAGGATTTGCATGTTAGCATTAATGCGCTGGAGGCGAGCTGTGAGGGACGGAGATGTCGAGGGGACGGCCTACCTGGAAGTGTCTTCAGCGATACGGTGGTCGATGTCTTTGTTGATTTGTTCTTGCGCTTCGGCGGCATCTTGGTGAGACTCGCTCTGGAACCACCTTGGCAGTCTGTTAGCCTGTGAGGAGAATGCTGCTAGCATCGCAGCTGCAGATAGTACAGTGGAATTGGCAAAGGATGGAGAGACTCACGAATAAAATGACTCGTATTTTCTAGTCAAAGAGTGCACTGTTGGTAGTGATGGCGCACCGATGAATCTGCAACCTTTTATGGTCAGCCTTTTCTTCAAATGCTCGGATCAGGCAAGCTGCGAAGCGCTCGAAACTTGCGACTCGAAGTCATTGATCACCGTATACTTGTAACGCTCGCCGCTGAAAAGTCATCTGAAAAGTCATGCGTGGACCGATAGCGTTCTCTCAAGCTGAGAAGTTGGGGGCTGGGTGTGAAAAGCTCATACCTGGTGTCCGCTGCCTCCGTGGCACAACGACGGAAGGGATAGTGTATGCAGAAAGACTGACGCAAGGCTAGACAACCATACTCAAGACAGCGGCGATTCAACTGCGGGGACTTCGCAATCGTCCAGATGTCTTGCGGCTGGGGCTATACTCAACGAAGCGGGAGGAGAAAAAGAGCGCCGGAGAACAGGACCCCAGAAGAAATAGGCTAGAAGTCGCACGTGGCCGGCTTCGACAGAAGTAGCAGAGAAGAAACCGCAAACTGGCAAGCAAGCAGCAGGACTTGGAGCCTGGCCGGGGAGCGTGAGTGAGGTTGAGGCAAAGATGCTCGCGGATGGATGGTCGCAATTGCCCAGCTGGAACTTGCGCTAACCCTAAAAGAGTGCGAAGAGAGTAAACGCCACGGTACCGCTTACTATGTATAGGCGCTGTTGAATGAGCAGCCTAACGGAAAATAATACAATGGGAAGATCGTGAGTCTATTCAAACAAGTGAATGGCACATGCGATCGATTGCGGTGACGTGAATGCGTAGCAAGCCTCCCGTCTCAGAGAATGGACCAACCCCGAGCCAGTCCCAAAACGGCAACGTTAATTTTGAGCCGGCGGCGATGCGCCATCGCAGAAGGTACTCCGAGATACATCCTCGACACATCGAATTACCACAAGATCGTGTGAGCCATTGACTTGCTCTCTCGTTCGTATCGCTGGCTTGAAGTTGTAATGCTTCAAGCCATGTCTCAACAACAAACGTCATTAGCCGCGGTCACCAGGCGAGACTACGGCGTCGAGAATTTCCCTGAGTGGAGTGACCACAATCACAACCACAGCAGGTAACAAAAGCGCTTAAAGTAATCTCCTTAAGTTTTCTATCATTCACGAAAGATCTTGTAGTACTACGGCAGGTGATCTAATTCGCTGTCGCTGTTACTAATGTTTAGCTTCTCGCATGCTTTATAGTAGTTGCAACACTTGAAATCCTCGCAACTCCATACATGCTCTATCTTCACCTCCCTTTAGGCATAAACATTTGCTGCATTATGCTTCATGAGTTTATGGTTAACACAATTCATCAGATACGTAGTCAACATCGTGCTCACGCGGATGGCTTGCGTCAGACGTTGTCGGTACCACAAGTCATTTCAATGGCGGCCATCTTGGACAAGAGCGCATACGGCGGGCGGGGTTTTGAACCCTTCATAATTGCGCGTACGAGCCCCAGATAGAGGCTCCCGAAGCATTTCTATCTTTGTGACGTTGCAAGGTACAACTTGACCGGAAAATGTTTCCATGACGCCTCTAACATGCCGCTTACTGACAACCTTAACACACCCCTCTCGCATGATAGATACCGGCCGAGGCAGCATCAGGTTGGACATATAACCGCTCCCACAATCTCGCAGTATCCAAATTATTCTGAAGCACTTTACACGGGTATTCAGATGGCCGCTGGCTGAGCAGCTTACATCCGGTCTGCAAATCGACAGGAGCGCAGTCCCCATCCTTCAGGACCGACCGACCCTGGGAATTTTTCTTCACACCCAAATTACCATCCTGTCACCACCTTCATCCCATCACCTCCCCACAAAAACTCATCTTCCCAATCCCCATCTCCCCAACCCTCCCTTTCTTCTCCCATGAAAAAAAATCTTCAAATGATCCCATTGGCCGCCCTCCCCCGGCGCGTTGCGCGTATGCACGTCAGCCGATGCAGCCGAGTCAACCGGTCCCCACCCTGTGGCCTCGCGCGAAGTGCGGGCTGTTCTCCCTGTTTCAAGGCTAGCCAAGCCGCGCAGCGCCGCTAATACCGGGTGCGCGCACACGACAATGCGCATGAACGGGCGTGGGCCACGACGCTGGGGAAATATCAGGCGCATTAATGGCATTAATGGGAGCGGATATGAGGCCTGGCCGGGTAAGTTCGGCGGCGTTGCGATGGGGATGGAATTTGGGTTTGGGAGGGACATGCGATGGGAGGGGAGGGCGAGGCTCGCTGCATGGGAGAGCCTTGAATGCACGTGTCTGGATCGGGTTTGTTCGTGGAGAAGGCTGCTCCCGATATATCTCAAGGATGGAGCGATCGAGAAGTTCGCACTCTGTAACATGGTCAAGCCTGCTGCCAGTCAGAGTATCTTCGACGCATCCGTCGTCCTCCGGTACACTGTCTCCAGTCGCAGTGGAAGCAAGGTCTATACTGCGGTCGCTGAGTTATCCCCGCAAAACAGTCTGCCCATGGTATAGTAGCTGCGTTGGGAAGATGGGTGCTTTGCGATTGTACGACGATGTACAAGCGTCACAGGCTATCAATGAAAATCTCGACCATGCTTTTTGCAACTCATCGTATTGAAATGCTGCCTGCGCAATGGACTTGCGTCCCTCGTTCCTCTGTCTACACCAATCCTTTCCCCTAGGAAATCCATGCTTTACAATATAAGTTATGACAAGAAATTAAGGCTGCTGTGGTATCAATACGCAGGTCCAAAGCCGAGGCCCACCCACTATTTTCACGCAACGCCAGCCCCCAGCGCTAAAGCAACAATGCCCGTAGGCAAGAGAGAACGAGAAGGAAATCAGAGTGCAGGCTTCAAACGTAAGCGCGGCGAGACTCGCTGTGACAGTAGGAAAGAGGTCGTATCATGACGCATGAGATGCGGTAGACATCGTGCTATGTAAGGTGGCCAGACCGGGCATAGCTTTCAGTGTGGTGGCGTACAACGCCGAAGGGATGCGGTGTCTTCATCGACTTGTGTCGATGTTGAGGTTGACCTTTCGCTGGCTGCCGCTCACACTACTTCTAGGTGAAGAGTTGAGGACAAAATCTGGAATAGGAGGAGTCATTCGTCTGCTGGGAGGCGAAGGACTTCGTGAACTCGAGCGCTGCGAGAGATTGCTGTTTGTGCGCTCGTTGATGAAGCTGCGTTGATGAACAAGGGCAGGGCTTGCAGCGCGACTGGTTGGGTTGGAGCGGCTACTGTTTGAGCGCATCCGGCTGTATGGACGCGCCGGGCAAGTAATGACTTGGTTGGCGAGTGGGCTTGCGATTATGCTTGTGCCGGGTGTTGTAGCAGGAGCCGGAGTCGGGCTTTCGCTTCTGAAAAGAGGGTGGATGTGAGCTTCGCTGCCAGCAGGACTTGGTGGACGCGATGTGTCGAGTGCTAGCTTGGGTGGAGGAGGTAGTTCTTCGTCATCTTCCAGAACGAACGGACCATCTAGTGCCCGAGCAGGACTTGCTGGTCGGCTTCCGGGAATCGGTTCTAGAGCTGTGCCGCGAGATGGCATCAATACGGAGGGCAAGGCAAGCTGTGCTACAGCACCCTTGCTTTGCGCGTCAACCTCCCACGAGTCGAACGCGTCAACTTGAGTTGCACTCTTCACAGACAAGCCGTCAGAGTGAACGCTCAGGGCCTCGCGGTTGAAAGAAGGCCTGCTGACAAGTTTGCTCCGCGATGAAATAGGCCGTACGACATGTTGCAGAGAATCTCTCCAGGACCTCAACGACTGGGACGATGACCGGTTGGACCAGGTGGGCGATGGAAGAGCGCCGAGTGGAGAAGATGGCTGGGTGGCTTCCAGCATATAGAGATTCGGGGTCGCTGTCGAATAACGCATCTCAGACATTACAGAGTCGCGAGGCCCTGATACGTCCACTGACTGCGTGTGTTGTTTCGACCTACACCACAATGGTGAAGTATAGAGTGCGATCTGGCTGAGACAGGCGAGTAGCCATACGGCGATTTGACCTGATGAGCTATTACTCCAATTAGAAATGACGCTATGCTTTCCGTGTTCCAACTCTTGCAGATGTAACCGAATAGTTATCATCGACGCCATCGATATGACCAAAGCGCCAGCAGAGATCAATACACAAGATATGGCAAGAATCCTTGCGGCTTGTGGTGAGTCCTTGATGATCCCATCTCTTGTCCAAGCATACTGAGCTGAAAATACCGTCACTGCGCCAACTGCGCCGAGGTCGAAAGCGCTCGCGGTAACAGCTAGTCCGACCAACGAGGATTGAGCCGCAGATGAGGAAACTGCGTCGAGAATATTCAGGATCGTATCAGCAGCGGTAGTAGACCAAGCTACTGCGCCAAAAAGTGAAAGGTAGAATCTTCTTGAAAACATTTTGCCTGCGACGATGACCAGAACAAGCGACAGACGGCGTAGTACGTATCCCAGGGTAACTCAGTCCCTAATGTATCCTCCAACTCTTGCCCAATGCTACACAAAAACCCGGATTGAGTAGCGTAGCCGTGTAAAGATCGTCGAGGAAGGATGTGAAGTCCACGCGAGCTTCCGACCAATGGCCCAACAAGGCTTAGTGTAACGAAGCAGTGGACGCCTTCAACAGAGGTCGAAAAGTCATTGGTTCCTTCCAGAGGCGTGCCGATGAGCTGACTTTGTGGATTGGACGAAACCAGAGGCCTGAACAAGACGGTTGTACGATAGAAATATCAGGCTCCTGTTGTGCGGGTCGTAGCTTGTCTAGGCAAAAGGAACACGAGACTGAACGCGTGTGAGGCACGCGAGTTGATATTAGTATACTTAGTATACTTTCTCAGGTGCGGTTGAGAGCGACGCGGAGGCCAAATCGGGAAGGCTGACGTTCACCCAATGAAGCGGTTGCAGTAGCCCGGAGCCGGCTGATGTCGATGAAATGAACCAAACACGCAAGGGGTCCAACCACCAGAAAGATGGACAGTCAAGCGGGTGTAGAAACGAATGTGAGGAACCTAAGCTGGGAGGTTAAAACGAAAGGAGGGCTGGAAACGATGGACAGCGCAGGGAAGCGGAGGGCATGTGGGAACTCTGACATAGATAATAAATTTAGAAAGGAGCAGGCGGGTCATTGTTTTGTGGGCGGCGGGCTGCAGCACGCGTTGAACGTAGTGGAGCGCGCCGGGATACGAAGGGGAGATCCCTGATGCGTTGCAGGCATCTCTTACACTGAGATCACGAAGCGGCTGGTCTGCACCACAGACTGCGCATCCTGGGGTAACTCACGCGCTACTGGTGGCCCATGGTACGAGGCCTGAGATGCATGGGAACATTGGCGGTGTACGATGGCATCAGAGGGCTGCGAGCTGGACAATTGCTGGACGCCGATACAGCACGCAAGTTGAAGAAGGCCCATGCAACGAAAACGGCTCGCGTGGAGGTTCAGCCCACCAAAGTCGCGGAGACCAATTGCGATCATGGGCTTTGCCGTGCCGGCTGTCGCAGGATTCGGCCCTACAAGCTGGGGCTAGACTGGGAACGCTTCACGAAGCCGAGATGTCATGGTTGGCTTCCTCATTTCCCACGCGTTGTTTGTTTAGTGTTGCTTTTCCAAGGCCGCAAACATGGCAGAGCAAGGCCTGAGGCCACGAGAGCTCGGCCGTTGGTGACAGGCGCTGGCAATGACGAGGTTGCCTCGTGAAGACGCAACGGAGGTATCACCGGATCGATAGCGCCTTCTGCGGTGTTCCATCGCACAGCATGCAACGACCAGTCCACAGCACTATAGGCGAATCAGTACAAAATGCGTTCGTGAAGCACCAGGCCGACCGCATGGTGCGGACGGAAGGCGAAACAGCTGGCACCCATGCTTCTGTGGCGAGGCGTGGGGACGAAACAAACAGGGAGCGCGACAACAAACAAAGTTCACGCGTGGAGGCGGCTGTCGGGACGACACCTCAATTGATGAGTGCCGCGGTGAAGGACCCGCGCGCTAGCGGAAATTATTCGATGGTCATCAAAGCACAGCCCGGCTGGAGTCTGGACGCAGCACGTGACGGCGACGATGGCGTCAGGCTGGGTGCCTGGCGTGTTGGCGTGAAGTTGCGGAAAAATGTACTGCCGGGCTGTGAGCTCGACCCGCTGCCCGCTTCGCGGTTGGAAGGGCGGCGGACTTGGGTGGTGACAGTGGTTCTGCCTGCTCATCCACTTGCCCAACACTCAAGTCACCACACTCCGCTCCGCCTACGGACCCGCATACCACACGGATCGCTTCTCTAAGCAAACGCGATTGCAGCTTCCTGTTATATAAAGTCCGGGATAGCGGCCACCTCATCCCCGCCTTCACTTTTACCCCCACCTCACCTCAACCGCCATACCACATTTTCCAATCCACAACCGCCATCATGAAGATCACCTTCAAAGTACGCTGCGCCCATCCTCGATAAAAAAAGGCGCGACTAATGCAGGCCGCAGGATCTCAAGCAGAACAAGTTCGTAATCGAGGCCGAGCCATCAGAAACGGTACGCTGGACTTCATCTTCCATCGCCACATAGTCAGCGGCTGATACATAGCAGATTGGCGAACTCAAGGCCAAGATCCAGGCGGACAAGAGCTGGGAAGTCGCCCAGCAGAAGCTGATTTACTCCGGTATGCACGCCACTGCCGACTCTGCAATCTAGCGAGTCGAGTCTGACGACCACTTAGGCAAGATCCTTCAGGACGACAAGACTATCGAGTCCTACAGCATCGAGGAGAAGGGTTTCATTGTGTGCATGGTGTCTCGGGTGCGTTTATCTCACCGTCGTGCTGGTGCCTGCTAATAGAACTATAGCCCAAGACTCAAGCCGCGTCCGCAAGCAAACCTGCTCCTTCAACACCGGCTCCAGCGCCGGCCCAGACTCCTGCTGCTCCCGCCGCTCCGGTCGCCGCACCTTCTGCAGCTCAAAATGCCCCTGGCACACCTTCACCAGCTCCGGCCTCAGACCGGCGGTTTGATGATCCGTCAGCGTTGACCATGGGTAGCGAGCGCGATGCCGCCATCGCCAACATGGAGAGCATGGGTTTTGCGCGCGCCGACATCGACGCTGCCATGCGTGCTGCTTTCTTCAACCCCGACCGAGCTGTCGAGTACCTTTTAACTGTAAGGATTGTATGATCATCCGGCTTGCAACTTGCTAACCATTTCCAGGGTATTCCCGAGAGCGCCGTCCAGGAGCAACAGGCTCAATCGCGCGGCCCAACGTCTCCTCCTGTGGCCGCCAGTGGTAACACTGCCGCTGCCGCCCCTTCAGCTCCGACTTCCGGCGGGGATGAACCCATAAATCTGTTCGAGGCAGCTGCGCAGGCGGGCCAGGGCCGAGGTGGTGCAGGTGGTGCTCGTTCAGGAGGTGCCGGTGCAGCTGCTGGAGCAGGCGCTGGTGCAGCCCTTGGCAGCAACAGCTTGGACTTCTTGCGTAACAACCCGCAATTCCAGCAGTTGCGACAGGTGGTACAACAACAACCCCAGATGCTCGAGCCCATCCTACAGCAGGTCGGTGCTGGCAACCCTCAGCTGGCCCAGTTGATTACGAATCACCCGGAACAGTTCTTGCAGCTACTCGCCGAGGATGCTGACGAGGACGCGCCCCTACCCCCAGGCGCCCAGGCCATCAGTGTCACCGAGGAAGAGCGTGAGGCAATCGAGCGTCTTTGCCGTCTGGGTTTCGAGCGCGATTTGGTCATCCAGGCCTACTTCGCATGCGACAAGAACGAGGAGCTGGCCGCAAACTTCCTCTTCGACCAGCCCGATGACGGCGATGACCAGTGAGCGGTCCACCGCGGACACGCACCCAATCTCTACACTCGATTGCACTCCCGAAACTCATCATCACTGAATGATGTCAATTTAAGCCACGGTCATGTTCATCCGGAACACGGACACGCTAAGGTTTACCCATTGCTATGTTTGGACTTGTGGGAGTCTCCTTATGAAATGATACGATACCCTCCGTGATGTCGGCGGCGGGCGTTTGAGCAGGCGGGAGTGTAGATAGCGCGTCAGCGGAATGAGATGCCGGTATCCACAACCTAGGTATCGAGAGAAAGTGAAAAATGTACGAGTTCAATCCCTAATTAGGAAGAGATGTCGAGAGAGCCATCTGTGAATCCAACCCCCAATGAAATTGTTCGTTCTACGGCGTGCGTGGCGGTGTTACAATGTGCGGTGGCCCTTTGCTCAGAGCGGAGCAGCTTCTGTATTTGTGGTATTTGTCCTGGGTCGTACGGGTGCCTGGTTGTGTGAGACGGGGCGGAGGGTGCACGGCGTGCGAGTATCGCCTGTACGCGGCGTTGCACTTGTGGATGCTTTGTGCCCATACGTCAACCAGCGTGCTGCCCCAAACCAGCCAGTCAGGACGCCGGAAACTGATCGTCTCCATTTAGCAAAGAGGGAACGCGCAGTGCGGTTCGGTGCGGTGTGATTCCAGCGCTCGTTGTAGGCGCCGTTAGAGGTATAGTGGTCTCTGCAGGGTTTCCGCCCGCGTCGGATGATGGCGGATGGACTAATTGTCTAGACGGAGGGGAACCGGTGGATATGCTTTTTCGTCGGGGTGTAAGCAGAGGAAAGGGTTGGGAGTGGCGTGGGGGGCAATATATTTGAGAGAAGAGCAAGGCAGGGGGATCTGGATCCTGGTGAGCTTGCAATACAGTGTAGGGGAAGGTGAAGCGAGGGGGGAAGGTATCTCTCGTATTGATGTGGGGAGTGGGCATAGAGTTCACCATTTGCTGTTGTAGTTCCGGATAGTTGACTGTTATCGTATAGTCGGTGTTTCGATCTACACGAGAAGCACTGTTACTCGAAATGCTCCGATCGGACGTCAGCACGGTGTTCGTCTCCTTGGGTCTGAAAAAAAAATAGCTTTTGGGGTTCTCCTCCAATACCTGTCCGCTATCTGTCTATCTATGTTACCAAACGGCGGTTGAAGCCGCAGATCGTTCGTTGCACCGTAATGTCGTTACATATCCCTCTCCACCTCCACACTCTCCACCTATTTAGTGATGGAACAATCGAATGTGCTGCTCCACAAACGTGATCCCTGACTTTTCCGCCGTCTCCATAACCGCGCTGTCGTTTTGGGAACCCGTCGGCGCCGCAATGTACTTGGCGCCGCTGCGTGCGGCGCGGAACACGTTGTCGATGAAGGGGAAGAAGGCGTCTGAGCTGACGGCGACCCCGGTGAGCTTGGAGAGCCACTCCTTGCGCTCCTCAGCGGAAAATGGCTGCGGCACCTGGCCCTCCTCGAAATACGACTCGAAGTCGTCGCGCTCGATGCCAGAGTCTGGGATGAGGCCGCTGCAGAGGAGGTCGATAGCGTTGGACTTGGAGGGGCGCTTGGTGCCCTTCTTCCACTGGAGGTTGAGCGTGCGGCTGTGGAAGCGCATCCACCAGTTGTCGGCTTTGTCGCCGGCGAGACGGGTGCAGTGGATTCGTGCTGGCATGGTCAATGTTGCGTAAAACAGGCGTATGGACATTAGAACTTACATTGCTGACCAGCACCGAGACCGATGACCTGGCCGTTGAGTGCATAGCACACACTGTTCGACTGCGTGTACTTGAGCGCAATGGTAGCAACAGTCAGATCCCTCAATGCGGACTCAGGGAGAGGGCTGGAGTTCTTGGGCACAATGACGGTGTTGAATGTCTCTGCGGGGACGATCTTTGCGTCGTTGCGGTGCTGCTGGAGGTTCACACCGTAGACTGTCCTGGTCTCGATTGGGCCGGGCTCGTAGTCAGGGTCCATCTGGAGCACGAGGTACTTTCCGCCCTTCTTCTTCTTGAGGATCTCGAGAGCTTCGTCGCTGTACTTGGGTGCGATGACACCGTCGGACACTTCTCGGCTGATGATCTTTGCGGTGGGCACGTCGACCTCGTGGGACAGGGCGATCATGTCTCCGAAGCTGGACATGCGGTCGGCGCCTCGTGCTCTGGCGTAGGCCTGAGCCAGTTGCGACTTTTCGATGCCCTCGATATCGTCCACCATGTACACCTTCCTCTCCTCCTCGCTGAGCTCCACACCGATGGCGGCACCGGCCGGCGATACGTGCTTGAAGCTCGCAGCTGCGGGGTAGTTGAGCGCCTTGCTGAGCTCCTTCACCAAAGGCCACGCGTTCAGCGCGTCGAGTAGGTTGATGTATCCCGGGGCGCCGCACAGCACCTTGAAGGGCAATTGTGACTCCTGCGCGTAGACGGTGGCAGGCTTCTGGTGGGGGTTCGCACCATATCGAAGGGGCAGTTGCTGCTCGCCCTCACCGGCATACTTCTTGCGGAAGAAGTCGGAGATGGCGCTGTCATAGCCAGCAGTCTGCTCAAAGGCCTTGAGTGCGTACCGCTGTCTGCTCTTCTCTGTGACCTCGCCGTTGTCCTTGAGCTCGGTGAGGAAGTCATGGTAGTCCTTGGGGTCGCTGATGATGGTGACGCGCGCGTGGTTCTTTGCAGCCGCCCGTAGCAGAGTCACGCCACCAATGTCAATCTCCTCAACGGCCTCCGGGATGGTAACGTTGATGCGTGCGACTGTCTCGGAGAAAGGGTATAGGTTGCAGATGACATAGTCGATCTTGTCGATGCTGTTCTTGGAGAGATCCGACTCATCTGACTCGAGGTTGCGGGCGAGTATTCCTCCATGCACAGCTGGGTGGAGCGTCTTGACGCGGCCACCGAGCATCTCGGGTGCCTGGGTTATGGCCGAGACATCTTCGACGGGGAAGTTTGCCTGGCGGATCATCTTCGCGGTGCCGCCAGAGGCAAGCAGACGGACTCCATTGTCGTGCAGGCCCTTGGCTAGGTCAAGGAGACCCGTCTTGTCGTATACAGACAGAATAGCTGGAGCGAAGGATTAGCACATGGCACGCCGCAATCTATGTGCAGGGTGCAGGCAGACTCACCAGTCTTTTGGCCACCCATTTTGAAAGTTCAGTCTGGTCAATTGGCAAAAGAGCGTCACTGAAAGAAATTCTGGGGTATCAAAACAAATGCGAGGGGCTGAGTCGCTGGTCCGCTCGTCAGGCCGTCTCTCGAAATTCTCGTGCCCCACCCCAAATTGACGTATCGCGCCTGCCCCTCGTTGCGATTTCGGCAAGGCGGGTGGCCCGAGCACACTACCCCAGACTCCATCCGTACGCGTAGAGGTGCACTTCTGCCGGGCTGAAGGACGATTCGCGCAACACCAGAGCCTGCATTGTTGACGATGGGAGTGACTGTGCTCTGGCCGCGATACTTGCTCAGCAACTGACTCCTACACATGATAGCGCACTATAGCCAATCATCATCCCAGGTTCCAGCATAGACCTCGGCTTCCGTCGCATCTGTCCAGCTCGTGTGCCATCCGTTGCTCTACAACCACAAGACCCAACTTTGGTTGCTTTCGGCCTTTGTATTATACCTTCTGTAATAGCCCTTGTCTGATCTATACATAGGCTGCTATATACCCCAATTGCCTTCCCCGACACAATGGCTGCAGAAACAGGCACAGAGGACCTGATAACCCACCTCAAATCGGTCCTCCTAGAACTCAATGCCCGCCCCTACCCGGACGTCGCGAACCCGCCCGAGGCCCCTAAGCGCGCCTCCGTCGCCCTCATTCTCCGCATACAACCGCACTACTCACACTGGCCTGCCACAGACGATAAGCCCTTCCCCCTGCACCACCCCTACCCCCCGAGCCCGACCCAGCAGCGCCGGCGGTCTTCCGCAGCCTCAAGCAAGCCCCGCGATCTCTCTTTCAAGGATATCATAGAGACCTTCTTTGCGCAAGACTGGGTCAAGCATGGCGACCCCGAGCTGCTCTTCATCAAGCGCGCAACAAGGGTGGGAGACAAATGGAACGGGCACGTTGCACTGCCGGGCGGGAAGCGAGACCCCGAAGACGAAGACGACCAGGTGACTGCCGTGCGGGAGGCGCTCGAGGAAGTCGGCATAGACCTGAGCTACAATAACGCCATCGCCGTCGGCAACCTCCCGCAGCGCGTCGTCACGTCGTCGTGGGGCAAGGTGCCGTGCGTCTTCCCTTCCCCCTTCTGCCCCTCCACACATACTGATGGAATGAGATAGGCTCATGGTCCTCTGTCCCTACATCTACCTCCTCACCTCGCCTACCTACCCCGCCCAACGCCTCCAGCCCACCGAGGTCGCCTCCACGCACTGGGTATCCCTCCGCGCGCTGCAATCCCCCTCCCTCCGCACCCACGAATACGCCGACGTCTCCGCGCGCCTCGCAAAGTCCGAGCTCGGAATCAAGCGCTGGTTCCTGCAGTCCATGCTCTCCAAGATGATGTTCGCCGCCATCCACCTCGTCCCCTCAAACTCCACCTACTGCGCGACAATCCCAGACTTCATACCTGCGGGCGGGCCCCCGGATGCGGGCGCCCTAGGGAAGGTGAAGGAAGTGCTGAGGGGTCCGGAGGGAAGCAAGGCGGGGAAGCCGCCACTTCTGCTGTGGGGACTGACGCTGGGCGTCGTGAGCGACCTCCTGGAACACCTGCCGCCGCATAACGCGCTGGAGCTGTGGACGTATCCAACGTTTACGAATTGGGATGTCAGGTTCGTCATGTGGGCCATGTCGTACCGGTTCCGCGTGCAGAAGACGGCGGAGATGAGCACGCAGACTACGCTGGGGCTGGAGACGTCGTCTGTGCCGATACTCGACGCTGAGGTCGAGGAGAAACCGGGCGAAGTCGGGATCGCAGGGTTGGGCGTAGGACGCAGCTGGGGGAGGACGGGCAGGTCCAAGATGGTGGCGAGGAATGCGGCGGTGAATTCTATGCTCGAGGGATACTATCCTATCGTGCGAAAGGCGGTGGCTACGGCACTGGTGGCGCGGATTGGGCTCGTGGTAGGGTTAGCGGTGGTTTTGAGAAGGAAGTACAGGTTGAGCGAGTGGGTGAGATCATTGTGGGAGACTGCGTGAAGGGTGGCGCGGTTATAGAAGGTAGGCAGGCATCGCCAGGAGCATAAGCTGTAGCAGGAACTCGCTCAGCATGCGAGTGCCTGGTTTGACTCTATACATTACACAACACATTCACCCACCCTACAGTGCTTGTGCTGAATGAACTCAACAATAGCGATTGGGTTATTGGGTTATGATCGAGTGAGCACAAAGCAGGTATCTCCCCAGTGCCTGCCCCTTCTGCAATCGTGCATTCAATCTGAATATCTTCGGAACACCATCCTACCTTCACATCCTCCAAATCCCCGAGAACACCCAGATCCCTCCTAGCAGCGTTCAGCGCGTCGCTCAACCGAGCAGTTCCGCCAGACATGTACATGTGGTCCGACATCCAGAATTCATGGACGTGGTAACAATGCATAGCTCCCGTTGTCCCCGAAGACACTCAGTGGTTGTGTTCTAGACAACCACCTCTTTTGGCATGTCGATCCTGAGCGCTGGCAGCGGGCAGGGAATGCGGTGACCGAGACACTAACCGTCGAACGGTGTGGTCGTCGGGGTATGATCACGTCAGGAGGCTGTAGTTGGAGGCCGTGGTATATCTGCCTCGGTTTGTTATACTTTGACGTGGAAAAGGCACCAATGCAGGAAGGTGATACAATTGTGTATGACAAGGACGCAAGGACAAGGAAAAGTACATAGTAGCAGTGATTGTCATTGGTGAGGAGGAAGATATTACCAGAAAGAAGATCCTGCATCAAACTAGTCGTACCCAAACCGCTGGAACGCTTGACTAAAGAGAAAATGAGAGTCGTAGCTTCGTAGATGACTCCAGACATGCCATGCCATACCGACCAACAATTCCATGCCCAACACTAGCCAACACCTCCATCCACACTGCGTCCACCAAGTGCGTCCCAAGGTAACATACCACGCTGACAGCAACGACCTCGTAGCGTCCTCGTCGCTTCCCTTCGAATTCCGTGGCTGCGACTCAGACATCGCTCCACCACCTCACTCCTTCGCCTTTGCCGGCTCGACGATTCTCAGCCCAACAAACGCCAGAGCACCGAGTCCCGCCCCCAGCGCCGGCCCAACCCAGTAAATCCAGTGGTACCCCTGAAACCCCGTCACCACCGCAGGTCCAAAGCTCCTTGCAGGATTCAGCGAGCCACCTGTATAGTACACGCCGCACAGCTCTCCCACAAACAGCGAAAGCCCGATAGCCAGAGGCTTACTAGGCCCACTCGGTAGGACGAGTATAGTCAGGATGAGCTGCGCGGTAAGAAACATCTCGAGGAAGAGCCCCCGCGTGATGCTAATGGAGGGCTCGAGTTTCGTCGCTGTTGGCAGCGGCCCGGGGAGCAGCGCGGAGACGACGGCCGCGGCGCAGATGCCGGCGACGAGCTGCGCGAGGACCGCGTGAACGGCGCGCAGCGGGCGGATGGCGCCTATCAGGAGCAGCGAGAGCGTTACCTAGTGCGGGGAAGGCTGTGAGTAATTGAATTGCTTGCTTGCTTGTGCATGTACCACATTCCGGGCTGGCGGTAACACGGCGCGCTGGCAAGGCGGGTCGCACAAGGTGCGACGCGAGCGGGTGGCCGTTGCGCGTAACGCAGAGTTTTGAGCTGGCTGGAAGTGGATCAGGAAAGAACTTACGGCAGGATTGAACATGGCGCCACTGATCTCGGCGAAGATGCTGACAGCGACGGCGAGAGAGGCGCCGAAGGCGAAGGAGATGTAGATGAGCTTAGATACGTTCTGGACGGGATTCAAGTCAAGGCTTTCGGGACCGGCATGCTCGACCGTCGCAGACACAATGGCAATAGAGGTCCCAGCGAAAGAGAGAAAGAGGAAGATGAAAGTACCGACGAATTCTCCGATGAAGACAGGATATTCATGGCGAATGCTTTTGTCTGAAAGCGGATGCGAAGCAGCCGCTGGACTGTGGTGGTCGTTGGTAGGGAGGATGCCATCTTCGCTGTGCTTTGACATTTTGAGGATGCTTCCAGATTTCCAAGGTGTCTGAATTAGACGTAAACTTTGAGCTATTTAGAAAAAGAAAAAGGGATTTGGCTGTCTAACGTTACTGTCGTGTCTGAACTTATATCTCTTCCTTGCCCGATCATCGACATGACGTCCTCCAGAGCGAGGGAGCACGCCGGCGTCATGGCAAATCAGCGTGCAACCTCTATTTCCAACCAGATTTGTCCACATCTCCTCACATCGTGAGAGATCTCCGGTCCCACACGCTTGGTTTGCACGCCTACTGGGTAGGTGGATCCGACGAAGGATGGTGTGGAATGGACTTGCGCTGGTCATCGGTTCCCGTGTTGCATCTTCGTACTTGGTTTATCCATGAGGTAGCATGTGGGCGGGAACCGATCTGGCGTGCCGGAGGAACAAACCAAGGGGACCCATGGAGTTTGCTGTATATCATCGGACTCTCGCGGTACACAGAGTATGCGCATCGCTTCGATCCCTATACAATCGAAGATGTGACGGGAAAGGCACGGTCCGATACTAACGAGCATCATCGTCCGAACGGTAGAGTAGGATGGCGAGCTGAAAGAGTGGCGTATGTTGCGCATGCCTCAGTAGCACAGGCTATGGCGTATGTTCGATTTGCCTAAATAGTGCCACCTTAGAAAGCCTGGAATTAATACTGAGACTCAGTTTCGGACAAACCGTATGATCTACCTGACGTACGCCTAGTGAGCAGTTAGAAGCTGGGCCGATATGATCGAAACAATAACAGGAGGTTCGATGGCTAGATACGAAGGGAATGGAAGACTTTGGCGCCTGATCTACTCCCATTTCATACTTAGTACCTTGTAAAGTCGACTTCTGCGTTGGATGGACAGCACGGGTGACACCGGAGGGCTCCGGTGGTATGGATCGCCCAACTGATATGCACCGGACTACCCAAGGTATGTGAAAGCGTTTGAAATGATGCTGGTATATGGCCATGATCGGACCAAGATAGATCTGGTGAATCGTGGGCGATATGTTCAAGACTTACTTGAGGTGGAGGACGCGAGTCGAGTGGTTGGCGTATGAATAGAATATTTGTGTCATAGTGTCTGGTAACCCCGTGAATTCTGGACACCGGATAATGCTATCTTTTCGTGAAGTATTGTGGACCGAATTAGGACAGGATACATCGTCCCAGCAAGCATAACTAGCTTTCACCTTTACAAGATCCAGGGCGGGTGGTAAGGAGCTGGAGCATCGTCATAAACCAAGCTCGGTCAACACAATGTCGAGCAGGTTGAGGATCTCAGAGCATTGTCTGCAATGAAGATAGCCTGGGCTATATCGAGGAGTGGTCGTTCGCACATCGTCATGCTCGTAGAGTGAATCCGGATAAACGAGCCGCCGACCTCCGAAGGAAGGCGCATGTACAGCCCGCGCCAGCATACAGCGTACTCGGCACATCAACCGCATACGCACTCCACGATGCGAACTTCGCTATTTGCCCTGGCGCCTCTTGCCTCAGCTGCCTCGGCGGCCCGCTTCATCTTGCACATCCCCAACACGCCCCTCGTAAACCCGTCATCGCTCCCATCCACCACCCACGCAACGCTCCAGTCCTCGGGCGCCCCGCTAGATGCCTACATAACGCGCTCCAACTCGTTCAACTTCAACAATGTCTCCGTGGGGAGCTACCTCGCTACGATCCACAGTCGCGACTACGCATTCGAGCCGCTCCGCATAGATGTTACGCTTGAGGAAGCGGTCGAGGGCAGTGGGGACCAGAGAGAGAAGGTGGCCGCGTGGCAGACATTCATTGGGAATGAGTGGGATAACAAGGGCGAAAGTAGAGGCGAGGGCGGAAACGGGCTGGTGATTGAGGTCCAGCCTAGGATGCCGAAGGAATACTACCAGGAGCGCGCTGGATGTAAGTGCACCTTTGTCGACGAGGAAGTGCAGAAGTCATGTGCTAATGATCTTAGTCTCCCCGCTGTCGTTCCTGAAGAATCCTATGATCCTGATGGGTCTTTTTACGCTGATCATGGTCTTCGGCATGCCGTACTTGATGGACAACAGTACGTATTTCCAAACACTTGCGGAGCTTTACGAGGCTGACTATGCTGTAGTGGACCCAGAAACTAAGGCCGAGTTCGAAGAAATGCAGAAGAAGGGTGTCATAGGTTCCGGTAACACCAACACCGCGCAGCAGATACAGAACTTCGATCTCGCTTCCTGGATGGCTGGAAAGACGGACACACCTCCCCGCGGTACGAGTCCCGCACCGCACTCTCAAGGAAAGAAGCGGGGCTGAGCGGCATCGTGGTCTTGTAAATACGAAGCAGGATGTCTTGCGACTTGAATCAGGACGGACAGAGCTTCAGGAGACGAGACCCGCAGCGGCTGTTGTAACAAGAAATTCAATATCAGACTCATTTCCTCGCATCCTGTGCGTCTTGCAAGACTTAAGAAGCACATATGTCATATGTGAAGGGCATCATCTCTGAACCACCATTGCGTGTGCCCAATCAGATACCCCACGTTACTTTGACATCTGCCCCATCCCATTGACCACACCCAACCCCGCATATCAACAAGACCATCCTGCTTTCATGTCCCGACATACCTTGCAGCAACGTACGAAGAGACAGTTGTGGAAAGCATGATTTTTACATATCGCGTACGACCAATGAGACCAATGTTACTTCAACATATCCTCCATTCACCAACCCACAGCGTGACCGGTGGCACCATCCGCCAACCTAATACACATCAACATGCATTCACCCTGCATAACAACAAGCCCATATTGCCTGCCTTGTGATAGTGCCCGAGTACACTCCTTCTCGTCTTCCCCGCGTCCTTCCCAACGTCCATCGCCTGTCAGACGTCCCCATCTCGAACCACGTCCTCAAGACAACATGCACATCCTCCTCGTCGCCGTACTGGCGTCCCTGTACCTACACCCTACCCCGCCACAACGGCCCGCTAACACACCCAGCCTCACGTTCGCGTCCTCCACCTTGATCACCGAATTGGTCATCAACAATCCCCAAAGTACGCTGCATCCGTGTTCCTCATCTGCTTACCTCATACTGATGTCGCCAGACCGTGCCGTGAGAGTAGATGGTGGCTTCAAGCCCATCCGTATCCCCCGCTCATGACCTAGCAAAGCCTCTTTCACGGGCAAGCAAGATTTCAGTCACAACGATCAATACACATGGACGGAAGCACCAAGCAGCCCACAATGTTTCTCAAACGACAAGTCCGCATCAAAGATAGCCTCACTTGAATTGGAATCAATGGTATTCTCATACACTCTACATCCTGCATGCTTTCACAAAAGGAAAATTCAAACCCGCGCGTGAGCCTATGTACAAGTCCGCTTTCTCAACTCTAACTAAACGATACGAGCCCTTCACGCCGCCAACGCTCCCTCTTGTGGCGTTTGTGGTCCGTACCCGACCTGAGGTTCTGGGTATCCAGGCGCCATGAAGTTGGTCTTGGCAATCTTCTGCGCCTTTGCTGCTGAGCATCGCGCCATTGTTGGTGAACTAAAGTACTGTCAGTATCATGTATGTCTCAGGTCAAAACAACTGGCACGACTTACTTTCTTGAGATGGAGTCTGTGAAGTAGAAGTTTTCAATCGCTTTCTTGAGCGGCTCGCCCGACGCCTTGGCTCCCTTGTTCTGGTCTACAAGCTGGACCTTGCTGAGGCCGGGCAGTGAGACAGGCTCAACAACGTCGTACTTTCGCAGGGCTGGGGAGATCTCCTCCATGCGGTCCCGCAGTTGCTCGACATCATCGTATGGTAGCTCAGCACCGAGGTACTCTGAAGCAGCTCGGATGATCTTCCAGTCTTCTCGTGAAGCACCGGGCAGACCAACAGCAGCACGGCTCATCTGTACTCGTCCTTCAGTGTTGACGTAAGTGACGGACTTCTCGGTATATGCGGCACCTGGGAGCACAACATCGGCAAGCTGTGCAGCCTTGTCACCGTGATGGCCCTGGTAGACAACGAAGGCATCCTTGGGGATCTCTGCCTCGTTGATCTCGTCCGCACCCAAAAGCCAGACGAACTTGGGAGTAGTGTTGGCAACCTCAGGCGATGGAACAGTGAAACCAACGTCGTAGGCACCCGTTCGGGAAGCGGTTCGCTGGAGAATGTTGTAACCGTTCCACTCGGGTGTCTGGAAGGTGGCCTTGTTCTTCTCGATGAAAGCGCCGACCTGCTCAAAGATTGACTTCGCATCGGCGTGCTCAGTAACCGCACTGCCAACGATGATCATGGGCTTCTTAGCGGACTGCAGCTTCTTGCCGAACTCTCCAGAGAAGGCACTCTTGAGGTCAGTTGCAGATGCGCCGAGGTTCTGGTACTCGAAGGTGCTCTCGAAGTCCTCACCGATGAGTCCGACCTCCAAGTCAGACCTCAGCCACTGCTTCCTGATACGAGCGTTGAGAACAGCGGCCTCGTGTCGGGGGTTGGTGCCAATAAGGAGAATAGCATCGGCCTCTTCGACACCGTAGATCTTAGAGTTGAACGAGTAGTTGGAGCGTACGTCGATACCGTGTGCGACCGGCTCGCTGCCACCCGGCTGATCAAGAGCAAGGTTGTCAGAGCCAAGCTTGTTAGCCAGGTCCTTCATCGCTACGAGAGTCTCAGTCTCGACCAAGTGACCTGTGACAGCCTTGAACTCGTTGCCCTTGGGTGCGATCCTCTTGTATGCCTCGCCAATCTCGACAAGGGCTTGTTCCCAGGATGTGGGCTTGAACTGGTCACCTTCACGGATAAGAGGGTTGACCAATCGCTGTGTGCTGAGAGCATCGCATGCGAAACGAGTCTTGTCGTTGATCCACTCCTCGTTGACGTCGTCGTTCAAGCGGGGAAGAATGCGCATGACCTGAATACCGCGAGCGTCGACGCGAATGTTAGAGCCCAGGCCATCAAGGACATCCACGGTCTCGGTGTGGTACAGCTCCCAGGGACGGGCCTTGAAGGCGTACGGCTTTGAGAGCAGAGCACCAACAGGGCAAAGATCGATAACATTTCCGGAAAGCTCAGTGTCAAGGGCGGTCTCGAGGTAGGTACCAATCTGGAGGTCGTTGCCACGGCCAGTAGAGCCCATCTCAGGTGCACCGGCTACGTCGTTGGAGAATCGGACGCAACGGGTGCAGTGAATGCACCTGTTCATTGAGGTCTATCACGGTCAGTTTATATTTCCTTGAAGACTCGCGCGTTTCCCACCTTGATCAAAGGCCCAATGTTCTTGTCTTCAACAGCACGCTTGCCACCAATTTCGTGGAAACGTCCGCGATCCGCGCCGTATCGCATGGATTGATCCTGGAGATCGCACTCGCCTCCCTGGTCGCAAATAGGGCAGTCCAGCGGGTGGTTGGCAAGGAGGAACTCCATGACACCCTCGCGCGCCTTGTGGACGAGCGGCGAATCCGTCTTCACGACCATCCCTGGCTGTACCGGCCACGCGCAGGATGCCACAGGTTTGGGAGCCCGCTCCACCTCAACCAGACACATACGACAGTTTCCGGCAATCATGAGCTTCTCGTGGTAGCAGTATCGGGGGACGGTCGAGCCGGCTTTCTCGCATGCCTGAATGAGGGCCGATCCGGCTACAGAGGGGTTAGAACCGTGCAAAAAAGCTTCAATGAGCTACAGGCGCTGTAGTACCTTCGATTGACACCTTCTTTCCATCTGTAGAGCTCGTTAGCATGAGTCGCCGCCGGCGCGGGCGGATGGCACCTACCGACAGTGATCTCCACCTCTGCTGGCCGGCGGGCAGAGGCAGTAAAGGGCCTTGAGCCATTGAAGCCTGCCTTCACCGCAGGTCGCTTCAGCGAGCGGATCAATTGTTGCCGAAGCATCGTGTGGCGAGAGCAATGGGCGATGGGGGAGATGCTTGCCGAGCTCTTCGATGATGAGGTTCAAGGGCGCTGGAGTTTAGGGCTTGGCACTCAGCGACATCAGGGAAGCCGCGATTGGTCAGCTCTAGCCTGGGTACAAAAACCCTTCCGCGCGCCCACGACTTTCTCTTCTTTAACTCATTCTGGGCCGTGTTTATTGTGGGAAAGATGGGCGCGCCGCTCGCAAGAGCAGCGCGCATTCAGTCCGTTTCTTCCTCTGCATTCTGCCCTAGAGCGCGACTCGCCGAGCGCCGTAGCTGGAGCAGATGAGGTTTCTCTATGATATCTTGTTCCTTACCAACGTCGCTACATACCCTCCATATTCCTTCTATCGCTTTGTGCTTGATAATGTGTGATCGCCAAAACATATCGCAGGGCTATGCCAACGCCCATAGGAGTGTGTGTGTGTGTGTCGGTGGAGTCTCTCGACCGGCATAGTACTTCAGGTCCTGCACGTTGATACGCGACGACGGTACAGAACGGACACTTACACGTGGCGTTCGACTGTACATATGTCGTGACTGTCCTCAGTGTACTATGCGAAGTCAGCAGGATCAGAGACGTAAAGCTATCCAGATCAATCCAGGGTTGGTGGTCGAGTTGAAGTGTTCAGGAAATGATTGACAGATGCTCCAAAAAGGCTACAATATATGGGCTGTTGGCTAGAGCGCTATTGAACTGGATTGCCAATGAGCAGAGTCTCGGAGGGGACTGGGTTGTCATTGCTCTGATCAAGGCCAGAGAACAAGCCGCTACCGCTGTTCGTGCCGTTGTTTGTATATCCATTCTAGAAGGGCTGAAACCGCGCTCGCAGATGGGTCTGTACCGGGAAGACGGCGCAGCGTGCTGAATGCTCCATGTCGCGATGACTCGGTTGACGACACTTGCTTGCATATCACGTCTATACGTGAGCGCCAGATAGGCTGCCAACATGACGCAGATCTTTGTGCAAAGCAAGGTACCCCGACGCAACGGACTGCACGGTACCGCGACAGAAAGTTGAAGCTGCTGGACGGTTCCCGGTATGATATCATGTGCTCGCAAAAAATGGCGAGAGTATCTGGCACCCATAGAAAAGCTTCCAGGCCTGAAGTTCGCGCACGGCATTGGCATCCTGGGTATACTCAAGGCCTGAAAGCTGCTCGTGAGTCCTGCCAGAGTAACGTATATGACAAATTGCGAAAGACACATCACGTTAATGAGGGACAGATGTGAATCAGAACTGAGCTAAATTGACAGAAGAAACGGGATCTTCGCATGATGGATAAGATTACACAGAAAGACCATTGCTCCACCAAAGACCCGTCGGCATTAGATGTTCGCCCCTTTGCGCAATGGTATACATTTTGTACAGATTGAGGAGAGCCATCACCGACGAGCCCGTTTGACACAATAGTCCACCCTCATTTTTCCCCACTACCACAATGCGTCTATGACTTCTCAAGCTCCGCAAGAATCTTCTCACCCTTGGCGCGTGCTGACTCGAGGTCACCGACCATGTAGAAAGCACCCTCGGGAAGGTCGTCACCCTCACCGCTGAGGATGGCCTTGAATGACCGGATGGTGTCCTTGAGGTCGACAAGCTTACCCTCGATACCAGTGAAGACCTGAGCGACAGTGAAGGGCTGGCTCAAGAAACGCTGGATCTTACGGGCACGCTCGACGGTAAGCTTGTCAGCTTCCGACAACTCGTCCATACCGAGAATGGCAATGATATCCTGGAGCGACTTGTACTCCTGGAGGATCTGCTGGACGCGGGTGGCGGTGTTGTAGTGGTCGTCACCGACGATACGGGGGTCCAACATACGGGACTTGGAGTCAAGAGGGTCGACAGCGGGATAGATACCCAACTCGGAGATACCACGGGACAAGACAGTGGTGGCGTCCAAATGGGCGAAGGTGGTGGCGGGGGCAGGGTCAGTCAAATCGTCAGCGGGCACGTAGACGGCCTGGACGGAAGTGATGGAACCCTTCTGGGTGGTTGTGATACGCTCCTGCATCTGACCCATGTCGACGGCGAGAGTGGGCTGGTAACCGACAGCGGAGGGGATACGGCCGAGAAGAGCGGACACCTCAGAACCAGCCTGGGTGAAACGGAAAATGTTGTCAATGAAGAGCAACACATCCTGACCCTCGGCATCACGGAAGTATTCGGCGACAGTCAAACCGGTAAGAGCGACACGGGCACGGGCACCCGGGGGCTCGTTCATCTGACCGAAGACCAGGGCGACCTTGGACTCGCCATCAAGCTGGATGACGGAGGTCTCCTGCATCTCGTGGTACAGATCGTTACCCTCACGGGTACGCTCACCAACACCGGTGAAGACGGAGAAACCACCGTGGGCCTTGGCGATGTTGTTCTGCAATCCTGTTAGAACTCGCCCTAATGTTGCGTTCGAGTTGCCTTACGATCAGCTCCTGAATGAACACAGTCTTTCCGACACCGGCACCTCCGAAGAGACCAATCTTTCCACCACGAGCGTAGGGGGCGAGAAGGTCGACGACCTTGATACCGGTAACGAGGACCTCAGCGGAGGTGGACTGCTCGACGAACTCCGGGGGGTCGGCGTGGATAGGGAGGAACTTGTCGGACTTGATAGGGCCACGCTCGTCAATGGGGTCACCAGTGACGTTCATGATACGACCAAGAGTTCCGGGGCCGACGGGGATGGTGATGGGAGCACCAGTGTCGGTGGCCTTGCGGCCACGGACGAGACCCTCGGTACCGTCCATAGCAATGCATCGGACGACGTTCTCACCCAAATGTTGCTATTAACCGTCAGTGCCTCTTCTTCCAGGTGTCCGGGCTTGGCGTCCTTACCGCAACCTCGAGGATGAGCTTCTGGCCGTTGTTCTCGGTTTGCAAGGCATTGAGAATGGGGGGAAGCTGCTCAGTGTCGAACTTGACATCCACTACGGCTCCGATAATTTGATGAATCTTGCCATCCTTGATGGAGTCGGTGGATGCAAAGCGAGCGAGAGGAAAGCTCTTGCGCACGGGGGACCTGAAGACGGGGGCGCGACAGGTCGCGCGAAGCGACCGCTGGAACCCGCTAAACTGCGTCAGCATGACCAATTGGATGCGAAATGTCTGCAACATACCTCTTGAGCATTGTGAGAGATGGGGGGATGGCGTGGAGGTGGGAGTGGAGTGGAATTGATCAGAAGAAGAATCTGAGAGTTGCGAAGCTGGACACCATGAAGCCAACGCGAACGGTGCTTAGCGCGGACCGAGCTCCACTAGTGGCTTGGTGCGTCGGCTACAACCACACCACCTTCCTCCCTCCCTTCCTCTTACCCGTCCTTTATTGCCCTGCGTTTGAGCCTAGCCATCTTACCTCACGAAGTCTATCTATATTTTCCTCTGCTATCTTGGTCTCTGATGTACGTCAGTGTAACGACTTGGAAACCGTTACCCGTTGCCTGGTTGACAGCTTCCCGAGGGTTTTCAAGAACATCTTCCTATTATCGAGGCTTTCATTCAAGATAGACGAAACGAACCAGTCGGGCTTATTGCATTCGCTATGGCTGCGGAGGATAGTGGCGGCTACACTGCGGGCCTGAGTAGGCCCGTTGTGTCTGATCGCGCTGGATAGTTTATAGCGTAAAGATACCGAGTCGTGTTCCTGAAGGTGGGTAAGATCCAGCGTGTAATCAACTTTTGGAAATAGGCGAATTTTTTTCCAGTTGGTTATTTTGTTTCCGTTGTTTGCGTTATTTCTATTGTTTACATTATTTGCAAGAGGTATCCTCTGGAAACACCTTATTGTGATTATGAGAATCATGGGAGTTGCCAAAATCTTTCTATGTTGAAACTTGGTCTGGTTCGTAATTTGGCATTGCGGGTCTCTGCATGTAGCGTCCGTCTCTTCTCGTGTGAAAAAGGTGGTAACCGCGTCACCTATGCTCTTTAGCCTTGGGAGCGCAGGGGGATAGTCGATCCCAACACTCGTAATGGCCTGATTCCTGTTAGGATCGCTGAGTGGAACTTCGACTTGATAATCCGGGAATTTCTCGGAGAGGTGGTATTGTAACTTGAATAAAGTGTCGAAGCCTTCGTTCCGTTGTTGATCTCTGCCGGCATCTCTGAGCTGTTCAACGAGCCATCGATAGAATTTACCGGGGCTGACGGAATCCGGTGGCTGCAAGCCCGGGCTAGCAGCGGCTTGCTGCCTGATACTGACCAAGAACGGTCTATCGTTCTGGATGAAACTGTTACTGTCCACAAACGCAACACCCCAATATTCCTCTACGAGCTGTCTCAAGTTGCATCTCGCATAAGGCGGGCCCGCATGTGCATGATGCCCACGTATCCATTGTAGGAAAATAGGAATATGTATAGAGCCTGATACAAGGAATTATGGTAAGAGTAACGGATCTGCTCCTTGCCTATCAGACGCGGTGTCATACTCGATCTAGGTCCTTGGCTTGCTCGCAGCGTACCGCCAAACGGGTCGGCGAGCTAGTCGCTGGACATGGTTCGAGACCGACCATCGTATTGTACCTGGGTTTGGTGACGTCTGTTGTCCCGGGGTCAACCAGCGCGACACCGCTTCGGCGTGTGCTTATTCACTGGCGGTATGGTGGGTGGGCTCCTTGAGTCAAGGCATTGCGACCGTTCTAATGTGACGCCTTTAAGGATTTGTAGTTTGGGGAGGAAGGAAAATCGGATTTTGATGATCTTCTAGAAATAAAACTCTGGCGAATTCTCAGCTGAAGTGTTCATCGACAGGATGATGGAAGGAAGGATGCATTTTTCTTCATCGATCGCACAAGGAGTCGTTCGCTGAACGCATGTACACCGACGTCTCTTTCTTATAAGCAACTTCCAGAAATGGATCTTGCGAAAGAGAACAGACACGTTTTCGAAAAGCTGTATTATCTCTACTTCAACCGTGCTGCTTGGAATGGCTTACGGTCAAATCGTTCGTGATTTCCTCCGCATTATCCCTTCCAACGTGTATAGAACCACTACAACGGGGACCTCTTCATTACCGTCAATTGCATGATATCATTATTCCAATGCCAGAGTCATGTTGATTTCGTAAGCCCATGATCAACGGAGCGCCCAGCAAACACCCTGAGTAGAATCAGTACGGTAAAAGTGACGATGAACAGGCAAAAAGGCCCTCTCAAACTGAACCTCAAATGGTCTCTAGTACCATCTATGCAATGCACATGCCAAAAACCAGCCCCACAGTCAAGCCCCGAAAGCTGAAACAAACCCCTCCTATCCCCACCCTCCTCTTCTTCTCTACCACCCTCATCCATCCAAAGCATCTACCACAACCTCCTCAACCTCCCCTCACCTTCCCACCTCCTCGCTCTCCGATACGAATTCGGCTCCCCCAGATACCCCTGCTAACACCGCCCCGCAAGCCACAGATATCCCTCTACCGTCTCTCTGTACTCCTCTGGGCTCACCTTCGCCTCGGCCTTGAATTTGAATTGAGATCTGGAGATAGCTCTCGGTTTTGGTGGCGGGGGATTTGTCATGTACGGGACGAGAACGGAGGGAGTTGGTGTCGATGGGCCACGGAGTGTTGTGGATTGTTGGGAGGGGGGAGGGGTGTGAGTGCGTGCTGCGTCTGAGCGTGCGGGCGTGCAGTGGTGGTGATGTACGCGCTGTCGGCGTCGTCAATATGGTTTGTAGATAGGACGGATTCAAAGTGTACATACCAACAATGGTATGGCTTGTGTAGTGGTATATTTACTTCATTTGCAAGATTAGATGCGCGTTGAACTACAGTCTAGAATGCGATATGTGAGATGAGGCTTTTCGACTTTGCTTGAACTCTAAACTAGAATGCGTCAGGGTAAATTAGTTGTTGGATTTATTCGTCTGTGCTATAATCCAGACAATCCGTCGTCCAAACACAGACCACCTGAGTTCACTAAGTGGCAACAGGAGCAATCTCCGCGCGTGATTGCTCTATATTTGGCAGAGCGCACTTGACCTCGCTCTTTGTCATTGAGCAGTGCTTTGTGCGCCCTTAGAATGCAAAATCAGGAGGCGTTACAGGAAACCGAGGACAAAGGCACACGTGGATTCTGGACAATTTCATGGAGATGGGCAAGAAGAGCAACAATGAAAGAGAAGTGTCTTGATCCAATGACTGACACATAGCTTTGGATATCATCCATTTTGTATCAGTGCATGGTACGTAGCTCGCAGAGGAGATTCGACTTGTTCTTATTATGGTAATTCCAGTCTAATGCTCTAAATATTCTTACCTCTATCTGCGGATGCCGCTTCCTAAATGATAGCGTCTAATTTAGATGCGGCGGCTTCGTCAGCTTGGCTAATTCTGGTCTATGGAGGGTGAGGCGGTAACCTAGAAATGGGATAAACTTCATTCGAATAGGGAATCCAAGTCTAGACATTTGGAGGAGGAACTTCACTAAGGCTTCCTCCTCCCATAGAGTGAGGTACTGTTGGCTTTGCGCCTTCGCTTTCATTGATCGCCGACCCAGTGCCCGGTGGTTGAGGGGGTCGAGGTAGCGACTCCGCCATGATCTGCACGAGCGCGGTAAGAGTTAGGTATACCAGGAGGAACATCCTGTGCTAGAATCAGGCTTTCCTTATCGCACATGCTCGATTAATGCTGCTATGGTGGTGGGCAAGCGAAATAGATCACATGAGTGACACAAAGAGTGCCAGGCGGCGTTAGGCAATAGAGGTCACGTTGACACGAAGCAGCTGGGCAAGCGAAGGCGCTAAATCTATTCTACAACCGCCCACCCATTGGGTGTAGCTTGTATTTAAATGCATAGCTGATGCTTAGTGGCGATAAATCACAGCAAAGAGAGCCTTCGACCTATAGCATGCTGGTACGGTACTTCATATACGTATTATAGACCATGGCCAGAAGCATGCTTCGTAACTTATTCAGAGAGCCGAGTCCCGTGCCAAGCAGAATCACGTGGCATATAATCACGTGGGCAGTGATCATCTGCGAATAGCCCCCAGCCCTCAGCCTGCTGCTAATGTGCCTCCCGGCACATGCATTAATTTGAAAGACATTGCCCGCTTCTCCTGTCTTTTTGATATCTCCTTTTGCCTCCACCACGGTCAAGTCCGCAACCTCTTCCCCCAAAGAGCGTGCTTGGCCGCCATGCGCCTTCTCAATTGCCTCCCAGACGGCGGCTTCGGGCTAACCTCTTATGACGATGACTCCATTCCGCCATACGCCATCCTCTCGCACACCTGGACAGAGGGCCAGGAAGTCACATACAATGAGCTGTTGGCAGGAACGGACACGAAGAAGGACGGATATTCTAAGATCCGCTTCTGTGGCGAGCGCGCTGCAAAAGATGGCCTCAAATACTTCTGGGTCGACACCTGCTGCATCGACAAGTCTAGAAGCGATGAGCTGAGCACAGCGATTAACTCTATGTTCCGCTGGTATGAGCGCGCAACCAAGTGTTATGTATACTTATCTGATGTTTCTGTGCCGGATGAAGTCATTGACGCCCAAGCCTTCCGTAAATCTTGGGAACAATCCTTTCGGCGTAGCCGGTGGTTCTTGCGAGGCTGGACGCTTCAGGAGCTGCTCGCACCACCTAGCGTCGAATTCTTCTCGCAGAACGGCAGGTGCCTGGGTACTAGAGTCTCGCTGGAGCAGGAGATATGTGGCATCAGTGGCATTCCCTCTGAGGCGTTACGAGATGGAAAGCCGTCCGACTTTAGCGTAGACGAGCGGATGAAATGGGCGGCGAAGCGTAACACTACAGTGAAGGAAGACAAGATATACTGCTTATTCGGGATCTTTAGCGTCTTCTTGCCGCTTATATATGGTGAAGGAGAGGAATATGCGACTTTACGGTTGAGGGATGAGATACAGAAGCGCCAGCAGGGACAGAAAAAACCAGATCTACAGGACCTGCCTAGTGCGTCTCTCCCTCACCGAAGCAGTATCCTGCTAAACAAGGCATACTCAGCTAAGCACGCATAGTTTCCTCACCATTACTATTTCCCCGGAACGAGCTCTTTGTTGGCCGAGAAAGCCAGATGCAGGCGATCGAACGAACCCTCCTCTCACCCAATACCCACCAACGCATGACGATATACGGACTGGGGGGCTGTGGCAAATCAGCACTTGCACTTGAGTTTGCATATCGCGCACTAGCAAGATATACAAGACGTTTGGTCTTTTGGGTGCCCGCCATGAGCCAAGAAAGCTTCGACCTTGCCTTCCGAGAGATCGGCACCCGCCTCCACATACCGGGAGTGAATGATGACGATGCGAATGTCAAGCAGCTAGTAAAGCAGGCATTAAGCACAAGTCTTTCGGATGACTGGCTAATGATTGTCGACAACGCCGACGATCCAAGGATATTATTCGAGTCTGACAGCAATGCACAGTCAACTCGATTAATCGACTACATCCCACACAGTCATACAGGTTCGGTCCTTTTCACCACTCGCAGTAGGAAGGCGGCCACAGAACTGACACAGACTTACGTTCTTGGGCTAGAGGACATGAACCAAATTGAGGCTCGGCAGCTGCTTGCGCGACAAACATTAAGACAAGCGCTGCTAACTGATGAGGCAGCGGTCGATGAATTACTTAACTTGCTTACAGGTCTGCCGCTTGCTATCGTGCAGGCAGCCGCTTTTATAAACGAAAATGATATATCTATATCTGAATATGTGTCGTTATTGCAGCACACTGGCACGAAAGCCGAGCTCTTTAGCGAGCGTTTCGAAGACCCTAGCCGATACCAAGGGATGGATAGCACGGTTGCAAAGACGTGGTATATCTCCTTTGAGCAAATCCAAAGGCAAGACCCTCTTGCAGCAGAGTACCTTTCGTTTATATCATGTATCGATCGTATCAACATCCCTCAATCGCTCTTGCCGCCAGGAACATCTCAACTACAGCATATCAAAGCGCTTGGAACCCTAACAGGATACGCATTTCTTACTAAGCGTCAGCAGACTGTTCCAGGATCTAACCAGGAGAAGTTTTTTGATATGCATCGGCTTGTGCATATGGCGTTGAGGTGGTGGCTAGAGGGACATGGTCAACGTAAAACCTGGGCAGGCAGAGCAGCGGCCCGGGTCAAGGAACTCGTACCGTATGGCGGATATGGAGGAAGAGAAATATGGGTGGCGTACCTCCCTCACGCACTGCATGTAGTAGAACTGAAGGATGCATTAGATAGTGCGACTCTTGCTGAGCTTCTAGCACGAATAGGGCGATGTCAAGAAAGCAGTGGTCAATATGCTGCTGCAGAGCTGGCGCACAGACAAGTATGGTCCTTGAGGAAGGGTCTGCTTGGGCGAGAGCATCCCGACACGCTGATGAGCATGAGCAATCTGGCGTGGACGCTGAAGAGACTGGGAAGGTACGAAGAGGCGGAATTGATGCATCGTCAAGCGCTGGAAGGCTCAGAGAAGGTGCTTGGGCGAGACCATCCTGACACGCTGACGAGCATGAGCAATCTCGCGTTAGCGCTGGCGTGGCCGGGAAAGTATAATGAATCGGAGGTGATGTGTCGTCAAGTGCTAGAACGAAAAGAGAATGTGCTTGGACGAGAGCATCCTGAAACACTTGCTAGCGTTGTCCACCTCGGGTCAGTGCTGTCAAGGCAGGAGAAGTATGAAGAAGCGGAGTTAATGCATCGTCGAGCGTTGGAAGCATATAAGAAGGTACTTGGGCGAGAGCATCCCGACACGCTCGCTAGTATAAGCCTGTTTGGATTCATGCTGGAGCATCAGGGAAAGTATAAAGAGGCGGAGGTGATGTGCCGTGAGGTGCTAGAAGGAAGAGAGACGATTCTTGGGCAAGATCACCCTGATACCCTCCCTAGCCTACACCAGCTTGCGTCGGTGCTGGAGAGCCAGCAAAGATACGAAGAGGCGGAGGCGATGCATCGACGAGCGCTAGAAGGATATGAGAAGGTGCTTGGGGGAGAGCATCCTGACACGCTTACCAGTATCAGCAACCTTGGGTCGATACTAGAGAGGCAGAGAAAGTACAAAGAGGCGGAGGCGATGGAGCGTCAAGCACTAGAAGGAAGAGAGAAAGTGCTGGGGCGAGAGCATCCCGACACGCTCACTAGCGTTAGCCAGCTTGGATTAGTGCTGGAGATGCAGCAAAGATACAAAGAGGCGGA